CTCTATATTAAATAGCCAAACACCAGTCTACTTACCTCTATATTCTATATAAAATAATGTAATGACAAGTAGAAGGTAGCTACAGGTCCGAAGGGTAGAGGGTTGCCGGCCCTTCGCAGCGGAGGGGGATAGCCCTCATATAGTGCACTGTAAGCACTGGTCGGTGGCTCCCTATGGAGCATAGGGGTAAGCCACTCCCATGTGGCTTAGCAGCAGTCGTCTACCAGCTCTGCACAGCTAGGATTGCAATAATATATTCTTATATATTGATAGCTCAGCCAATTTAAATTCTATCTACTCAGAAGTTTATTAACACCCTATTATATATTAGAATGCTAAACTTTCTAACTTAGAGACTCTAATAATCTTTAATTATCAGAGTAAAATAAATTATCTTATATTTAATATTATTTTATATATATAGCTGTAATTTATATTTCTAGTACTTTTTCTCTATTAATATATAGATTACATATAAAAGATACTTCTATTATTATTATATTCAAATTATGAACAGATCCACTAAAAAGTGGTTGAGATATCAATATTTAAAAATGTGCTACTTTGCATGGAATACAGAGGTGAGCGCCCTGCCTACATGAGCCTCCCGCTTACCGGTTACGTTAATAAGAGACCCTATTGAAGCGGCTGCTGCCGTTGACTGGTGATTAACATATAAAAACTGCAGGAATTCCACCCTGGTATTCCCGAAGACCAAGTTAAACACTCAAAACATATACTACAAGACCTAAAGACATGACACAAAGGTTGTTTAGACTTGTTCCAGGCTAAAAAGAAACGAAGCTTTTCTCCCTTGCATGTGAGTCAAGTAAGCGTCAAATTCGTGGTCCTCATCTATAAGGAAAGATATCTCATGCCCGTTCTCATCTTTGTCCGTGCCCTCAATCTTTGTAATGAAGGTGTCTGGATATCTGGTGTTGACTAGTTGGCGTAGTTCAGCAACAGATCGCGTTGTCAGTTTTTCAATCCAGGTTTTGGAATCCCCATGCAATGAACTTTGAGAGTGAATGCGAAGATACACAGGAATTTGCATAGTAGAAGGCTCTAATAAGGGATCCACATATCCAAAGGTATGACCCGAGTCCTGGTGATCGGCTGTGGCAAACGAGGGGTCATTAGCTGCCTGCAGGAGGGAGGGGTCTATCTGCAAGTCACCTAAATCGCTAGAAGCCACTGGAGCACTTGCAAGAGCCTGTGAAGCAAGTGTACTGATTCCGTTAGTTATACTGCCACTAAAGGCGTTGCCAATATGAGGGCTTCCAAAATCAGGAGTATGTTCCTGAGGATTAGAGTGTTTACGGGCTGGGTCCCTCTTAGTTTGATCATCACGAAGTCGCTTCATAACATCACGACAAAGAACCTCTAAAGCTTTTAGTTTGGTAGAGTGTTCTGTATCCGTTGGCCCTGGAGCCAAAATTTGTTGAAGCAGCTGAGAGTTTTGAATCCACTGCTCCTTCAACTTCGTCCAGTGCTCATCACCAGCCTCTAGTTTGCTTGTGAAATGGTCCGCTTTCAGTGTATTGTAAAATGCATTCCGTATTTGGCGGCTTTCCTCTGGATTGACCCCAAGAGCGTTTTTAGCTTCCGCAATGGTCATTCGCCTCTCCAAGGTTCGCATCCTCTTCGTGACATCTGTGCAGACAACATCAAGAGCAAGGGCCTTTGCATCAAGTTGATTAGGATCCTCCCAAAATATATGTTGAAGATGTTGCGATTCTTGGATCAGTTTGTTTTTGGCTTCCTGCCATTTTTCAGGCCCGGCAACTGTTTTCTTGATGAAGCCTGCATCCTCACAAATTCTCTGGAACTGGTCCCTGATTTGGCGATACATGACATTATCCAGGTTCAAGTGCCTTTTACTCTCATCAATAGTCGTTTCAGAGGGAAAGCGCGGGGGTCCCGGGGGATCGGCTGGCAGCCCTGCCCATCCTCGAGTACGGCGCCGGCGCTTTCTGGTAGCCCAGCGTTCTGCACTTTCTGCTTTCAATCGTTCTAGTCGTTCCTTGCGTTTGGCTAGAACTTCTGGTGATAAGCCAGGCGATGGGGGACGTGGGCTTGTTGTGTCAGTAAGGAGAGGTTCGGTGTCATTGAATGAGCTTTCATTCTTGTAAACTTCTTGCTGCAATGCAAGCAAGCCTTCATCTTCTGATAGTTGTGCAGATGCTTGCATAGTTGACTGTGACTTCATCCCATTGGGAACGCGGAGTAACCATCGATTTTTAGCACGTACCCGCATGAGCTCTCTTTCTTTGATTTCGAACCCTTCTTCATTCAGTAATCGAAGCATATCTCGTTGGCTAGTATTCCGCTCCCAAAGTTGCTTGACGCGTGCAACGAGTTCTAGGTTCTTATGTGCTGGATTTTGTTTTGAAGGGAAGCCCCATCGCTTGAATTGCGTTTGAAATGCACGTTTACTAATTCCGTAGCTGGTTAATCTAACCGTGGATGCTGTGATGGATCTTAGTACTTATGTGGAAATGATGCTTTCTTACCTGGGTGCGAATTGATATACATTCTTCATATACTCCATGATTTCCTCCAAAGCCTTTTTGTCTTTAATATACATCTGATAGCAGATGTCCCGCTTTCCATCCCAATCATATACCATGATGAGAAATGCTTGTGGAGGCGCTCCCTCCAATTTGGAGGTGCGCCCGGTGTGTGAACCCGACGGCCTTGTACCTACAAGATGGAATGGCCAGAAGGAAAGCTGTGGCGTGAAGTGCGGTACGGGAGACTAAGGCGTCTTTTGTCGCTCCTGTACACCGTAGTTCTGATGGTACTACTAGTATGTATGTTGAGCTGTCTGGAATACCGTAGTCTGTTTTGCTGAGGTAAAAAGTCAAATAGTGCATCAGTGTATTGTATATCACGTGATACTTTAAAGGACCAGTAGATGCCAATGGAGGTTTGATTCAACATATGCTAACAATTTTTTTCTGCATCCTCAAAGAGCCCGCCGCGCTCGGCAATAACTAAGCCACTCTAGTATAAAAGATGATAGGACTCTCATTTGATATTCAATAAAAGATAGGTACCGGGGCGATCTATTCCCTAGTATGTAGCGTTATCTAGATAGCACAATAACCAGTATATCGTCAATTTACATTCCTTATTTTTCTTCGTAACTTGAAAAGCCTGGTTCGTAGCCACGTTAGGAAAAGCATCCATGTGTTCTTGGGTTGAGATTTCCAGGACCCTGAGTTTGAACCCGGCTGTGGTGTTGGTGAGATAGGGGTGGAGCCACAGGGTAGATTTGGTGCGTCCTGTGGCTCCTTTTCCCAAACTAGACTCGGCGTTTCCTCATCTCTCAGAGAAGCTCGCCAATGGTGCTTCTCCCTGCGTCTTATTTGCTTCTCTTCTGCTTTCATCTGTTGCTCCTCAAACTTTCGTCTTTTCGCTGCTTCTTTCTCTTCAAATGCCTGACGCGCAGCTTGTACCGTGGCTGCTCGAGAGATGGGATCCGTACTAGTTTTTGTCCTGGATCGAAACACGAAGTCCAGGGATGACCTGGAAATTGGTGAAGCTGTGTCTAACGTACTGCCATTATCCCTTGAATAACCGCAAGACGAACGACCGGCTACATTGGTCTGGGAGATCCCAGGAAGCCTTGTGAATGAGTTGTCATGCGTCTGTATTGACAACCGTGGCATTTGCCCCGAGGATGCACGTACAGGCGGATTGAACGTGTCTGAGCCTGACCAGCCTAAGAGCTCACCCTCAACTGAGTCTCTATTGCCAGAGGTATCGCTCTCGAATAACGAAGCCTGATGTGATTGACTTAATGGTGGGGTGTAAGAGCGAGTTGCTTGACGCATCAGGTGAATATTCTGCGAACCCGGCTTGTTCATACTGGAACTACTCGCAGAAGAAAATTGGGAAGTCCCGCTAGTTGATCGGTGGTGAAGGCCAGGGATGTTCTTTCGACTAGCTAAATCGGCGACCGAGTTACTCTGACGCCCTATCTCGCAAGTTGCGATGATTCCCAAACCGCCATGCTCTAAGGATGCTTGTGACAGATCCAGTGATGTGGTTGGTGAATCTTTTCGTGATGTCTTTTTTAGTAAAGGCATAATGTATGGCTTATATCTAGTAAGACCCTCTTCTTTATGTGGCAAATTATCGATGTCGTCGTAAAATGTGCTCAAAGTAGGCACATCTGCCAAGCGATGAAATTCTACTCCCCGTGGTTGCGTGAGGAGCGGAGGGTCCTGCGAAGCCTTGCCAGGGAGAATGCAAGATTGCTGCTTTATTTTCGACAGGGCTGAGTGCGCTAAAGCTTTTAATGATGAGAAAGAACCGCGAGGATGATTGAATTGAGAAATCGAGTGAGCCAGCAGCACAGGGGTAGCATTGCGAAACGATTTAGAGAGGAACCCGGAGCCAGACGTTTTCAGAGCAGGATGGACATCGCACCTGTATTTAGGCGGTGGCTCAAAGCTTCTGATGTTAATTTGGTGGGTTTTTGGTGGCAATGAATCTCGGACGATGCGTTCTTCAAAGTGTGCCATCGGACTGATATGTATGATGCTGCCCGGTTTCCCTCCTATTCTCTCCAGACTACTGGGAAAGAGACCATCAATGTTGCGCTACGGGGCGCATTGTTGCCATGGCATCGGCGCAGTAACGAAGTAGAAGAAACCGGTGAGAAAGGTCGCACACTGCCGTGTCCGTATATGAATGACCTGCCAGGAGATCACACCATGCGTGGAAACAATAAGTCTGTTCAAATATGTAGCTTGGTCGAGTATCACAGAATAACCAGTCAGCACCTAGGTGTAGAAGATAGACCACAATGGAAAATGTCTAATTGAGATTGAGGCTGCTGTCGTCATGTATACGAATAGCAATGACCGTGGTTTCTAGAAGTAGGCATTTCTGATTACTCCATTCCAAGGCAACCGAGAGTGAGAAACCCACCGGGCAGTCAAGGATAGTAGTATAAGTACTCTAGACACCAATACAAGGCTCAATATGATAACACAGAAGATGACGGTAGTGAAGTTCGAATGAATTTATGAAATTTGGGGGTTGTTGCGGACGGAAAGCCATGGGAAGTGGTTGGGTAACGGGTTGGGAGGGGAAAGGGCGGGCGCGACGGATGCGGAGAACCGTTTTGAAAGTGGCGGACAGTACTCCCGTACTCCGTACGGAACTCTGGCTCATTCATGTATTAAGCCAGAATACTATCCACATTTAAATAAGCCTTTATTATCATTTCTTCTTAATTATACCCTGTAATTATTGTCAATGGTGTGTTATCAGAGACTAGAGAATATATTGCTCTTGATTTGATCTCTGCACATATCTGTAGTTGACTTTCGCCTAAAATACCTAGTAGTACAAGAGCACTACGATAGCAGTACACTATGATAACATTCTATCACTGATCTAGGTTTTCATTTAAAGGCTTGTTTAATCAGTTAACCCTAATTGACCCTTTACCAAGTACGAGAGGCTGCGTATAGCGCAGCTGATTGCTCCTGTAGAATCTATTTATGGTTGACTTTTAACTTAGACTAGTTGAGCATAAACGTCCTTTGCTATTATTGTTGGTCAACCTACTCTGTAGATGATTCTTATAACTAAGTATTATTACTTTTCAACACCATTACTGCAATTTACTACTCCTTTCCTTCCCCCTGCCTTTTCTAACTCTCTCCAATCGTTATTATTAGTAATGATTTTTTTCTCCCAGTTACCAGTTAAAATGATATATACCTGTATATGTATATATCATATCATTTCTTGGGATTACTGCTTACCTTAATTTAAAACATATATAGTAATAGCTTAGACTAATAATTTGCTCCCAACACGTGTTTGTAAATCAGCAAAGTCTTTGTGGCAGCTACAATATCGGTTTCTATTGAGGTTTATGATATGTTAACTACACTTCATACCAACGAAAAGTATATTCTAAAATAGTCATGTTTTGATGGGTCCGAGTCGGTGCCACTCAAAACAACAATTGGTTTAGAATTTCTCTCTTTACGCCTCAACCCATCAGATCCATTATCTTCAATGATAGCACAGCCAGAACCGCCAGAATATGCCAAGGATGGAGAAGAGACCTAAAGATAGTCGGTGGCCAGTCATGTCTGCTGCCAAGATGGTCCGTCTCATCGATGTAAGATGAATTATCTCCACCCATACTATCATTTATACAGTGTGATAATCTAATTATCCTTGGCAAGTTGGCAATGACAATTGGAGACTGTATGGCGGGGCACCTGTATTTTGTGGGCTAGCTTGCTCTTTCACAGTCCAAGGCGTCTCAAGGGAGCTCGGTCCTTTTTCTACGTTACCCTACCTCTTGGTTTTCACGCCTTAGCTGGATCCCCGCGATTCGTCTTCTCTTCTCCCTAGACCGCCACTATCTTAGTTCAAGGTTAGACTGGATGTATCATGCCTGATACTGTTCACAACCTATGTCTTCTGTCGCTTCTGGCATTCTCAGGGCAAGCCCACGCTTTTGGGGCGGGTAATATTGCATCAATATCCCGCATTGAGGGCCAGAACTGGCGTCATGGAGACATCGAAGATGTGTTGTTGACCCTGTTTCTGGCTCGCGTGGCTGGCGGCCGTAAATTCAGCAAACTCGATGTGCAGCGTGTCTATTTCGGGAACTGGCTCCGCGACTACAGCCAGGCTGTTGATATCGGTACTCTGAAATATGTAAGCGCCGAAGCCATCCGCATCCTGATCTGGGTGCTCGGTTTTTTGAGTTTTGGGTAAGCCGCTGAATTCTTCTACTATGCTAGTGCCAGCAATTGACTTTGTGCTCTAGATATGGGACCAAGGAGTTTGAGGTGACTACGGAACGTCTAGGATGTTATGAGCCTACAGAGCATATAGACAATCCTCTTGGTTATGCTGAAGGGGAGGATGCTCGGGATTATGATCATCGACTCAGGGGTCCAGTTGATGAGGAGCGTGAGCTATCAGTTAACCCTATGACAGGTACGTCGGATCACTCTCCGTGTCATTATACCATACAAAACGTGACATACTCAGTCTTTTGTTGGCTACCCCGGTTAGGTTTAAAAAACTACATAGCGACAGAGGATATTGGTATTGCTACATCTGCAGGCCTTGTACGGCATGTCTTCCGTCGTTCGATTCAGCTAGGCCGCCAATATGCGAGATCGCAGAACGATGAAGACTTGCATGAAGCTTTTCGTCTTCTCGGGACTGGCTTGCACTGCCTGGAGGACTATGCAGCACATTCTAATTATACAGAGCTGAGTCTTATTGAGATGGGTGAATCAGACATCTTCCCTCATGTCGGTCGTAATACAAAAATTGAGCTCCATGGTGCGCAAAATGACGTCTATCCTGTTGTTACCGGCACTTTCGGTGGCGTGGACTTTTTTCACTCCGTATTAGGTGAGCTTTCTGACAAGGTCACACAGTCTGAAGTCCAAACCTTGGAAGGTGTCATTATTGAGTCACAGAGTGGTTCCCCTTCTGAGAGCTTCGTACAGGATCTTCTCAGCATGATACCTGCTGGATTAGTAGACGACAGTGAAGCCCAGGCAAATAAAATGGAAGAATTCAAGACACAGTCAGAGAACGTCAAGCAACATCGCCAAGATGTATCTCTGTGTGAGCCAGAAGCATGGACCTGCTACCTGGAAGGGGTGCATCAGCAAATCTACCCTGTATTGGAGTGGCATGATGAGATTATCAAGTCGATCAACACTGCCATCGAGAAAATACCTGTTCTACCAGAGTTGGTGGAGCAAATTCGAGATCATATAACGGTCTTCGTTTTCTCTGTTCTGGCACCCTACGTGCTCCCTATTATCAAGCATGTAAAGGTGGAGCTTCAAACCGGCTCCTCCGAGGTTATTCAAAGTAGCAGAAAGCAACAACACATTGTTTTTGAAGACGATGAATCCTCAAACCCCACCCATTCTATGCTTTCTAAGGATCATTTCTCAAACGTCCTGAACGAACCAGCAGGCCGGGTAGCTTCCCAAGTTATCAAGTGGACAGTGCCACAGCTGATGGAGTGTTGGGATAGTGAAGACATTGATATCACAAGGACCCTGGACAGAATAATCGTGGGTGTGTTCCATCACCCTGCCCTTCGTGAATATGGAGAAGATGGTGCAGCCGATTTACGCCAGACCATGTTCCATACAGTCGAGGAATGGTGGTATGGTAAGACCGAGGAAGAGCAAGAGTATCTGCGCGAACAGCTTACTCGCCAAGGCGTATTTGAAGGTAAAAACCATAAGGAAGGTGTGCATGACACTGGTCATGGCTGCGGTAAGCCACTTGCGTTACGCAAAGGCGGCCATGTCAACTCCATTGATCCCAACGGATCTGATTATAGTAGTCTGGAGGAAGTTGCGGCCGAGGCTACTGGTGATGGAACACTCAGGGGCCTAGTCAGCGGCCTTGTAAGTAGTGTTGGGTCTATACTATTGAAAGATCCCGAGCCACTCTTGTCAGACGGTGCGGTCATGGTGGACAGGTACGAAAGTCACGGAAAACTTGATGATCAAGAGGAGCAAGATCAGTATGGGTACCAGGAACCATATGACGAGGTATTACTTGAAGAACAGCGGTACCACCAGTGTGTGGACGCGGAGAGGCAAAGCTATGAAGACGACAAGTCTTACCAGTGAGTAGATCCTAGGTCAGATGTATTTTCCATGCATTTTACATATTCTGGTATTGATAATTGACTCCAAGGGATTCTGTGCCCTGGTACAATGGCACTGGAGAAGGCTGCGGTGGGGCTAGAGGCGCTGAGTACATGTCGGGAGAGGAGTATGGTGCAGACCACTACAGCAGCAAAAGCGATGACTACATGGAACAACAGTACGGACATTGATGGCGTTATGATACAGAGCTATGGATATCAAATCTGACACTAGTCGAGAATTATCTGCAAACTACTATTGTTTTGATCAGATTCTACCGTTGGAGGACGACCTGCTGGGCCTTATTCTTTCTCTTTCTTCTTTGCAAGTATAATGGCGACAAGCCAGAACTGTTACACGGTCGGCTCCACCCCTGCCCATCCCCAGCTGCTCTATCTTGTAATGTTAAACAACACACAAGCAATCACCATGACTTAACCTCTTCTGGCATCGGTTGTTCTACTCGGACGATTTTGTCGCAATTAAGCAAACAAAGCGGGTCAAACGCTAGTTTTAGCTGCGAAGGTTGTTATAGCGTTAGCATCCCGAACTTATCACGAAATGAGGCTGTGTTCTGGGGGGTAATGCTCAAATTTCTGCAAACCTACCCGCCGCATCGCATCCACCGTGGACTCGCCCAGTTCATGTTCGAGATAATCACGTTTAATAAGGCCAACGCCATGTTCACCTGTAACAGTGCCTTCCAATTCTACTGCTCGCTTCACCATTCGGTGAACTACAGCTTCCACAGTTTTTCTCTCATTGTCATTGAACAGAATAATGGCTATGAGAGACAAGTGAGTACAGGAGCTGTGAGCGGGGATAGAGTCTTCTTACCGTGAAAATTGCCATCCCCAACGTGACCACATATTCCTGCCAACAGCCGACTTTGGGTCATGTCTTGCTTCGTTGCTTCGATGATGTTGGGCAGTTTACTCATGGGCACTGCCACATCAGTAGTCCAAACATGGTCTTCTGGGCCTCGCCTCATAGACATTACGCTCCAGAGAGCTTGTTTTCGGGCACTCCATAGCTCTTGCATCTCATCATCGTTGCGGGCAAACTCAAAAGATTGGCCTGCATTGGAAGAAACGATCTTTCGTACTGTGCTTACCTGCTCATTGACACCGACGGGTGTTCCTGTAAACTTGAAGAACAAGGTGGGTGATTCTTTCCACCGCCGACTGGTTGTTTCGCTGTCATTTATACATTTCATTTGCACATCATCTAGAATTTCCACACCGGCAACCGGGATACCATCCTCCACCACACGTGCCGCGCATTTTGCAGCATCTTGAACTGTCGGAAAGCATGCAACAGCGACACTCTGGCTCTTGGGCTTGACTGTTAATTTCAGCGTGGCTTCTGTAACAAGCCCAAGGGTCCCTTCGCTCCCAATAAAGAGCTTGGTAAGATCATAACCAGCACTGGACTTCCGCGGACGCTGCCTTGTCTTGATTATAGTGCCATCCGCAAGAACTACAGTCAGGGAGAGGACCCATTCCCGCATAGTACCATACCTATAGGCATTCGTCCCTGAGCAGCCAGTGCCTACCATGCCACCTATCATGGCACCCGGGCCAGGATCAGGTGGAAAAAATAGACCATCTTGCGAAATGCGCTCATTTAAATCTTCCCAACCAAGAGCAGGCTGCACCACTACGTCAAGGTCTTCTTTGTGAACAGCCAAAACGCGGTCCATACGGCGGAAATCGATACACACGCCACCGCGGGTGGATGCAAAATGTCCCTCTAGACTAGTGCCACCTGAGTACGGTGTCACTGGGATAACTCGCCGATGGCAAACCCTCATTATATGAGAAACCTCTTCCGTCGTTGATGGGTAGAGGATAAGGAAAGGCTTTTCGGTTTCCTTCCGAGAATAGGAAGACCAGTCCGACCCTGAATGTATTTCCAAATCCCCATTCTCTGTAGAAACGTTATCTTTCCCTAATATATCAACGAAGTCCGCCCATGCGGCCTGGAGGTTCGATTGAGAAATATTGTGACGCGGCGGCTCTAGTTCAAGAATGTTCGTTGTTGATGACGTCGGGAGACTCGGCGGCTTTAAAGTCCCTAGGAAATAGGCTCCAGTAGAGAAAAACACCAAAGCTAATATAGTGGGATTAGCGGAACGTTGGATAGGGGTTTGTTATAAATTTTCAACAGGGTTTCAGCGGGGACATACCGAATGTGAGAGCTGTATAACGACCTCCCTGCGACTGAGTCTGATATTGTGCGTAACGTTCGTGCTCGGCGCGCTCGCGCTTCAGCCGTTGCTGTGTACTTTCATATAGCTGGTTCTTGAAGGACTGTGGTCGTCCGTCCTCATAATTTCGGGCAGAGGCCCGGTAATGCCTCTGCTGTTGCGCAGCAGTTAGGCGGTAGTTAATTCTCGGCTGCAAAGCGCGGAACGTTCCCCTCAAGGGAAGGGCGTTGGATCGGATCATGTCTATTAGATAGTTGAGCACTGCAACAGCAGTCTATCTAAGACTAAATTCCACTGAAGCAATTTCAGGTTTCTGTCAAATCATAACCCGACGAATGCATGGATAACTTGAGCTTCCGGTGCAGTGTTTAGATTTGGTGACTTATTATGGAAAGGTGGTCTTGGCATTATCGTCACTTCCGCTACGCAGTGTTTTATTAATTAGTGTGAAGAGCAAGTCATCAGGTAGGGTACGTAAGTACTCCGTACAGCTATCGAGTAGATACCTAGTAGAGGGTGACATTCATTATGCAATATGTCCATCAATTCTGTGACGAAACGGATCTCTACTTTAACAGCCTCGTAATTCCTTGGTTACATGGACAGTAAACGTGTTGTCAATGCGGAGCAGAACCGGAGAAAGAGATGACGGCTGCCTACATATGGTAAAATAACATCTAGGTATGTACAGGTACACTTGTCAGTATTAGTCTAGACTCTACGGTACGTAGGTGTGATGTATACGGAGTACTCCGTATGGGTGGCAGTTTTACGTATCGGTTCCTCGGCGGTGGATGCTTAAGCTGGCTGCTCTAATTTCCCGCTTGACGGAACCATCGAACCCGGTTAAAATGAAATGAACCAGCGGTTAAATTCCATCAGCTTTAAGAGGCAGAAGCTGGGGAATGTCGACCAATGACATAAGGATCGCCCCACTAGTGCAGCTGGTTAGTGGTGGACAACCACCATGAGCACTATCCTAGGAGAAGATAGAAAAGAGTACTTTGATCCAGACAAGGTTGTTGGCTGTCTTCTTCTTCCTTACTGAAATAAACGGTCACCCACATGACCATCCCAACCCACTCTGCAAGCCCATCTGTCCACTCAGTCATACTACCTCACTATCCCTAACATAACACTAGACCTGCCCCCCCTTCCCGCTTCATCTTTTAAACACTTTTCTTTTCTCATTTCCCCTCTCTCCCAAGTATCGAATATCTATAACAGATCATTCCCTATCACTTAGTCAAATAGCAAGTGCTAAACATGGGCGTGCAACCTAGGACTGCTCAGGTGCGTAGCAAAGCCATAACCTTTCAGTATTGATTCATATTAACAGGAAAGCTGAATACTGCCTTTCTTTCCAGAACTTGTCCTTTGTCCTCGAAGGGATTCATAAGGTCAAATTTGAAGACCGACCAATCCCAGAGTTGAGAGATGCTCACGATGTTCTCGTGAATGTCAGGTTTACCGGTATTTGTGGTAGTGACGTATGTTATGACTTTGCCCAATGGGGAATCCATGAAGTTGAATTACTGACTTGGAATTGAAAATGCCAGGTTCACTATTGGGAGCATGGCTCAATTGGTCAATTTGTTGTCAAAGACCCTATGGTACTAGGACACGAATCTTCTGGCGTAATCAGCAAGGTTGGTTCGGCTGTTACAACATTAAAGGTGGGGGATCACGTTGCCATGGAGCCCGGTATACCGTGTCGCCGGTGTGAGCCCTGTAAGTCAGGGAAGTATAACCTGTGCGAAAAAATGGCCTTCGCCGCAACGCCACCTTACGACGGTACGCTAGCCAAGTACTATGTTTTGCCCGAAGACTTCTGCTACAAGCTTCCTGAAAACATCGACCTTCAGGAAGCTGCAGTGATGGAGCCTCTCAGTGTCGCTGTGCATATTGTAAAGCAAGCAAATGTTGCGCCAGGACAATCTGTGGTAGTCTTCGGTGCCGGGCCGGTGGGACTATTGTGTTGCGCGGTGGCTAGGGCTTTTGGCTCCCCGAAGGTCATCGCCGTGGACATCCAAAAAGGAAGGCTGGAATTTGCGAAGAAATATGCCGCAACAGCAATCTTCGAACCCAGCAAGGTTCCTGCGTTGGAAAATGCAAACCGAATTGTCAATGAAAACGATCTCGGCCGTGGAGCGGATATAGTTATTGATGCATCAGGTGCTGAGCCTTCAGTTCATACAGGCATTCATGTCCTTCGTCCCGGTGGCACTTACGTGCAAGGCGGTATGGGAAGGAATGAAATCACCTTTCCCATCATGGCAGCTTGCACCAAGGAGTTAAATGTCAGGGGCAGTTTCCGTTACGGTAGTGGTGATTATAAGCTTGCGGTTAACCTAGTAGCCTCAGGCAAGGTTAGCGTAAAGGAACTAATCACTGGAGTTGTCAGTTTTGAAAACGCGGAACAAGCGTTTCAAGAAGTCAAAGCTGGGAAGGGTATCAAGACACTTATTGCTGGTGTTGAAGTATAAGCCCTGTCTGGAAGTGATTAACTGTGACATACTAAATTTGATTTGTTATTATTTTCTTCATGAGTTTGGCTTTGGGGTGAAGGGATGTTACTTGATGTAACTCCAAAAGAATATGCATACTAACAGAGAGTTTGTTTCCGCGGTTGCTTGTATAAATCTTTATCGTTCGATTGTGTACAGTGTTCAAGGGAAGAATTAGTAGATGACTAAGAAGCTGGCGATTTCATTGGAAAATCTGGCAATTCTGCAGATAAACTAGTGTAGAATATAATGATTTAATACCAACAAAAAAATAAAATCATCAGGGGTATCATGCTATACAACTATCGAAAGGAACATTCCTATTACACGGAGTGCCATGTCAATAGAGCGGGATATAGCACCCAGCGGACATACCTGGGTAAGGAGAAAAAGGTGAAAAAGAAGAAAAGGATGAAAAAGAACAAGACGGCATTAATGGGAAGTAAATGTGTAATCAAATAGAGATACGAGCGTACCTTACCTGTTATAGGGTATGTGTAAGTCGAAACAACTACACCAAACTCGCAAAAGAGAGAATGAGATGTAAGTGGGGAAAGCAAGGGTATTAGCTGCAGCTGGAAGATACCGATAAAGGAGCAGGGTCAAAAGATCAGCAGCACCCTTCACCGTTCTTATTATATGATCCACTCAACCGGAAGACATCCTCCCACTCTCTCATGCCGCTTTTCCACCTACTTACACTCGTAGGATTCCGATTGTGCAATTGGACTGCATTGTCTAGAGTCATCCGACTCCGTATACTGGAACCATCGCTTGTCCCATGGCCATAAAGACCGCCGTCGCCATATTGTATACCGCTCTGGGGATCGTCAGGATCGATTTCACCAAGTTCAATTTTAGTCAAGATAATTCTGGCCAGCCGGTTGAATAGTTCCTCCACACCTTCTCCAGTGAGGGCCGAAACTTCAACGGCAACGGGGATGTTTGACTTCGCAGCCCACCGGGAGGATTCTTCAAAGTATACTTCACGGCCATGGGGAGCACATGTAGCGGTCATGCGTGTCCCAGTCGCTAGATGACTTGTAGAGCGGACAGAACCACCACCCGAGCCGAATGCAATGGCAGACTGTTTGCTGGAAGTACTGGACGGTGTTGGGGGAGGCCGAGTGGCGTCTTCGGTGGTGTCACCATGGAGCGAGATGTCGGATGTGAGATCCATCTTATTCCCGGCCAGTAACACAGTTAGGTTGGGAGATGCAAGAGCACGCGCATCCATGAGGAAAGTAGGAAGGGACGCAAATGAGGTATGAGATGATACATCGTAGATAAGAATAGCCCCCGCCGCTCCCCGGTAATAAGATCTAGAGACGGAACGGAACCTTTCAGTACCTGCAGTATCCCAGAGTTGTAGCTTTATCCTTGTCCGTCGAGGGCCGATTCCTAACTTAACGATTCTCGAGGAGAATTCGACGCCGATCGTTTGAGACGATAGCACTCTCCCTATAGGTGCATGGTGCATTAGCGAGCCGGCTATCCAGCTCGGGGGAGATGAAAGAATGAGACAGGTTTAATCAGAAGTCACAGCCGTACATTCTTTCTTCACAAATCGGTGGAGCACACAAGACCTGCATTTCCGGGTGTCAGTGGAACGCTAGGGAAGCAATCCGCTTCCCAGGGAACTTACTTTCCAGCACCACTTGGACCGAGCAAAATGACCTTTGCTAGGTAGTCATACATACTCTCTAGTTCCTAGTGGGCATCAGACAAAAGCCACAGACAATGCGGAGGGACTGGCGCGCGCCAGAAGATAGAATGGAGGAACATGCAGTGCGGTTAAGTTGGGGACATACCTGATTTCCCTCTGGAAGAGAGGAGGTCGTAGAAGTATTTGAGAAGCCTCTTTTGCGTACCATGCTACTGAAATTAGCCATAGGAAGAGCTATTCTTGAGAGTGAAACGGTAGATAAGGAGTTTCTGTAGACTCCTGGCACTTTGTAATTGCGATGCCTGTTTAGTTTAGGGGATGCCGTATTTAGCCACACGTCCCTCTAAGTACCTAGGGGGGTCTCCACCGCCGGATTGCGACGACCTACTTAATCCACCGACTTCACTTCACGCCTTAATAATTATGTCTGTAAATATATAAGGGTTACACCGATTCTACATATATACAAGCATAAGTGCCCTACCAATAAATTACCTCTTCGGTGGTGATTCTCAGCGGCCCCTCCCATGCTTCAATATGATCAATCAAGTTATTACACCCAAGAGTAAGTAAAATATTTTCTAGGAGCCTAATTCACTCACCCTTTCTTAATAAACTGTTAGTTTTCGGGAAATTGGGTAAGGAGAAGGCTAACGTGAAAATAAGGGAAGAAAGGGGGAAAGGGATAGAAAAAAGGAAGCTGAAAAATAAAAAAAAAATAAAACTTAAAGACAAATAGTAAAGAAGCGAATCTGATTGATCCATCAATAAAAATGTTTAGTTCTCGAGCCTCGTAACATCTCACACAACAACCCAAGGCAGATGATCCAATAAATATATTCGTAGTCTAGCTCGCATGTCCTGTAAGAGCGATATGCTATTTCACGAGTTACGGGAGGGACATTAGTTTAATGATGTCTCTCGCGCAAATCAACAACTGTGGTCCATCCTTGACAACACACTCTGCTCATGTAATGTTCACACCAGCAGCATGACACGACAGAGCTAGAAAATTGCGCTGCGTTCTTTGATATAGAGGTGTTCCTGGGGCTAGTAAATTTTGGAATCGATAATTGTATGGATGAACCTGACACAGCGCCTACTTGCGCCTTAGATGAAGCTTGATCGTTCAAGTCTGATATTCCTACCAAAGATGCAGGGCTGTGGCTTGTAGGAACAGAAGGAATGGCAGGGGAGTCCAGTTTTGCATACATCTCGGACGGCATGTCGTGCCAGAACTCGCAATGGCAACAAATAACGAAAAGCTTCGCGACCCGCTGGCCTCGCCGAAGTTGTTTTGGATTTCCTCCAAATTGTTCTGTCCAGAGAGCTGGTGTGTTAGGGTGCACAGCTGGGGGAGAATAATGAAGCCTGGAGGATGAGCCTTTATTAGCAAAGGTGCTTAGACTGGCAGGAACAGAAGCAGTGTTTAATTGCTTGACCGGAACAGATTCCTCGCTTTGCAACTCTGAAGCAGTCGATGCAGCTTCATCTGCGGTGTTGTACTCCTCTGATTCTGGATCCTGGGACAAGCTAGCCGACAATGAAACGGTCGAACGTCCTACTTTGTGACCCAAGGCACTTGTTGAACCACCTATAGGTGATGAGGGCTCCCCTCGACCACAAAAGTCGGTATTAAACGTGTGTATGGAGGTATTTTCCCCTTCTAGGCGCGTTTGTGCTGCTGTAAGACCCCCATCTTGGCTCCCAGATTTCACAGTGCGGCTCTGTGAGTGTATTTCAAGTGCATTGCTTGGCGAACCATAATCATGTGGTTTTACAGACACAAGTGCCCGCTGCAATCCCTGGTTTAAAGCGAGATGCCCTTTTGGTTTAGTATTGGAGATTGCTGTACTCGAATATGGCTTAAGGCTATGATCTGATAACCCCGAACTATTTGGTAAACTGGTCCGCGGATTCTCCTTAGCTACGTGCGTGAGATCAAGAGGGCTGATTGGGAAGTGTCTGTCTTCTCTGCCATCTCCATTCGACAATCGTAATGAAGTCATTGGGCGTGGTGGATTTGTATTACAAGAGGCAGTTCTTTTGGAGAATGCAGAAGGCTCCGTGTGACACATGCCATCGGGACTTGCGGATGCTCGTTCATTTGGAACGGCGTCGAGAGACTGAAAAGTGGTGTTACTCGTTGTTGGAAAGCCTGCAAGCGGAGACGATATGAAACGTTTGTGACGTCCCTGAGGTTTGCCTCGTGGTGTTCTAATCGGTACGTTCACCGACGGGCCTAACTGGAAGGCAATGAGAGGTTTTCGAATACCGAGATGGTTAGTATTCAGGGGGGTGACGGATGCTGATGTTTTCCTTGAGGGACCAGTGGCGCTTAGTTCACGACGGCTCTCTTTTTGTGCTATGGTACTTTGAGAGGGCGTGGACTGTGAGAGACGCCCATGTGATTGTGTTTTGCCAGAGACTCTTTTCCTTAGGTTCAAAGCTGCTGCAAATGATGAACGATCTAATTCTGAAGAATCCGAAACTTGTCGTACGTCTGATATGGACATTGTTATGGGGGCAACTTGTTGCATTGGCTCTTGCCTAAGCCTTTTGAGCCCCTGCGCATGAGAGGTACCTGCCTCACTGTTATCGAAATGTCTATTGCTCTCGGTTCCTTGATCAACTGTCATGGCTACTTCTGAGTGCGATAGCTTCTGTGATCGTAGGGACGATGTATGATTTTCAAGTAGCGGGTTGTTTTGGACAGCTAGCTCCTTGGAAATTGCCGTGCTGAGGCGTTCAGGCAAGGTCGTGGATAGTGTACGTGTGGCACATTCGGGTCCAAACAACTGCGGTCTTGAGGTGCCTCTATCGTCCTCATTTAACGAGCTTGATCGCGATCTCGATGAGCGTCTCGAAGTTGAAAAAATCGAAGAAATCCGTCTGGAGCCCCTAGATTCATCTGCACTTACACTTGACGCTCTACTTGAGCTGCCAAATGGTTGCTTCTTAGTGAGACGGCGTGGTTCCCGTCTCATTGAACTGAGATCCTTAGTTGATTCCGCTTGCTCAAGCTTCATGAGTTTTTTCTCGAGCTCTACCCTCTCTGCCTCTAGTCGCAGTGTAGCCCGCCTCTCATTTCGCACGGCGGAATTTCTGGACCATGTGGGTGAAATGCAATTATCAAAATTTGCCGGCGGTTCTTCAGGAGTATAAGATGCTTGTGGTTCTCGGCAAGAAGTCTCACGAGTTAACGATTTTTTTACATGAAGGTAACTCTGTGGTTTTTGCACACTTTTTTGTGTGAATTGTTGCTGCTGGGGCGAAGCTGTGAGACCCGCGCCAGGTGACTGTGAGCTACTGCTATGCCTCTGTTCCCAAGAATCAACAGGAGCGTCTTTTAGAGTGTAGGGTAGTACAGTAGAATGTAAGAAAACGGATTATTAAATTGACTTACTTTTCCAAGGTCATCAATGTGCAGTATGCGCTGCAGATGTTGTGTAAGCGATGGCCTACGTGGTCTTGTGCTCTGGCCCATCTTTGGATAATATCACAGTGGGTTGGTTTATGCTATTATACTTGAATGTATTAGCAAGACCGTGCAGACAGATTATCTTTCGCCCTGGAACTGACAACTGTGAACATAGGAACTTGTGATATGGGTGGTAAGAGTCGATGGCGAGTAGAAATCAAAAGCTACTTCCTAGAGATTCATTCAAATTGCTCTAAGGTTTGAATGAGAAATAGTACAGGTCACATACAGCTATCAACTTGAAATTCAAAATCAATATGGAGGGTGGGGTCAAGTAGAAAAGCCCAGCCCTCGATTGAAACATAGTAGTATTGTGGCTGCCACTGTCACATTGGGCTCAAAGCTGCCAGAACACTGTCTCACTTGATTTTTATTTTTATTTTATTTTCTTATTTTTAATTTTTTATTAGATTATTATTATTATTCTTCTTCCTCTTTGTTTGGTTTGGTTTGAGGGGAGCGGCGAAACAAGATGATTACCTAACTAGGAGTTCGTATCTAACTTACTACTAGTCAACTAGTTAATAGTAATTACTAGGTAACTATGCCTACTAATTCGCCTGTGGTGTACCCATTTGATTGACTTCTGAATTGTCTCACATTCTACTCGGCACCTTCAGGTACAACTGGGATGTTTATCCATGCCATAGGTAACTACTCCGGAGTAGATGCTCCCATCCTTTACAAGCTTTCACTGATAATTTAAACCAAGCCAGTGTAGGGTTTTAGGGTTTCAGGGTTCTTATCACAATAATAGGCCATAGCAACGTTATCGATGGACACTTCTCCCCTTGCTTGACAATCCGACTCTTATATTCTAACCGGATACCCTAGTAAATTTAAATCCCTGCTGTCATTACAGCGGCCCCCTTACAACAATCTACAACCTTTTCTTTCCATTTGCATGGACAAGACAGGACGCATAATTTCAGGAACTTATATTCGACAAAGGATGCCCTAGTTCCTGGACCTTGCTGCCAAAAGCTTGACCCATGCTTATATGGTATATACCAAGGTTCTGATCAGGCCAATGTGTAATAAATAGCGACTTCACCTAAAACATCATTCCTTGGCATCTACCTAACCTTGTAGGTTCAAAGGTTGCCACTAAAGACCTCAGTTCTCACTCCTCAAACCCGCGATTGAGTTACAACCTACTGTAACTCTGTGTCACATCCACACTTGAGGAACAAATTCAACGAACTGCACTCTGAACAAAAAAGCGATTGCACTGTTATACTCACTCCAACTTCTTATTGTTTCTTGCACAAGTTCTATCTTATCAACACAGAATGGCGAATGAAATTAAGAATGAGTCGAAAGCGCCACCAGCTTATGGCCAAGAAGCTGCCGCCTGTTACGGCTCAAAATCTCCGTACTATAACTGGCAGGAAGCTGTACCTGATACCGCTACTTTTCCACCGCCGCCAGCATTAGGCTTCTTATCGTCGAGAAACGGGAACGCCTCTAGAGATGATGCAGAACGTGCACATGAATTTTGTGACAAGTTTCCTCTACACCTGCCTATTAAGCCATCAGCTACTGAGTATACGTCTGTACAAGAGCATGACCTCCGTCCTGTGCTACCAAAAGAATTTCATGGTACCTTTGCCTTTGTTTCTCAGGGCTGCTGGAAGGGATCTACCAGGACTAAAAATGGTGATATTTTGATATCAACAAATCTTCCACTCTATTTTCCCACTTTGGACTCACCTTTTGTCACTGAGAAGAGTAAAACTATATACTTCGAAGTCAAACTACTCGGGCTCCGCGAAGGGCCGGGACCGGAGCCAGTATCTACTGATTCCAGTGGGCTTTCTATTGGGTTTATAGCACATCCGTATCCGTATTGGCGGTCTCCCGGCTGGGAGAGAGGAAGCATTGGCGTGTTCTCTGACGATGGATGTCGTTTTGTCAATGATTCATGGGGCGGTAGAGAGTTCACAAGTGCATTCGCTATGGGTGAGACTGTGGGCTTGGGAATGACTTTTCGTCACCCTGACAACTCAAACACAAATTTGAAAAGTAAAATCAAGAAGTGTAGAGTTGACATCTTCTTTACGCGGAATGGTTACCTGGAAGGAGGCTGGAACCTTCACGAAGAAGTTGATGAAGATGCTGGAAGCATCGAGGGATTGGAGGGAGACTTCGATCTTTACGGTGCGATTGGATTGTTTGGGGGTGTAGACTTCGAGGTATGCTTTAACCAGGCAGGTTGGTTATGGAAGATATAGTTATGCTAAAGCTGTTATCACCTATATCGTCCTGCAAGAGAAGTATAGCAACGAATTACCGAATTTAGCTTAATACAAATGACAGTCCTGTTTGGTTGACGTACTAAGTTAATTAAATGTCCTCATCATGAAGACATATTCTCAGCGTTTGTCAGTGGTGCGGTGTCAAAGGGCACAAAGGAGGAGATACATAAAACAATTTATGTACAGCACTAACATATGTACACAAAATCTCTTTTGTGTCTGGCAAAGCCTGCTTGGTCATTGCGCCTTGCTAGACAGGATGATAGAGGATCACAGGAGGAAAGAAAAGAAAAGGAAAGGAAACGCCACAGCTTCTATCATGTTTAACATTCCCATGTTGAGCAGTGAGACCTTCTAGAATTAGTAGCTCCTGCAAGACTTACCGGGATATTCCTTGCTGATATACATACTACATTAGTGTGTCGGGGGGAAGTACAGGTTGCATTTCCGCCATTATCCCATATGCGTATGCTACCAATATTTGGCCGTTACCACAGGATCTAATGTCGCCCACCTCCCGTTATGTTTGCCTAGCATGACCCTTTGATGTCATAGCGTTAGCCCCCATGCTCGGTGTACTTACGGCGTATGCAACAATCAATAGCCGCTCGTAAGATTATGTCCCAAGAGTGTGAGACAGTCAATAGGGCCTACCACCTCTATATAAGTATCCAGGTATTTTATTGGGTCTTAGCCGGGTCGGTCTATAGGGGAAAAGAAATGTGTACGGTTTTGGATGCCTTTCACATCTCTAAAGTTGTATCTATAACCTGGCGAAGACCCTAGCAGAAGGCCCCAGTAACAAATTGCATATTTATGGAAGTTATATCTTCATATAACGGAGAAAGCTCTCTGCGCAGGGCCTTTTTGACTGACCGTTGACTACATAGGTATGTCTTGATATCCCAGAGGATTGTCGATAGGAACCCTTCTTCCTATATATACCTACCAGCGGACAGGCAGCATTTAATAACATTGCACTTTGATTGGCTTCGTCTAATAACGGTAGTCTGCTATGTACATTTTTTAGAGCAGTAAATGAAAAGGGAAAAGTAACAAAATGATCTCAATTGTGATCAAGTGTTGTATGCCATTACCACCTACGATAGTATATGCCTTGTATGTAGGTATGAGTTTATTATGGGAAGGCGAAGACATTGCTGCATTTATTCTAAGCATGTGCATCAATGGCCAAATGTAACGATGGGTTATTAAAAATACAATTCTACTGTTGTGTTGTTGTTCATGTGTCCCCGCTCGAGTTGGTCCGAAGTCGAGACCCCATCTGCAATCCATAACAGTCCTTGGTTGGAGTGTTTAGTGGCCAGCAACACGGGCATCCAGTGAGATGCGACAACACAAGTTACGACTATTCCCCCTTTTTCCAGATAGCAACACTGTCATATTTAGTATACGGTGGACTCGGGCAGACCCCGGTGTCAGGTTTCCTAGTAGAGTCGCGAGCAGCTGCTGACCAGAGCCCGACACCGTGTCACGCAAGAAAAGTACTTCACAACAACAAAGGCGGAAGAAAGGAAATGGAACAGTGGAAACTTAGGTTGGTGGTGAATGATTAACTTGATTAGTTGCAGGTAAGATGCAGTAGTCGATGGGACTAAATAATCGTCGATAGCTCGGCCGAACTTTCATTTTCATGGCTTTGCCAAGTTGATGTCCCGTAAGATTGCAGTGTCCTGGAATCCCACCTATTACCATTACCATCATTCCAATTCCGCCCCCACACCCAATCCACCACTGTGTTTGAATACGGAGTACTATCAGCCTACCTAATTACTCCATGTTGAATAGAGAGTATTATCTGTCCATCAGCGGATATCCGGAGGTCGTCCTACTCGGAGCGGTATTGTCTTGTAGGAACTAGGAACTCGAACGTAGTATCCACATTATGGAGTGACTGCTAGTGGCCAAAATTGCAGGAGAATATCGAAGTAGGATCCCTATCTCCATTGGCTTTCGGATAAACTTCTGGGTTTTTTTACATCTCGTTCTATCCTTTCTTCTGTCTTATAAGCGATCGCGCCTGGCAGCTTTTGACTAGGTTAGAATTTTCACGTTACCTTGACACCCTACGGAGTACAGTACCGTGCATTACATAAACGGATACCGAATATTTCCCATCGCCCTTTCCAGTCAAACACGTAGCGGTTGCGCAAAGGCAGGGGTTGCCTACCAACCATGTTAAGCGAACCCCAAGGCGCTCACAGTGGCGGAGATTTTGCCCCCATACTCTTAGTTGGTACAGCTGACACCCGCCCCTAAGCACTAGTTGGGACTAGTGCAATTTGCAAGGCGCACCAGTGGATAACAGTCTGTACTTTCAGTGTAGCACTCCGTACTCCGTAGGCTGCGCTTTGTGCACTGTCCGTCTCCACACAAGGAGTGCAGTACTACTAGTACTAGCCTCCTAGGTAATAGGCGCTCGGCTCCCGTATCGCCCATTTATTGCATGGCAGTGCGTAATTATTGCTACTCGACTACCCGGAGTATGCACGGAGTACCTCTTTAGAAACCCCCAAGAATTTGCATACCCCGGTAAGCAGCTCTGTAGTTGTAGCCTGAGCCGCTTTTTGCACTTTTCAACTCCCGCTTTAGGTTTCACTGGACTCATTTAGATTATAGCCGAAAATGCAAGAGCTCCAGGCTGTAAGGGGAATATCAGTATAACGGGTCTCTACCTAAAGCGGCCGGTGACATGATCGACGGTATAAAATGCAAGTCATATTATTATCAAACTGTAATATTAGTACGTAGGAATGGTGGGAACGAAATAAAGTCTTGCTGTAAAAATTCATCTGAATCCAACCTTTACTATGGGGCCTTTAGGTGGACTGTGCATAAATTGTGGGCACTTGCGGTAGTCCGGTGTGAGAATCTGTCCATACAAATATGGCGAAACATAGGATGGTGAGGTCTAGTTCATACAGTACTTTCACTGCGTGTCAGTTTCTTCTTTCTCGCCCTCCTCCTTCTCTTAGGAACGTGAGTGCCATGGTAATTGTCTGTACCAGACGGAGAAAGCTATGCCGGGAAAACGGCCAAAAATTTACATATTCTCCCCACTTCCTTCCCCAATAGACGAAATACAAGGAGTATCCAGTAGTCTGAGCTCCTTAGAGACTAGAGTCCCTGCCTGGTGAGGAGCTCCCTTGCCCCATCCATGGATAATATCCTTATGGACCTTCGGCCATTCCCGGGTGTGAGTGGAGTTTTATTCGAAGTCCGTGCAGCTGAGGGAGATAGATACGCGTCTGTTTCAGTTCCCCAGTAGGATCCGTGTTTGTCGTCGATTTTCATAGGTAGCTACGAAAATCCAGCGAATGACGGGCCTGTCCAGCATGCAACTTCCATCAATAAGGAACTATAAATAAAGAGCCGAAGTGAAACAAAGAATAGGACAGACAGATAAAGGATTAGCAGAGAGATTATGAGGCTTATACCACGTAAGGCATTGTTTTTCGGCTTTATTTCCGACCGATGGGGGCGTAATAATGAATGCATGGTCTTTGGTGGCTTAAACGTTTAGCACTACTGATTAAATTATGCAGAGTGGAACACAATACGTAGTAATACTCCAGAGTATGGTACCATACCATTAGAGTAAGTCAGTGCAACATAAGTTCCTTAGGGTAAGGGGTATGCGCATATGTCATGCGGATATATACTGTTCTATACTGATAATATAGAAGATATACAAATCTTCAACAACCTGTCAGCATTTCTATCGCTCTTCGGTGCTCTTGCCCTTGGTCGGAGCGGCAAGGGAAGAAATACCCAGTGGCTCGCTTCTAGGTATGTACCCGGCCACCTATACAGATGATATTTTTAACCATATACTTGCTTTTCCATGTGAATATAGCTACTAGCTATTAACCGCCCCAATTAACAATTACTCCAAAACACATAGCATAGAAGAGGAAACCATACTTAGTATTGGGTCCGGCTACAGACAACGCCGCCCTGTAAGCACATTGCCATTTCAGGTAAGCTGCATGAGAGTTGATTACCATCGGCAGCCACTAGGGCTAGTGGTCTGCCTATATACGGAATGCAATGTATCCCACCGGCACGAGGCATGTCAACTGCCAAGGCTCCATGGGGTAGTACTGAACAGCCATGCAAGTCAACTGCTGTGCAAATCTGCTCCTTACTGAAAAAGGAGCTCGGGCCGCAGGTTCATAATGGTCACTCCTAGCAGTCGGGCGGAGAATTTAATTTGTTCTTTGAAAATTACGACGGCCTTGTCAGCGATTGGTTGGGTGGGCCGAATCCTTTTTCTCAAGTTGCGCTTATTCCTTCTTTACTAGTTAGTACTTGTAGTTTGCCTTTTTTTTACCTCCCCATTTTCTTCTTCTTACTTTTATTTATTCATTAATTTATTATTATTATCTGAAAAGGCTCGTTGCTCGCCGTAATGTTTAATCATCAACACAACTTAGTCCTCTCTCACCACTAGTAGGATACAAAAGATCTTTGCAAGTGATGCATGTACTTTGATTCCCGGGTGGGACCATTTAAATTTCTTTTTTTCTGGACTACCCGCTAGTCAAAGTCAGGCCTATTTTAAATTTCAGTCTTCACCTGTATGGAACACTATTGCCTCTGAGAGGGTAACAAATTCATTGTGTTATCAACTACACACCTCCCAGATCGATCAGGAACAGCATACTCCACATCTTACTAGCTGGGCATTAGAAGACTTTCCCTCCTCTACCCCATTTTTATTTTTCATTTTTTTCCTACCCTTTTGCTTTCTCAAAGGGACACGACATCGATGCTATTGCAATTAAAAGGCAGCAAGGAACTCAATATATATGTTATCAGTATTGTATACCATGCCATATTATTCGAAGTTGTTATTTTTTAACTTTGCCTAATAAAATTATTTCATACTTACCTCTTGTAAATCATGTCTTTTCCCTCAAGCCCTCTTCTCTTTCATTTCCCTCTTTTCCTTTCTACATTTTCGGTTCCTTTTTATTTCTTCCATCTATACATAGTAGTACGTTACATATATCGTATAGTTAGTTTTCAATGAATCGTCCTGATGCTGCTCTTACTAGGACTTAGTTACTTAGTACTTACCCCTACCATCGTTCGGTATCTTCTGCGTAAGGACTCGGGACCCATCTAACTTTGGAGCTAAAAGAACATCGATGCCGGAGCCGACCTCATCTTCTACCGCTTAGTGGAAGCCAGCATCTGGGGAATGGCCTTGACTTCGTATCCCGTCCAGCCTATGATGTTGTTGATGTCCTCCCCACCTAAGCTTCGTGATCCATAAGAGCCTAGTAGCCAACTGTTATGGGCAGCAAGCACAACAGCGAGCATCGCTAGTGGCTTAATACACGGGGGTGGAAGATCGCCGCTAGGATCACCGTTATCCTGAACGTTTTCGGTTCGAAAGCCCTTGGCTAGGGTAAATATTCACTACTTTTGTCGCTCATACTAGTTAAATTACCAAAGGTGTCAGGCCCCGAATGTTTCCTATAACTTCCACATTTTATTTCTGTTATCGTCCAATCTATTTCGGGAGGGGGAAAGACGTCAGAAGTACTTTTATTTTATCATTTACAATGTCGCTCACCCAGTCTAAGTTCGCTTGATAAGAATGATGGTGTAAAGGGCGAAAGAAAGTTTATGTATGAGATATTATAAGCTTCTAACCTCCGCGTCCCGTGTTATTGGAGCGCAAAGGCCACGCATATTACGACAGTTTTGACAAATAAGGACAGGTGGCCTGGCTTGGATTGCGTGCCTCGCTAATTAAATCACTATTTCGCACAATTTCATTTTCCCCGATACTATTGTTCCGTATATGTGGTTTTAAGTTGTACCATGTATTATCACAAGATTTCAAGCCGAGAACTGCATACATTCTTTACACTATCCTGTAATCTTGACTGGATTTGATTCAGTTGCAGTAAAATTCTGTTTCCAGTACTTGCGTGTAGGCAACCTGTTAGCCTTTCCACTCTTGAATAAAATTCCTTCCACCCTTTTCTCTTTTCTTTGAAGCAAAAGAAACAAGAAAAATCAGATACTAAAAAGAGTTAGCCTACAATGGCTGACTTCTCTGAACATCTAACCAGCACTGTGGGGATTAGTAAATGTAAAATTGTGGAAAGTTTAGTTCCCATGATTATCTGAACTATTTGGAGTTTCATGAGCAATCCAGCAGTCAGTTATCCAAGTCGGCTGAACAATCGTAGGCTCCTCAAATACCAAATACTCACATCATGAGGTCTACACTAGCAAGGGTATTCCCACCTAAGGCTCCTTGTGTTGAGTATTTGTGTATGGATATATCTTCATTTTGGTCTATTTGGTTCGATTTTTTCTGTATATTTTCTCTTTTTGTAATTTTTTCTTGGTTTTACTCTGCTTGCCCCCCATCCTTCCCTTTCTTCGGTACCTTTCCTATCGTTCGATTTTGATCGGGTATACCGATGCTTCAATAATCCAATGAATCGCCAATACAAACCTGGTAGACTTTAGTATTGTGTGTTCGGCTATTACAGGGAGAGGATTCATTTGTAGTGGACTTTTATTCAACAGTTTTAATGTGTGATACTGGCACAATTCCAAAACTGGCAATGAATATATAAACTAGAATGTTAGCAAATGCAAAATATTCCCCACTAAGGTATTTAATAGCAAAGAGAAAGATAGAGATCAAACCTCGTAAGATAAGCTGTGAAACTTGAATCAACTTATCTTTCCTACTCTTTATTTTTACGAATTTAAATATATATACAATAAAATAGAGGGTGAAACAAGAAGATTTTCTGACTCGAACCGACCGACAAATCCACCTATGATTCTGCTTTGCTTAGTATACAACGGGCTGGCCCATCGGTTCGTCGGTGTAGTTACTTACTAGGCTTGATGGGTGAGCTACCTAGGGACTATATTCTTATTACAATTATAAATAACTGATACTACTGGTTTTCTATAACTGTTACAGTAGTAGGACGAGTAAATTAGTATGGTGCTGTAACACCTCTCGTTGCAGAGATATTTTAGGAATGGATAATAATAATTAAACTGTTTGTTCCGTTATAGGTACTGCGAGTACTACTAGATACTAGATGGTATGGCTTAGTATATACTTTACCTGAGGCAAATGATTGACGGCGTTATTCAAGAGTAGTAGAAGAAGAAGTAAAGATGTGATGTGGAGATACACACCAGATATTGAATCATAACATGGTGTGCATTATTTTTTGTATTTCATATCTTACCTCAGAATCAGGATGTGTTTGACAATTCGATAGCCATCACACTGTTGCTAACCGGAAAGTGCCCCCTATTATCCTACCCTCATCGCGCTTAGGAATCATATCCACACACACCACCAGTTGTCTCCACTCCCTGGCCCATGTCACTGCATACTCCGTAGTGCCTTAGCTGCATGGGCCGCCGCCAATCCCTTCTCCACTCTCAGCATCCCATCAATTCATCTAGATCCAGGGTCTCTGACGCACGAGGAAAAAATACACCTGCATGACACTCAAAATGACAAAGGAACTGGAGCACAGTCGTAACTTTTTTCTATTCCTTTTCGAGGATTGGCTCAATGGATTGTCTGGATGCGGCCTTGAACATGTGCCTTCCCTGGCATCTGCACCAAAATAAAAATTTCCCAGTGTTGTAGGTATTGAGATTTTGCGTTGGAAAAGCCAATTAGCCCAGAAGATTCCCTCTTCCAGAGCTATATAGCTACCGAGGGGCATCTGTTAGTTGGAAGAACATTTGCTAACTCTCCAGTTCTTTCCTCTTTTATCCCCCCCCGCCTCCTTCTCTACTTCCCTTCACTCTCACCTTCCATCTCTCGTGGGAAGACCATCCATTCTTTTTTTTATTCGTTGAATTTCCCTTACTGAACACGACCTTCCAACCCCCCAGCTCTACATCTTTCATTGTTCCTATTCCCACTACAATTATAAGTTGATCCCGTAGCAACAGTATTGCCGAACTGTCGATCGCATTTACTCTCCGGTTTTAGTCATTTTTGTGGCTTCGCGCGCGGCTAAAACTCTCTATTCGAGGTGTGCCAGGAGAAAGATTTGTCAGGATAAGGAGAAAAAAGTGATGAAATATTTTATTAACTCTGTTGGTTTCAAAAAACAAGCCTGAGTTTACTCACTGTCTTTGTAACGCCATGGAATTCCCATATATGCGAGTGTTCATTGCTCTTTTGTCAGTAGTTCGACCTTTCCTTATTCTATTGCTGCGCTAGAATATTGTTTACACAGACCACTGGTTTAGACATTGAATAACTAACGTATCGTTCACAGTGTTTACCGTTATCTTCGCCTTATTGTGAACCTTGTATCGTTCTGGACTTTTAAGCCCATTCTCCCACCAGAGAACCCGAGATTGACCGCACAAGATGTGACTGTCATCCTTCCTACTCTCGAGGGTTGCGGTGATGAGTTGGTTGAGACAATCAGAACAATTCTTGACAATCATCCTTATGAGCTCCTGTTAGTGACCATCGAAGCAAATCGGAAGAGAGCTGAGAAAATGTTGAGCTTGATGCCTGCTTCAAAATCGAGAATCCGGCTTTTTACGGTCACGCACCCCAATAAACGCCGCCAGATGACGAGGGCCATTCCAGAGGTCCGTACGCCTATTACTATTTTCGCTGATGATGATGTGAGCTGGCCGAACACAGTACTTCCATGGATTCTGGCACCATTCGAGAAGGATGAGCGATACGGAGGTGTAGTGACCTGCCAAAGGCTTCGTCGTGCTGCAGCACCAACATTCTCCCAGAGGATTTGGGGGTTTTTAGGAGCTCTTTACTTAGAGAGAAGAAACTTTGATTGCGCGGCCACGACGCATGTTGATGGAGGTCTTCCCTGTATGTCGGGGCGAACTGTGGCGTATAGGACGGACATTTTGCAAGATGAGGGCTTTACTTATGCTTTCACAAATGAGGAATGGTGGTTTGGCAGATATCAACTGAATGCCGACGACGACAACTTCATTACACGTTGGATGGTGTCACATGGCTGGGAGACCTTTATGCAGTACCATCCCGAAGCTGAAGTCCTGACTACCTTGGAAGATAACCCCAAATTTTTGAAGCAATGCGCGCGATGGTCTCGGAGCAATTGGAGGAGCAACCTTACTAGTATGTTCCATGAAAAACATATCTGGTAGTAAGTAATTCATTATATACCCCTTCCTCATCTCCTAGCTCTTCCTCCTGTTCTGGTATGCTGCCCGCTTGAGAATATACCGGATCAAGTATAGAGGCACACTTTACCACAGCGGTAGCTGGGTCCCTTAAGGGGCTAGTTTATCGTTGGCAAGAGTTGTACCTAACTTGCCAATATGTGCAATGTCTGAATTTGGCAAACCATACGGAGGACAAGCCTCACCCAGGTCATATGCTAATAATTTAATACCAGTCGCCAGCCATGGAGCGCATACGCTGTCCATCTGACCACTTTGTCACCTCCGGCCCTCTTAGGCGACTTGCTACTCGTCCTCCTGTGCCACAAAGCCACGACCTCCTGGGAGGAAGATTCACACGCACTCGCCATGCAAACCCTCGGGGTATGGATGTTTGTGAGCAAATTCATCAAGCTTTTGGGGCATTATATCCGATACCCCGTCGACTTCTTACTCTTACCTGTGTCTATCCTCTTTGGGTATTTCCACGGAGGAATAAAGATGTACGCAGTGATGACTCTCAACGTGGTAAGTTACAAATTAAGATTAGTCTCCCTTTTAGTTTCTCGAATCTCCAGCAGAATGGGCAAGGGTGCAGAGTTTTAAGGTCTGTTTTGGAGCCTTGTGCTTGAAAATTGGTTCTAGCCACTTCTCTGCTCAAGCAATCTGAAACCACCCATTCACCCCCGCCTCAAAATGTGCTTTGGTCACGGGTCTCCTATTTTTGTGCATATTTTGGGTCATGATCTGTTTAACTTGGATGGCCAGCCGTTGGCTGCCTCTTCCTTCGATTTTTCCATTTTCCTCTAGCCCCACCTCTCTTCTTTGGTACATTTCCGCCTCTGCGAGTGTATACCAAGTTCCTTGTCCCCATTGGCATACTCAGGATAGTCATGTAAAGATTTCGCTAACATGGGCATTTCCCCTGTAATCACAGACCACATGGGGTAGCAGAGATGGTGCCGACGATTACGACGCTGAGCGTATGAAGAAGCGGACAGGCAGTGACCGTCCGAAGTCACCTTATTACCCGAAGTTCATCACCCAATAATTTTGGCTTTGGGTGATTGGTGGGGAATTGGTAGTATCTGGGCACAACCTCGTCCAACTTGTCACCATTGTATGTGCTCTGCAATTATCACCTGACGAACGAGGCGTACCACCTATAACTCGATGGAGCCATCCAACCAATGTCCCATTTAGGTCATCGTGACATCTCCAAAATGTTGCTCTGTCCATGATCTAACTTCTCTTTTCTTCCATGCTAACGAAGGAATGCCTCGATGACAATTATGCAACTTGAGATTGAGCAAAATGAGACCTCGAAGATTTACAACTTCCAAGGTTCTCGGCCTTCTTTTACCCACCTTGTCGAGGTTCTCTTTGGTTCTTTCTTGGTATCCGATTGCATTATATCTCGTGATATGATACTGCAGCACAGTTTCACTTTTAATGACCTTTTGCCGTCTCTCTCTCTCTCTCTTTCTTTATTTATTTTATATTATTCCCCCCCCCCCCTCCCCTTTCCTTTCCTTTCCTTTTCCTTTGAACATTCCCCTCGCCCCTTTTCTTTCGAGACACCTAGGAATTCCCAGTGCTCAGACTCAACAGCACAAAGATGGGATAGAGATATTTTATCTTTTTATGGGCTTATTGACCCCCTAATGCCCAATAAAACAAAGAGAGGAGGAAAAGGAGAAGAAAATGGCGAACTGGAGATAATTTTGTAAATTACTAAGGCATGGGCGAGATCGCCTGGCACTCGTGCCACACTCCTTGTTTTTCTCATTTTATTTCTTCCCCTTCGTTAGAGCAGAGTTGGAGTTTGGGAGGCTTTCTGAAGTAACAAATTTTTCGCGAGCCTTTGGCTTGTTCATTGTTATTAGTACCGTTCGGTATAATTTCTAATGAATCGAACCTTCGCCATTGATGATTGACTGTTGTTAATACCGCGCAATAAGCTACAAGTTAGTAATGAAAAAATTTGACTTTGAGAGGCTCAATACAACCGACATTCCAGGCTACTTGTGGATGGACAAATTAAGGGGAGATGTCAACAAATACCTACTACTAGTTGTATTTGCCATAATACACACACACACACACACACACACACAATATATATAGCGCCCAGAACTTGACCATGTAATCTGTAATCTGTACTGGCTATTTTATAGTTACTGGGCTCTGTGGACTATGTAATCCGGAGAAATTGAGTACTATTACGGAGAACACCAAATCAAGTGTGGCGTATGTGGCGAGCAGCACAGGACCCGCTTAAACTAGTGCCTTGAGGTAGCAACACGACGTACATACTACTAGGACTAGCCTCACCCGGTAGTATCTTGTTTTCGCCTATACATGCACCTATCATTACACATTAACCGTTTCCTGAGCATTGCAGATTACAGTTTTCCTGTTAACTCCTTGGTACATAAAGGCTGTGTTGAAAACAAGATGCTGTGTTTTTCTCAAGCCCCGGTGGCTTTTTCACGGCGAATATTTTCGATCACAACCCGACACAACGTTGTTATATCGCGCTCTTTTCACTTTTCCCCATCGAGGCCGCTATTGCTCATCCAGTCACAGCCCATGGCCCTCCTCCGAAGGCTCCCTCCGCCGCCCCAAAGTACAATGAACTCACGAGACAACAAGATGGCAATGAGCTACACACTCGAACGGCAAAGCCGCCACCTCTCAAAAAGAGGTTCTGGAAGAGTGTTGATATTAAGATGAAGCCAGGTATATTTCCTAGTCTATTCTATGTGTAAATATATGGCTGACTGCATCCTTGTGGTCCTCCAGAAGGAGATTACCAAGTCCTGCTAGACACCAGGCCTGTTCGAACCCCCGCAAAAGATGTCCTCTATATCCCGCCAACAAAGCCTCACCTTGCACATTTGATCGCTCTAGAATGGGATGTCATGACCTCGGCCCAGCAAGCTTTGAAAAATCATATGATTCCACTAACTTCTCTCGCTGCGCGAGCCGCGGACATTGCCCGAGAAGATGCGAACGGCGAGACGATTACAAGAGGCCAAATTGTGAAAACTGCAATGCGCTATCTAGAGACAGATACCTTACTTTGTTGGGTGCCGGAGAAGAATGACTACAGCGTTGAGGAAGAAGTTGACGAGCATGATCGGAGACCAGAAAGTCTCCGAGAGGCCCAGATGAGAGTTGCGAAAAATGTAATCTCTTTTTTAAGCACCATGGTGTGGCCTGGTATTGAGATTAGACCCATTTTGGATTCTGAGAGTATCCTGCCGGTGTCGCAAACTCAAGCCACGAATGATATTATTGAACAATGGATTTTCGGCCTACAAGCGCACGATTTAGCTGCTCTTGAAAGGGGTATTCTTGCTTCAAAGAGTTTACTGGTGGCTGTGAGGCTGGTATCGGAGTGGAGTGAAAACTTACGCCATGTACAACGACCGAACCAGAAGAAATTCGGCATCGAAGAAGCGGCTGAAGCGTCCAGCTTGGAGGTAAAGTGGCAAACAGATATGTGGGGTGAGGTTGAGGATACACATGATGTTGATAAGGAGGATTTGAAGCGACAACTTGGTAGTGTCATTGTCTTGGTGAGCGGAGTGACGAAGTGACGAAGTTCTTGTCCTTTGATGCTGTATATTGTATCTATTTAGACGCCAAGTTCAGATTTTGTGGACCATCGTACATTATAATTACATATACAACCATAATTTGCACATTGCAATGAGCCTGTTAGCTTACTCTGGATAGATGCATGTGACAGCTTTAATAGCTTCTTACCCTATTTTCCCCATCACCGAGCCACCACTTCATCTTCGTTGCCTTTCGATACTAAATTTGACTCCTGAGTTGAAACCTAGAGCCGGCAGCTGTCTCCTCGCCAAGGCGCGGGATAGCAAAACCTGCTGTTAATTTGGGGCCCTTTACGACGATCATCGCGCTCCCACGTGTTGACCCAGACAATGAAAGTTTGCCCTCACCAATCAATATTCTAGTGATAGTCCGTGACTTCCTACACAGTACATTAGCAACTCCACGCCTTTCCTCGGCTGCCTCCTCTCTTCTATGTATCTTTCCCCGCAATACTTGGGGAAATTTAAAGTGTCGCTCGTGGCGAGAAAGTGATGACGGAGAAGGGTGAAGGGTAAGTTCCGCTGCGGCTTCTTGAAGTAAACGACCTTGGTTTCATGGATCACATGTCGAGGCCGTGTGTCGCTCTAGGCATACTTGGAGTCCTCGGGCTTCAGATATCTCAGTAGTCATTTTATCGTTCAGATCATTTGATACTTGAACCTGGCGTTTTTTATCGTCTTCGCTATTCAAGGAGTGGCCCGCAGACCTCTTAGACCCTTTGGGTACTTTACTAATTCGTGTTGCCCAAATCCCTTAGGCACAAACGCTCCAGAAGTGCCTTGGCGCTTGCAATTCTGCACCGTGATAAATCGAGGGACGGCCACGAGGGGACGCCTGGCCACGATAGTGGTTCGCCCGAATCTGTTGCTTCTGCTCCCGTAAACGATCCGCCACATTTCCCTGCTCTAGCTGCCACTCAAAGTTCAACCCATCGAAAGTCCCGTCAAGAAGTAAACACTCCCCTTATGCCGGACGAGAACTCCTTGGAGCAGGTACGCTCCAATCAAAGCGGCGATCATATCGAGAGGCTGCCTGCATTGACAACTGCAGACAGCATTAGTATGTCGCTAGACCAGTCTGTAAGGACATTTAGACTTTTTGAGATCCTGCGGAGTGGGGATACAACCGCGATATCAAAAGCTATCAAAGAGACTAAAGATCCTCAGGGAGCAAACAGTCTCTCTGGAACGACTATGCTCCATTTAGCGATCCAATGCGCCGAACCGCAGGTTGTGGAATACATTCTTTCTAGTGGCTATGAACTCGATATCAACGCGCGCGATAGAGATGGTAATACACCACTCCACCTCGCCGCCCAGCTCGGAAGAGGATCTTTAGTTCGTGAGCTACTAAATCGACCTCCTCTCAATGACTCAATTGTCAACTACCGTGGCCAAACCGCTCTAGATGTTGCCCGCACCCCAGAGATCTTTCAACAACTTCAGCTTGCACGATCGCTCTTTATTGACGGCAAGTCACAAGAAATCCAGTCACTCATCTCCAAGGGTGACTATGAACAGCTAGAGAAGGTACTGGAAGAGCCACGGGTTGAAGGAATCATGGATATCAATAGTTTGGACCTGGTCACTGACACTGCGACTGCTCAGTCCGGCGGCACTCTGCTGCATGAGGGTGCCAGGAGGAAAGATACGAAACTCATTCAGCTATTACTGATGCATGGGGCAGATCCCTTCCGTCGCGACAAAAAGGGTAAATTACCACAGGATGTCACAAAGGACGACAGGACACGTGCAATAGTCAAAAAGTCTCCCGCTGCTGTCATTGCTCAGCGCGGCATCCAAGAGAAGGCCATTCTTGGGACCAATTCGGGTCAAGGCGTTTTGGGCCGAGCTAGTGTAGGGGAGGCACCTTTTGCAGGAAAGGATTCTCGCGAAATGAGGGGCTACTTGAAGAAATGGACAAACTACACTAGTGGCTATAAACTGCGGTGGTTTGTACTCGAAGACGGCGTGCTTAGCTATTATAAGCATCAAGGTAAGCGACGAGAGATGTTCCAAAAGGTTGCAACTATCGTTGGTGTCTAACTTATTTTGATCAGATGACGCCGGGTCCGCATGTCGTGGTGCTATTAATATGAAAATTGCTAAACTCAACATGGACTCGCAAGACAAGACTCGATTTGAAATTCATGGCAAATCATCCGTCAAATACCACCTTAAAGCTAATCATGTTGTCGAGGCAAAGCGTTGGTTTTGGACTCTCAATAACGCTATACAGTGGGCAAAAGATGAGGCAAAAGAGGAAGAGAGACGCCAATCTCGGCATGCCGAGGTGCTCCGTCAAGCCAAGATCGAACAGATTGAGGGACGAACAGCTGATAGCTCATCCGATTCACCCTGCCTCGCTGCTACCAAGTCTAGCGGGAAGGGCCTTACTGCTCCATCTCTAGGTGTTTCAGGTAGTAGTGTTACAAGACTTAGCGCCCAGGTGTCTCGCACAACGCTGGAAAGCATACCTGCAGATGAGGAAGGCTCTTTCCGAGGATCATACGACCAGGGTGTCCTGCAAAATGAGGTAAATCGGGTGGCCAGCCATGTAGCTACTGTGCCGGAAGGCGAGGGTGATGATGATGATTATGGTGATTATGCATCCAGCCGGGATGTGCCAATGGCTGATAAAGACGCTTTGAACATCACTGCACAGTCTGCAAATCTTCAACTTGATATCCTCGCGGGTGTAGCGTCCTCACTGCAAACTGAGAAGTCGAGGAACCCAAGCTTGTCGCTCGCGGACTCGGCAGTTGATCAAGCTCTAGCTGCTTATGAAGCAGCTGTGAGTAGTCTCCAGGGGCTAGTGCAAAATCTCCTCAAGATATCCCGGGATCGTGATGCCTACTGGCAGTATCGATTGAATAGGGAAGCGCATCTCCGTAAGATGTGGGAAGAAAGTATGGCACGGGTTGCGCAGGAACATGAAGAGTTACAGTCAAAGATGGGAGAATCTGAGGAGAAGCGCCGACGTACGAAGCGTGCCCTCAAGGAAGCCTTAGAGGTCTCGTCAGCAACCACTAGTTGTGCTGTCGGTAAAGCGCCATCTCGTATGGCATCTACAGGTGAAGAAGGGTATGGGATTGATGAACGGATAGAGGCACATGCTCCAGGAGCTGAGAGTCCTTCTCAGGTTGATGAGCAAGCCGGGCGACCACTTCGGCGTAAGAAGTCGACTCTTTCTCAGATCAGTGATCTGTGTGATTCGGCATCGGATGACGAGGACGAATTCTTCGATGCGATTGACTCCGGGGAGATCGAAGTGGAGAACTTAGCACATACAGAAACAAGTACCGAAAAGGAAAAATCGGTGGGAGAAAGAACCGAATTGAGGGCCATAAAACGGCTGGAAATAGCACCATCGTTCAAAGGATATGAGGAACCTATCAGAACGAAATTGAAGATGGATTATGATAATCGGCCAAAAATATCCTTGTGGGTGAGTGATATTTAACCACTACCAAGCTAGTAAGCAACAGGCACCGTTTTACTTATTATTATCATCTTAGGGCATTCTGAAATCGATGATTGGGAAAGACATGACCAAGATGACTCTGCCAGTTTCCTTCAACGAACCTACGTCTTTACTACAACGTGTGGCTGAAGACTTGGAGTATGCGGATCTTCTTGACGTGGCTGCTGATCGATCTGATTCAATGGAACGCATGGTGTATGTCGCTGCCTATGCGGCGAGTGAGTACGCCTCGACAATAGGCCGTGTTGCCAAACCGTTCAACCCTCTTCTGGGAGAGACATTTGAGTATGTCAGGCCCGATAAAGGCTACCGGTTCTTCGTTGAGCAAGTCAGCCACCACCCGCCAATTGGTGCTGCCTGGGCGGAATCGCCAAAGTGGGATTATTATGTAAGTGTCAAGCCGTAGGACGAAAGTAATACGTCACCACACCGCTAAGAGTTTCAATAGGGTGAATCTGCCCTTAAGTCCAAGTTCTACGGGAAATCCTTCGATATCAACCTTCTTGGAACCTGGTTCCTGAGGTTACGCCCTGCTTCGGGAGGCGAAGAGCTCTACACGTGGAAAAAAGTCACCTCGTCTGTCATTGGCATTATTACTGGTAACCCCACAGTTGACAACTATGGGTTAATGGAGATCAAGAATTGGACGACCGGCGAGGCCTGCTACCTTGATTTCAAGCCAAGGGGCTGGAAAGCCTCGTCTGCATATCAGGTGGCCGGTAAGATCGTAGACAAGGGCGGATCCCCGAAATGGAGCATTGGTGGCCGTTGGAACGACAAGATTTTTGCTCGCCATACTCCTGGATATGAGGTGGATGTATCCAGTCAAGACCCGGAGTCGTCTAAGGCGTTTTTGGTATGGCAATGCCACTCCCGCCCAAGCGGTATCCCGTTCAACTTAACGCCTTTCGTTATCACATTGAATGCCCTTCCAGAAGATCTGAAACAGTATCTCCCCCCAACTGACACCCGACTTCGACCCGATCAACGTGCAATGGAGGAGGGAGACTATGATATTGCCGCTAACGAAAAGCATCGAGTTGAAGAAAAGCAACGAGCCAAACGAAGAGAGAGGGAGACAAAAGGAGAAGAGTACCAGCCAAAGTTCTTTATTCGGAAAAAGTGCCCGATTACTAGTGAAGATTATTGGGCGCACAATGGGAAGTATTGGGCCTCCAGGGAAGCACAGGACTGGAGTATATGTGAGGACATCTTCTGAAGATGGTCTCCATGCCGCACTTAAGTGGTTTTGGGTTCAATCCTACAAACAGCTCTAGTAGTATTTCAATGTGTCACGGTCTTGTTTCGTAATTTCCTTTGGGTACAATGATTTTTCTCGAGTGAGATCATACAATCATCAGTAATTGATAATAGGCACAAAGTTATAAAAATTCATCCAAAGGCCCTCAGTAATACGGATCTAATTTGGATCATGACCCTTTGATCACGTGTCAATGCGGGATCGTTACTTGGAAAGAACAATTGCCAACTCTCCGCATCAGCAGATGATTGCTACTTGGGTCGCCTTCTAACAACCATCACAATGACCGGCGAATATACCTGTGGACGTTGTCTACAGGTGCTCCGGCAACAGGTTGCGGCTCATGGCCCTGTGATCCGATTGCAGACGGCATATAACCCAAGACGGATATACAGGCCATCGGTCTCCCTCGTGCGAAGCTTTGGTTCACGAAGTGACAGTCGTTTCACATCCAAAAATCTCCAAGGCCACATCAAACGGGCCACCACGCCTTCGTCTTGTAATTCCAATGCTGTATCACACAGCGTTCCGCAATATGTGCAGCGCGCCACGTCCGCTACGTCGACTTACTCGCCAGAAACGCGTGCTTTGCTGCAACCAAACAACTTGTTCCACCCATTTTCTCGGTCGCCTTCACCTTCGATCCGGCAACGTGCTGCGTTTATCAAACAAAATGCTTTTTGCCCTCACCCTAGTCACCAACAGACCCGTGCACCAGTCTCCCCACATGACCCCGAGTCGCGAAAGAGCCAGCAAAGCACGAGTCCCCCAGCCCATTCGCATTTTGAATGCCCTGACTGTGGTGTCCCAATCTATTGCTCAGAAGGCCACTGGATGGATGACTTTGAGGCACATTTGGAGATTTGTGAGACCATCAGACAGATAAACGAGGATGATCACGATCTCCACTCTGGTCGGTTTTTCCCCGAGTTTTCTTACCCGGGTCTTCAGGATGATAACTTCGTCATCAACATGACAAATTGGGACACCTTTTTGTATACGCGAGAGTTCGATGCGATCAACCATGATCGGAGTATGCGGCAAGTGACTAGGATGCTCACTTACCCTCTTACAATTGGGAGTGTCTTGCACGAGCTGAGCCCTTACAGCGTTCGGAAAGGTGGTAGACTTACAGCTGAGGGACTCAAGAGTGTGAGCGGTAAGTTATCATAGATGAAATGCGAATGAATCCACCTACTGACCCTCTCCATTCAGCGCTTCGATACACTCTGCACCCTCCCAAGACTGGAGAAGGAGTTGATATTCAAGGATTGCGCTTGAAGGCCCCACCGATTAGGATATTCATTCTGGGCGCGCGCGCCGAGTCTTCACTACCTCGTGATGTCTGGCTTCAGCTCAGTTATATCTTCCCACGATCCCTCATCCATTTAATTTTTATTGGACCAGAGAGCATGGCCAACCGAGACGCTGAGTTCCCACTTCCTGAACGGACGCCCGAGAACCCGTTCGGAGGGATCGTGGAAGACAGACTTGGCGGGCAGATGAAGATTACAACGTACGTCGACTACTTCCACACAATGTACAAAGCGCAATATTTCCAGCCGTTCGATCCATATTTAGACTGTATCATGCTCTTCCATCCTGGTCTCGGACACCCGGCCAGCTCCCATGAATGGGAAGAAACGCTACCACAACTACTAGAGACCAAAGTCCCGATTATCAGCACTGGCTATACGCAGTGGGATATGGAGAGGGATATCAATTGGGTCCATGAGAAATGTGCTGGTGAATTTGATATCTTGTTGGAACCAGGCGAGAACATCTTTCGCAGTCTGAGGTGGGATCTCAATGACTTGGACCCTCATGATGTTTCTTGCGGAAACTGGGGGTTATGGGCATTCAGAGGGAAAAGGTTCGTTATATGCATCCCTTATTAGCACCCTTCCATCCTGTATATGTTTATATTTGACTTTATTCGCAAGTTTCTATGTTTGTCTGCTAACCAACTCAACCACAGATACGAGGCGACGCTCAAGGGTTAGAGTTCTCCTTCGCCTGTATATTTACCAGACGTCTTGGTTGCACATCGAGTGGCCATTTAATCAACGTGGTTTGATTAGGGTTGAAGGAACAAGAGTTCCCAATCTATATCCTATATTCAGCCTTTATGGTTCTATTTCAATACAATCCTTGTACTATTGTCTATGTTATCTAATACTGTGCCATATATAGAAGTGTTTCTTTTGATGAACATCACATGACAATCGACTAATCCTTACTAGTGCGTAAATACTAGAATATTGTATTATAGTAGCATACTCAGAGGCAACACCTTGAAATTAAGTTATGCATGAACAAGGCAAGTTTCAATCATCGGCAGTCCATTCACTCCTGTACTCGTTATCCCGGAACATGAATTGGGGCCGGGAGAAGCCAAAATAAATCCAATATAAGATTTTCAAGATCAAGAAAGAAAAAGGGTATAAAAGGTCGGAATCGTAATAATGGGTGGCAGGGAATTAAGCTATCAACGAGGCTGACAATCAAAATTCGAGTCACAGCATAGTAAAATAGAATAAAAGATGGCGACCCGTCCCAACAGATGATGAACACCATCATGTAGAACTACTGTAGACTTGGCTGAAGCTGCTTAGGAGAATCGCATGAGTAATGAGACAGGTATAGGGAAGGCAGTTTGCTTTGAAGGGATAGTTGATATGCGGCTGGGTTTGCCAACTCCCTATTGGCATTGTCTTCTCTCTATGCTTGGCCCACAAAGCACGTCAATCAACAAGTGTTCAAAAGCAATACACATGGTGCTCTGCAGTCATATCGGTTCATTGACAGAGACATGACCATTGTCGTGCATGCGCGCTGCTTCGAACTGCACACTGGGGCCTTTAGAGCACTATGAAGCCAGCGGCAGCGATAACGCCCACAGCCATTGCACTAGGGAGCTTAATGGCAGGGGCACCACCAGTAGCCTGGGGGACGATATACGATGAAGGTGTCACAGAAGGAGTCGCAGAAGGGGTCTTTGAAAAGAGTGGAGTGGAAGACGCCCTAGCGGAGCTAGAAGGAGTGTGGGTTGAGAAAGCAGAAGAGCTGGGAGACGCCGTAGAAGTTGGTGCAGGGTTTGAAGTCGTTACAGGAACGACCTCGATGGTGAGGGTCTTGGTTGGCGCATCCTCTCCCAGGGTGACAGGCGCAAGAACGGCGGTGATGATGAGAAGAGCTTTGCTGAATTGCATCTTGACTGCAACGAGATAATGGACTCAACTCGTTGCGTGGTGTACGATTTCAATTGGGCTGGCTTTGTTTTGAATCGCGTGTGGGCGGGAATGCGACAGAGGTGCGAGATAGTATATGTATTTTGTTGCTTTTTTGGATTTCGTACGTTGGCCAAAAGAGTGAATGGAGCTGGAAATGAGTGACAGCTCTTGTGTATAGTTGAGAAGAAGCAAGATTAAATGGATGGCAAGCACTGCTTTGATAAAATCAAAATGAAGGAGCGACTTGGGGGTAAAAGGTGAGGGAAAAGGGGTTCAGACTAAAGAGGAACGGGGCGTCTATAACTCGGCCATTGTCCGGAGACTCCGAGCGTGTCATTTTATTACCTAAACAGATGGTCTGTCGACTAGCAGCACACCGTCGTAGTACATTCATTCATTAGTCCATTCGTATAGGAAACTCTGATTGCAAGATGTCGATCTCTTCACTTGGCGCGTCCACTGCTATGAAGTTGTTCGTACCTGACTAACCCGTTAGTTCAATTCCTAGAACCATGGAAACAACTAACTAAGCGGGCGAGCAACACAAGAAGTAGTACCTATATCTTGCTCCAACCTAGGAATGGGAGCTATTTGCAGCAGCTAGGCTCATTATCGTGGAAGATCTTTCTCTCTGACTTCGTGCGTTGTACATACATTTTTGTCCTTCTTTGTTTATACGCGGACAGGGTAGTATCGGATAAACCTTTTGAGGGGCTTTGGGGGCTCTGTTTTTGAGACAATTTGTCTCCGAACGAGTCTAGTGGGGAAGTTTCAATTACTTTTGAACGAAATTTGTTGCGGCGGGCCGTGGGATCACGAGCCAAGGCTGTCCAAAAAGGGGTCTTACGAAGAGTAGCCTGAAAGGACCAAGTATATCATGAAATAAGTTTGTATCATGCGTAACAATGATGCGCCGTTAGTATCATTATGAACAATGGATGTGCCCCCATCCAACGCCCGAGAGTGGGTATCAATATCAAGGCTCTAGATCCATGAAAACAAGACGTTACCATAGCCAAGCCAAGCCAGGTAATCTTTGCTAGCCCAGCAAAGTCGCCGACACTAGGGCTCAAATTCTAAAGAGCCGGAATGGAAATCGTACAAATAAGGCCAGGAGAGGTGTGAATGAGAGCCCTCTCCCACCCACCAAAAGAAGGAGAAGGAGCCAGCAACTACCGTCAAACCATCTTGGGAGGACTGTAGGTTATATTATCCTAATGTGCAAGTCCAACGGCGGCATCACAGCCCCCAAATGGTACTGGCCACCAAGGCGGCCATTGGCCAATATCCACTGGTCTGGATCACCGTCCGAGCAGCGCCAGAAGGTGTAGATACGTTGGCAACAGTCGTCCCATTAGGTAACGTGCCATTGATATAAATGGTCTCAGTGCCATTGACTCTGACAATTTTAGCGACACTGGAATTCGTAGGCTGGGTGCCGTTGAAAATAGATTCATAATACGATCTATCCGAATTGTTATCGCATGCACATTCTGCATACTCTTCGCACAGACAGATTACCGGTATCGATGCGTTATGGTGTGTGATCTGGTCCACATATTGATATTGGTAGTTATATGGATAGGCGTAAGCTCCGTACAGCCAGATACCACCGAAGAATGCCAAAGCAGCTGTTGGCAGTATGATAGGTGCTATTCCTAGTGGTGATAGAGCACCGGAGGTATAGGGAGTGCGAGCACCACCCGCGTAGTAAATACCTCTACCATATGTGGGCTGTGGCCCTGACCCACTGCGAGAAGAGCCGCCGGAGTTGCTAGACGAGCTGTATAGAAAAATGATGGGTTAGTTATAAAAGCTCATATCACTTTAGGAATTTGGGACACTTACCCAGTTCTTGATGAAGAACCGCCACTACCTCCTCGCCCACCACTTCCACCACCACTGCCTCCCCCCCCTCGTCCTCCTCCACCTCCACGCCGTTTTTCTAAGTATACGGGTTCATGAGATCTAGGTACAGGAACCACATCTTCGGCTAGATCTGACCGTGGGATACTGGTGGCTGCAGTCGGGAGAAGGAGAATGATACTTATGAAGGCAACCTTCATTTCCCCCTTCTTTTAGATGCCGGAAAACCGATGATCTTCTTGATTTGGGAGATTGTTGTTAGGCTGTATAAACGTAGGATACTATATCGGGCTTTTGGATACAAAGCGGGAAGAGCTGCTTGAAAGATTGAGTCGCACGACTCGCTAGTGAACAAGGATAAAGGGGTAGTTAGGACAGGATAGTAATTTTTTATTTTTGCGAACCAACCTTTATTGTGGAAATTATCATGATTGCGTAGTATGGAGTAGAGATCGTTTAAGGGAGATGACTTCACCCTGAAAGTTAATGTCCATAAAATTACGGGTAGTTAAAGGAGAGCTCCATCGGTCATTGGACCAAAAAACCAAGCCACACTCGTATAAATGTCGGGTTTTACACTGCCTTTGCTCCGCAGGGCTTCTACTGCTTACCACCAAGGCGGTGCAAGTTAGAGCCGCATTATCACTCCAGAAGGTGTGTGCCGGACAGTCAGACTAGTACTACTCTACGCTGTAAGGTATTGGAACCAAACACGAGTCCACGCCTGTTCTTTCCTTTAATGTCAATCTATACACAGCAGCTTCTAACCCGATCCTGGATTAGCCACAGCCCATCACCAAATCAAATGATTCCGTGAAATGATGTACTAGACTGTTTATTACAGCTCTATAGGCACTATTTAATGGTTCACCGACCTACTGAGTGCAGTAGATATACATATATAGTACGAAATCCGTATTTCTAGCTTGGTTTAGCTTGACCACTATAAACATACAGCTCGCTCTTACAGCCCTACTCCGTTAGTGCTGATTGCCCACTCTCCTTTAAGCGTGGAATTATTCCCATCCTCACAGTTGCGGGAGGAAGGGCATGTCACCAGGTACATACATACACCAGATTCACTTTTGCCCTGCCTTGATAAGCGGCCTAAAAATGGGCTCCCACATCTACACTCGGATCCACTCCTCCAAATCATTTTCATGGCTCTGAATTTCCTCTTCTTGGGCATATCCTTCCTTGATTGCTTTCTCGATGACTGCCCAAGCAATATGCACGCTAATCTCGCTTATATTTTCAATATCGGGAAGGAGAGGCCGGCTTGGATCCCGTAAAGCCGGAGACTGAGAAGCTAACGCTCTGGCGGCTGCCACCAACATATTGTCAGAGAGGATCCTCGTCCGAGATAGAACTGCCCCAAGACCGATACCAGGAAAGCAGGTTGAACTGTTGCACTCCGCTATTTACAGTGATGCTTGTGTTAGCAGAGATTGAGAATAATAGCCTTGTACTGTCATGAAATATGGCTGCATATCACTCACCAACTTCGTATTCTATTCCGTTACGCTCAATGGGAGGGAGTGGACTCCCAGTGGTTGATGTCACCTGGTGAAGCTTCATGCAATCGTGTAGGGTTGTTTAAGGGAAAGACGGTAGGATGTTCAACGTGCTTTGCCATCTCCCGGATAATATCTTCTGTAAAGGCCTTTGGTTTTATTAACGTGCCGATCAAGGCATGCGTTTTTATCTTCTTTACAATTGAAAGTAAATCTGTACCCTTCTCCTTGGGCTACTCGTTGTCATCCCGTACAAATAGTGCTTGAGCTGCAGTAAGTTGGTCACCAAGATATTTGAGCAAAATATCTGGCTTATCTAGACACCTTTCCATTGAAGTTAGCTACCATGCCACCATCCAACCATCAGTATGACCTCCTACAAAAGACTCACCATATCTGTGCTGAAGCTTCTTTGTTCTGCCAGTGTCCGTAGTAATAGTATCGGCGACTTGTTTTGCAATCCCAGTACCAGCTGAGCCCGAGCCAAAGATAACTACACGCACATCTGCTAACTCGATGTTACCGACACGAAAAGCCGCCATTAAAGCCGCCATTAAAGCCGCCATTAAAGCCGCCATTAAAGCCGCCGAGTTCACACATCATTTTTCCTGAATGTCATCATTGAAACAGGGAATATGTGTTCGATACTGATTTAGAAGTCTGCTGGCATTATGGAGGCCAAAGTCTTTGCTGGATGAGTGTCAGTTTATTTACAGAGGATAGGAGGAAAAGGGACAGAAAGACAGTTAGAAAGGGGCTTGGGTGCCAAGGAAGCAAAAGAGGCGAATGGAGCGTTTAGATCAATACTAACAAATGAATGTAGGCTTTAGGAAACATTCTCCGGGAAGTTGTCACAAACTTTGCTACAACCCGATCGTATTCCTCACCTCTGACACGCGGCTGTCAAAGACCCAGGTACAGCTCATCGTTGAGTAAATCTTTGTTCTGCCATCAACTTAGCCCAGGACTTATAAGCTGCTATGACGACCATACATCTGTGCCACAATCTAGAACTACGGGCAGCTGTCGAGAAGGGTGAATTCCAGCACATAATGTTGCGAGAGCCAGTTTGGCAACAGATAGTAATATGGATCCAACACCTTGGTCTCCGATGTCCAGTATCTGCAATTGAAAGCGTGAGAGTTGCTCTTGGGAACTAAGAGAAGAATATTCCTCACTTCCTCACCATCACTAACCACGATGTAATCAACATCTATGTCGCGACCAAAATTGCAAAGATATTCTTCAATTCTATCCTGGTCTTTTATATTCAAGAAGCAGCCCTCTGGCCTTCTGAATAAGCGCGAGTAATTCTGAATTGCATCACCTTCTGTGGGTGTGTATATGATACTAAACATCTCTTTCAGATGAGTTTGTATCAACTATGACAAGGAGTTAATCCATTCATTCAAGCTTATTATGGAAGCTGATGACACATTAACGTACTTTATAGTACAGAACTTCATTCTGCGGCTTCATGCTTGCCATGAAAGTATTTTTCGCCAAATAATCGGTATGGCTCTTGTATTGTTGAAATGCCCGCTGGACCTGCTCTTCCAAAGTTTGGATGTTCAGAGGTAATAGACCATGCAGCTTGAAACCCCTCCGCTCTTCTTCGCTGAATGCAGAGCCTTTATTAAACTGGCATGACGCTATGATATCCCTGGCCTATGATTTCAGTACATCAGCCATCCCGTGCGTTGAGAACTCAACCCATTGACAATAGTAATTATCTAATATGGACACTCTAGAGGCCCAAAAGCTGCACATGGGTGGTGACTAAATCTGGACAAATGCTTCGACATGGGCATGTTCAATAGTCAGATCACTGTGAACAGTATGCAAATACTATGTAACAAGGCAATTGCAGTGTTGCACCAAGTGGTGTATTGTCACCGACGACCAGGATTAAGAATATATGCTTTCATATATAAGCTGAAACAGCTCTTGCGATGGCAGGAAAATATGGATGGATTGGTGGGGAGTACCGATGACGTAGAGGACCAAGCCGAATTTGTTCATACTACTACCAGTAGGATGCAGTACTGTTACAAGCGATACCATCTTCTAAAGAAATAATGAGGGAGAAGCTATCTAGGGTCGCCTTCTGCTTACATATATATCCTAGCCACCTGCTTGTTTATTCTTTAGTTGTTTGTCTGTTGAGTCATGCCATTGTGGATAACTTGCCTAAAGTGGTATTCTGGCGAATACTTGGGCCGCCATATCCAACATCTTCTGCACGAGAATTTTATTACAGGTAATCCCACTGGAGGAGGCAAGCATCAAACAGGGATATGATAGCTCCACTCTGGATTTCCGGTCAAGTACTAGTACGTAAGTAGTGGGAGGTCTTGGGTCAAGTATAGAGTACAATAAACACGATCTTGCTGTTCTGATAGCAGACCATCGTCAATATTTGCGTACTGTCTTTCCGGATATACTAAGTATTAGGACAAGATCAACAATGACAGGTCTATGAGCAGTCTACTTAAGACTCTTACGGAGTTCGGGAGATAGAACACACTGTTATCGACCAAAATATCACGTGGTGATAATGCACAGTACACAGATGGTGACCCTGATGACTAAGCTCTAACCGAGTAACTAACTAGTTAGTTACTAGTTAGTGGGTGGAGAGAGCGGCAAACAAAAACTTGAGTCTTAACAAAATCTTCACATCACACACCACCATTCGCATCCAAGTCGATGTCCAGCTTTAATGTTGATCTGGAAGGCGGCCAAGAAATTTCAAGACTGCAAATCAAGGTCCTCAATGTGTCCAGACTATTGCACGAAAACAGCGACGAGCCTGTGTTCATGCAAGACGCCATCATGTTACGGTATATTGCAACTACACAACCCAGCTGTCTCAAGTCTATGCGGTCTATGAATCTATTTGGACAAATTGATTGCGAGACTATTACCACGGACCCTTCATTGAGGGACGGTCTTCACATGCCATGTCTTGTGGCTGTGCTTTTGACTGGAGCTGGGTTGTAAGGATCCATCTCGAGTTCCTATTTTCAGTTGCTAGAGGAAAGTACAGGGCCTTCATAGTTCATGTTGCTCGCGTTATATTTCATACGAGAGCATGACTCCTTGCGCACCTACAGTATACGGTTAAGAATATATATCTGGATGTACATAAACTGCTCAACATCAATGAGTTTCTATACTAAACGCAAATAGTAGTAGCTATTCATCCTTACAACTTACTCCTTGCTTCATCGATGACCTTAACAACCACTTTACCCCAGGTTTCCCTTCCTCCAAGCGCTTGCAATGCTCTGGGTACACTCTCTAGCCCCACAAAACTTTCATCCTTAAAAGCTGTCCCCTTAAATTTGCCTTGAGCCACAAGGTCAAAGATCCCATTCCAAACAGTGCCCACGGTACCCTTCTCAAACTTGGCATACTGCCCCCAATGCAGCCCCACAATGCTCACATTTTTCAGAAGCACCCGATTCAGCGCGACCTTCTCGATCTTGCCCGCTGCGAAACCAATAACTAGTAGGCGTGCATTCCATGCGACACATTTCAAACTGGCATCGATCATACCCACAGGATCATAAACAATGTCCACACCTGCCTTCCCATTGCCAGCTCGATGTTGCGCACACAGCTTCTTCACTTCTTCAGGCCAGTCCGTATTTCGGTAGTCGATGACATGATCAGCCCCGAACTCTCGTGCAATCTGCCTTTTGCGTTCTGTGCCAGCCGTCGCTATTACCGTCGCGCCTTTACCCTTCGCAATCTGCACGGCAGCTAATCCGACCCCACCGGCGGCAGCATGGACGAGGACCCAATCTCCTGGCTGCACGTTTGCTCGGTGCACTAAACCGCCGTACGAGGTAGGTGCCGTGACGAAGAGTCCAGCTGCATCTTCAAAACTCCATCCATCTGGGACAGGGAGTAGAGTATGCTCAGGGGCGAGGATGTGGGTAGCGTAGGCCCCTTGTGTGGCGCCGAAGACACGATCACCGACTTTAAAACGCGCTTGCAAGGCGGATTTGGACGTTGGCACGGCTAGAACAGTTCCGGCAAACTCAGCACCTCCGATCCACGGGAGTGGAGGTTGGTGTTGGTATTTGCCTTGTATCTGAAGGAGATCGAAGAAGTTGGTACCCGCTGAGTGAATCTCAATTAGGTAGTCACTAGGGGATGGGGATGGGGTAGGGAGTGTAATGATTTGTAGATCCAGAGGCCCCTTTTCAAACTCGATCAGCAACGAATCCATGATCAAAAATTACCTGGTAGATAACCATTCGCTTACCTTAACATATTCTTTGACCTGAATAGCACGCATATTGATGGATGATTGGGAACAGTGCAATGACGATGATATACGTTAGGTTAAGTCCTTTAGAGGAATGGGAATGGCAGCCAGTGGATTCAATGAGAAATTCAGCAGTGAGCTTTAATGGAATTCTAGGAATAACGAAGTTTGTTCTGCAGCGAGGAATAAGTTTACAGAGGAGCACTAAAAGTTGAGTAGCTGTCCCCGCGTCCTGAGATGTGCCGAGGTCCATTGTCGGATAAGACGATTTGACCTCCTTGAACGGTGTAAATGATTACCTCATACTCCTCACTAGCCCTTCTGCAGGTGTGCAAATGAACCTTCGTGTTCATCAATGAAGGACATATATACGTCTGATACAGATACAAAAATTGAAGCTCTAAGTTCTAACATTGATGAAACCGAATCCCAATCCCCGGATTCCGAATTAGCAAACAGTAATAGTTTCGAATGGCTAAAAGAACAGGTATGCAAATGGACACCTTAACTCCTTCTTTGCTCATGGATATCAAATAATACACCTCTGATCCTGTAGTACCTGCCGTTGCGCCAAGGATCTCATGGCCTGCTGAGATCATGCAGCTTCATTATTCACCATACCACCGCCGTAAACGAAAATTCCACCATTTTCTTCTCCGAATTCCATATACACATAGACAAATCAAGACCATCAAAAGAAGGGAGGGGGGGGGGGGATGGAGAAAATGGAGAAAAAGGAAAAATTCATGCATGGTAACACATTATCCAAGACGTCTTGGAATAGTACAGTGAGTACTATATGTTTTATGAATGCAAAAACAGAAGCAGACCGACAATCAATGCCGAGAGAAGTATATAGATATAGATTGTTTTGCTTAATAAGGAAATGTCGGCGCACACATCACAGGATGTCCACTGGGGAAAATGGGGGAATGAGTTACTGGTCCAACCGGAAAGTGATTGGATAACTTGGTAGGGAGTGATGTCTTCTCTTGCTGCCCTGTCTTTTGGTTGGCCCTCAAGTGACCGCCAGCGGTACCAGGGCTATAGGGAACAGGTATGCTGTGGAGAGATAGCTTCCTCGCGTCATGTGGGTCGAACACCTGCTCATGCGAGAATGAGCACCCTGGGGAAGGGGGTGAATATAGCCGATGAGGAGGGTGTGGAGATACCATCTGCATTGCTGGATCGATGGGGGGGCTCAGAGGTGGGGCTGTGTAGTATGGCATTGATGAAGGGTGAGCACCAGCCTCTAGATGTATCGGATACCACTGAGGTACAACCCAACTGATGGGCGCTGTCGCTGCGGTCGTCGGGGTTGTCATGCATGAGCCTGTCGTCACCGCATAATGAGAGTTTTGGAACGAACCCATCGAAGATGTCGAGTCAAGTATAACGCCATCTATTAGAGGCGAGGTATTGGATGATGGCTCGAAGGAGTTGGACATAACTACCACAGAAGAATCCCTATCATGAGCCCAGGCGTTGGAAGCATTCTGGTTGTTGAAAGATCCTGTGGTAGGGAAATCATGATGCATATATGTTCCATCGCCCATGTAGAGGTCTGATTCGGAAGAGGACAATACAGTATCTGGTTTCTGTGTCGAATACAACTGGGTCTTAGGAGAAATTGGAGTTTCGGCCTTTGGTGACCCTGCCTCGTGGCTACTGCTATCTCCATTGACGTTCTGTTGGTCATCTTGAGACTTCTTCCGAGTCTGCCGTGAGGGTTTGGTAACACGCCATTTCTTTAATCTACTCCGCAGCTGAGTCTCACTGGTAGCGATTGTCAGAGAATTAGATTAACCGTACACAGGAGCAGTTTCTTAGAATAGCTCACCTTGGGTTAAAATCATCGGATCGGATTTGTTTAATGACTTGTTTGAGAGGCCATTCTTCGTCCTTGTATAGCTTGGCGATCAAGGCTTTCTTCCTCTCCCACACGTCTGATGGGATTGTGTTCTTCATCTCCAATTCTCTTTTTTAGCCTATTTGCAGACCGGCCAGTTGGTTGAAAGAGCGTACAGAGAATGGACTGTGATAGGGTGACACGGAAGACAATAGGTTGTATAGTCAATGTAGGAAGTAAGCGAGGACTCTGAGCTAGAAGCAATGATAGGAATAAAAGCGGAAATACTTTATATGGAGAGGAAACTGTTATACTCTAATGGAGGAGATCGGGGGATCTAAGGTATAAGTACAGGACAACAAGTGTATCACTGGTAGATCCTAGTGGGTGAGTTACTAGTAGGAACCACCATAAGCGCATGCACCACTCCAACCAGCAGCACGCCATGAGGAGAAGTGGATAAGACGAGGTATGGGATTGAGAAGCTCGTGCCCATTGAGCAGTTCATTCGGGGAGAAGGGAGATCTACCCAGCATGACAATGCCCAGGGAACAACATCACCCACAAGTGGATCACTTTCTTTAGTCTGGTGGGGCTTGTAGCTCGGTCACTCGGGTTTTTAGTTGCTGGGGATGGTACTTCCAGTGCCTCGGGTCCTGTCATTCAGTCTTTCAGTAATCTTTTCGTCCTTAGTATCGTTGATAAGTTATTAACCAGGAGCGCCGAATCAGCTTGACCCATTTAAATTACTTGAGTAATTTCCATGCTCCTGGTTTCCAAAGTAAGCTTTTTCTGTCGATCATTTTGGGAAGTGTTCCGGGTTGGAGTAACCATGTTCAACTTCTGCTACTAACCACATCCCACCCCAGCACTTGCCTATGCGTGTATCTATGTTGTCCTAGGTCAGACGCTGTGTAATTACAAAATAAATAAATAAATACAATATGGATATCATCACGGTAAACCCATTATCCACCTTTCAGTAGGTCACTTCTTTTTTTCTTGCGAATGTGTCAATGGTATGTTATTTGATCGATGTGCCAATTACCCTTTTTTATTGTGGTATCGCCCCATCTCTTCGAGTCACATCTAAATGTCTCATTGGGCTGCCTAGTCATTTCCCGTCAATAGTTCCATCCGACGGGATGTAGGTGCACCTAGTAGTACCTGGTAGTACCCCCGGAACAGTCAATGAATTCTTACCTCCTGTTTGTTCACATTAAGATGGTTCCTTCATTTGCCCCCTCCTTAGGACTTTATTTTATTTTCACGTCTATTATTATTATTATTTTTTACCAGTTCCAAAAAACCAAACAAGTCCAAAAATACATACGTTAGGTGAGGGCAGAAGAGTAGTACTCCACCGAATGTAGAAATTCAAATCAAAGTCACTCGCTGGCCAGGCTCATGGGACGATCCTCCCAGACTAACCAGATCCAGTCTACTCCGGTTAAGCCTCTACGGAGTACGGAGTAAGGGGGTGATCCCTCCATCTTGTGTTCACAGTGGGGAGACTAAGCCCAACCAAACGCTTGGCGCAGTCATGGAGCTGCCTATTCAGGAATAGGTGCGGATCCTCCAGGTTGGTTGGTGATAGATGTTAGTGCTGGAAGTAGAACCTCCTACCAAGTAAACCTTTACCAGTGCATGCCGGAATACATGGAACAGTTGTAGCACGTGGGTACCGTATTAGTGTGTATTCATCTAAAGCCCATCCAGTAAGGTTAAATACAGACTACAGTACCCCGTACCTACTTTATAAGTTTGCTTGTACAGACTGTGGTGTAAAGACGAAGAAAGTCAATCTACATGCCTGAGTCGCGGGATATGTTCCATGCTCTTCCGTACTCATGTTATGGTGTCTGCTACTCCTAAGGGCCCATTGTTCATGACCTACCAATCAAACCCTTCATAATTATGACACTGGCTGGTTACCAACTAACTGTGTCGATAGACTTGACGATTGGCCGCCTCAACCATAGATTATCCTTCCATGGGTGATACTTGGAGAAGGTCATTGATGGAATGGTTCTGGATGGAACGTTCTTGACTCCTCACTTTAGTTCTAACAAAACCATGTGGCTTGACTGCCTGATCATCCCTGCATTAGGCTGCTTTAATAACAATGGCAGTATCTGAGCCAGAAGAGAAATGGTTGCGAGGCATGACTGCTGATAAATTCCAAGGGAATATACGAAGTATATGCAAATGATAATCCTTTAATCTCCTCTACCAATATGATGGATCGTAGATACCAGTAAATACTAGGCTTATTATCGTCAATGTCTTAAATTTGGTTGGGTTGAGGCTCGAATTAATGTAATATACCATTCATTCATTCTCTCTCTTATTTTTACCGATGCTGCCCCGTAAAAAAGATCAAGTGACCAATTCCCGGCGGCTGATCGGAAGACAAACCAAGGAACCGTAGCGCGCAAATTAACTCTGCGCGCACCGTTGAACAGTGACCATTACCTCACTACAATGTGGACACTTTTTTATGGAGTAAAAAGTGAGAAAAAAAAGTTTACATTAGAAAATCGGAGGTTTACTTCCGATAAAAGTTTACGACGACACAATACACCGTCAACATATCGGCGACCGAAGAAGATAGTGGAAACTAAGGCAAAGAAAAAAGGAAAATGCAAACATACAAAACGGATTGATCTCATCCACCAACCTACGCACTATCGATGATGCTGGCAGGAAGCGAAAAGGAATAGTGCTGTGACTAGGCTATCTAGCTCCTGACAGAAGTGGGGACTCCGGAGAGGGATGGACTGCAGAGTGCCAAAGTGAACAGCGCGCGGGCAGAACGCAGCTAGACTTACCCCTCCAAGGCTCAATATAAGGGGAGAAAAACATACATGCCCAGCCGTTTGTCTGAAGTGGAGTCGTGCGAACCCCCTAACAATGCCTAATCGATCTGGGAAAATGACGATCAATCTCTCGTCAGTAGAACAACTCCTGGCTGATCTTCCCCAAGGTCCTCAGTAGTACTCGCTGCAGGATTCATCCGAGCCGGCTGCCTAAGTGGGAACAGCCCCAGTCAGTCAATATGATTTGATAGAGGCCTTCTAGCCTTTTCCCACGTTGCAATACGCAGTATCCCAAAACACGCCTGACCTAGCCTGATCTGCAACAAGGTGATTGATTGCCTCGGCCTAATACTATAGCATGAAGGCCTTTTCGTCTTCAACTTGACGTAATCTCCGATATTATTCGTGAAACACGGAGAGATACTGCGAGGTCTCATCTAATGCAGGGGAGATGAAATACTCGCTATACTGTAGCAGACTAACCTAGCATTTCGAGCGAAATATTGTATTCACACCTCCTTCCATGGCTGGGTTGAACCCGTAGAATGTCCCTCGCGCAATGCTTCGCCGCATATATGTAGAACAGTAAGTTACCAAGCTGATCTCACCAGTATTACATCATATCCATTGAATACAGTAAGCAGACTTGGGGAGAACCAGTCATACAGGTGTACTAGCGCACTTATCACCCTCATCATCAGGCGGATGATCCTCACACATGTGTGCCGTGGCTAACTGGATTAGATGGACACTTTAGAGTGTCATATGCTGCAAGATTGGCAGATATGGAAGCAGAACATCCCTTACACTAAGTCGGGTGCGACCCCTGATATGTAAGTACTGAGACCCGGATGATTGGCTCGGGAAACTGGCCGAATGAGCCATGCTTTGACATAGCCTGAGACGATGGACAGATCTTCTTGCTGCCATTGTACATCATCCACTGATTTACTTTGTATGACTTGAGTTGACTAGGACATCCCTTTTGCATGGGGATGGAGCATTGAAGCATAACTACTCACATTGTTATCTGCTATGTTAGCTTCATCTCTTTCCTTTTTCCAGGTGAACGATATCGGAGAAACGGCAAATTCACTGCGCTGTACTCCGCAACGGGGATACATATATGTACATACACAATATGTGTGTACATACAGTAATATACAGACCGACACTGTATCTGTAAGGTAAATCTGTCAACTTTATCAGTCAATTGCAACCAGGATTAGTTGATTTGCCTTAGGTGACCGGCATCGGTAGCCGGCACCGAGGATCATACCCGTGTGATTTGCGACCGTTTCCAAGGAACATCAACCCCTTGCCTTTCGGAGGCCATACTCAATAGGTCAAGTAGCACCGAGGTCCTAAGTTTGAAGGAAATACTCTACTAAGGTACGGGAGTATCTTCAAGAGAATAACCATTTACTGGCACCCACGTGGGTGATTGAATTTCGGGTTGTAGAAATCTAATAATGTCAACTTTCCTTTATGAGGTTACCATGGATGTACGTACTACTAGAAGATACATACTTCAAACCTTCACTGACCGGGGATATTTTGTTTTGCTTTTCTTTTTCTTTTTCTGGGTTGTGCCGAATAAATTCCGCAGCAATGGCATGGACTCCGAAATAACATAACCTTCGACCGTTTCAAGCCAGATGGTAATGGTCGCACTGACCGTTAGTTCATACACTGTAGGCTCTCCCCTCCTTTCCATTCGGTCTATCGTACTACTATACTAGGTATGTAGGTCGGCCGAAGGATTCACATCCGCAGATCATGGTAGGCCTCAAGTCCCAACCAGACCAGCTACTACGTAGCCAGCGATATAGAGTTCAATCGCCAGTTCCAGTTGGTTCAGGGCTAACGGTCTTCGCGTGCCAGCTAAACCCACTAAGCCCACAGCCGTAAGCAGCACTCAAAAGGAGAACACAGAGACTGAGCCATCATTACCCGAATGAGCGTCGTGAACTTGTCGAAGCTCAAGCTCTAGTGAAAAGAAGTCTCTGGATCTGTACACTTCTCCGAAACGGCCGAACTTCTTCCCCTAGGACAGAAAAATGGCCGCTGTTCCCCTTAGCTCTCTGTAATCCCGGGTTTACACACCTGGTCCGGGTGTTCCTCGCCCTCCGTGGAGGTGATCGATGTTCCTCTCTACCTCCATGCTACTTCAGGTCCAGCCCTTCAGAGTCTGATGATTGATCAGTGGGGCGTTGTGAAACATGAATTGGAGACAACCGTTGCTCTCAGCGCTCCTCCTTGGAATCGACTCCAACATGATTCCGTGGTTCAACCAGATTTAGACTCCAGCCTACCAATGCCCGTATTCAGCGGATTTCCTAGTCGTCTCGGCAATTCTGCCTGCGAGGAATCCCGTCAGCCAAATATGGACCAGGCTATCTATCCCATTCGCTTTGCCTGTTATGAAACCTAACTTGGATTGAATCAGATTAGAATACGTTCTCAAACCTGGGCCATGCCCGGAGAGACTATTTTTGCCCAGCCAGAGTCTCATCTTCCTTTCACCCAGTAGCACTACATCCGAATCATTCCGAGCCTGAAGGTAGTCTGTCTCTTCAAGTGGATATGTTTCATGATGTTGCGCATAAACTTTCACTTCGCCTGAGCGATTTATCAGGACCTAGCGGTAGTATGATTGACAACCTATAGCATCATCCACGGCACATCTCCTACCATGTCTAAGCACTCTTGCGGTAACTAGTAGTAGCTGCCTTAAAACCAGGGAGTGAACTGTTACCTCACTCTAGACCGTGTTAGAGAAGACCCCTTTTCGGCTAGTCCTTCACACTCTACCATTGATGGAACGATGGAATGCAATCCCCCTTTACTGAAACAAACTATGTGGTGATCCTGCATCATCATCGCAATTCATGATCATATATAGTAGTACAAATTTACACTTGGTATCCCAACATCTAGGCAAACATCAAAGTGAAGAGCAAGTGAAGAGTATAGTAGCAAAACGCACATAGATGTAACATTAGATCCACTACCCACCTGTTCATTGAATCCAAACATAGAAAGACAGAGAAAGAAAGGAAACATCTACAGGTCAATAGCTATAATAGCAATGTTAATCTTTTCTCTTCCATGGCGGACGCCTTCCAAACTCCAGCCAGTAATCCTTCTTTCGCCTCTCGGTCATCCATCGAGTCCAAGAAGGAGCTAGAACTAAGTCAAATACACAAGATTTAGCAATCAATTGCAAGTACAATTACATTGGACGCCTCGGTCCTTATACTCCTCGTAGGAAACACTATCGTGATCATAAGGAACTCTTTGTCATCCTAGCGACGTCTTTTGCGAAGACGATGTTCCTTGCCCTTCTTAGACCTCTTCTTACTCTTATCCGGGGGCAGAACGAGCGGTTCATCCTTCAAGTTCCATTCCATAAAGCGTAAGAGATAGTCATCGATGTGAGCAGTCTGTGGCTCAGCATCTACAGATTCGTCCGCATCAGGTCCAGGAGTTCCAAGTTCATCGCTGGCTGCTAGTGGGGTTCCAACCTGGGTCTGGGCAGGTGTTTGAGCGGGTGTACCGAGAGAGGCACTCCGGTCTTCAAAGTCACCGTCGTCTGCATGCTCCAGCTCCTTTTGGGCATTCTTTGCTGCGTCAATGTCTTCTTTGTCTTCTGCCTGTTCGAATACGCGAGAACTGCTAGATACTCGGTTCTCGAGGACGCGGTCCATTGCCGCGCTGGCCTCATCCTGATCCTCCAGCATCTCCTCGTTATCAATCACCTCGCGAACATCCAGCTTGGCAAAGTAATCTGTGGTAAACTCGCCCTCTTGGATGACGACGTCGTCTAGCATCCTCTTCTGGTTCGCCTTACGGAGGATATTGGATTCAATGGTATATTCGGAGACGAACCGGTAGATGTGAACATCGCGGGTTTGCCCAATACGGTGACACCGATCCTGGCACTGTTTATCCATTGCCGGGTTCCAATCGAGATCGTAGAAAATCACTGTGTCAGCACCCGTCAGGTTAATACCTAATCCACCAGATCGACTGGACAGAATGAAGGCGAGAATGCGACTGTCATTGTTGAACCTGTCTGTAAGAATCTGGCGCTGCTCGACTTTAGTGGTACCGTCTAATCGGAGGTATCGATGCCCATGGATGTTGAGGAACTGCTCTAATATATCGAGCATCTTAGTCATTTGCGTAAAAATTAGCGCCCGATGGCCTCCAGCCTTAAGATCTCGAAGTAATTTGTCGAGCCTTTGTAGTTTACCACAGTCGTATTGCAGTAGTCTCTTGTCTGGGAACGCGATAGAAAGCCGCATTTGAGCTTCGTGAAACGGATCGTAAGGCGGGAATATCTCCCTTTTGGTTAAATGCCGGGTCTTAATCGGAGTTAGAGCGGCCTCGGTAATTCCAGCGGCGACCACAGCAGGGGTGACACAAGCAAATCGCTGAACATAGCCATCCATTACATGTGAACGTTCCTTGATAGACAGAATCAACGAGGCAAGAACAGATGACCGACTGGACAACCAGTCTGCCAGTGACCGCTTCCGCAATGGACCGTTGGACGTCGGCCGCTGTTTGCTGTCTGCCGTGAGGAATTCAATGAGAGTATTTCCATACACAGGACGACGACCGTGCCGCTTCGACTCGAAATACAGGCATCGTTCCAACTCCGCCATCCTCCTCTTCCTACAGTCATTCTCTAATACATCCAGTGTAGACTGTATAGTTGAACCGTTGAAGTTCATGTCCCAGTTAGTCCTGTGGTACTGCTGTTCGCGAAGCACATTAAAAGGACCATAAGCCATGAGTCTCGTACTATCATCAGCCAGTCTTCGGGATATATCTTCCCTCGAGATAGGGACCAAATTAAGAAAATCCAAATCAAGTCTGTCGAGCGGGTGGTCAAAGAGAAGTCGTCGGCGAATGAGAAGTTCTTTAATCTCAAATTCGGTAGCTACAGAACGTGACATTGCAAAGGATGTCGATATCGGCCGAGTTTCAAACAGATCCGGATGGTTGCAGACTTTCCGTAGCTGCATTAAACAATTAATGATAGATAGATAGTTCCCGGAAGCGAGAGTCTCTTTAGTCTGTGCTCTGGACATGAAACCATCATAGAGAAACCGTTGCCGCTTCGAGAGCCTGCAATATATGACATGTTCGTATTTTGCCGGCATCTGCTTCTCGACATCGGCTTTAAGACGGCGTAATATATAAGGCCTCAGAACAGTATGAAGTTTGGTGACGACTTGCTTTGCTTCATCATCCATCGTCTCTCGGCCATGTTCAAGGATTTGCTCTACCGGGCGTCGAAACCACTCCGAGAAATTCCTGAGATCTGCGAACCCCTCAATGCCCGTCTCATCGCCATCAGACGGCATCAAAAAAAACAGGAGCGACCAAAGTTCTGTTAGGTTATTTTGAAGCGGCGTACCGGTAAGTAGAAGTCGTGCCCTTGTCCTAAACGTTAGCAATGCCTGCCACCTCTGCGAGCGAAAATTCTTGATGTTATGCGCTTCATCGAGAATCATATAATGCCAATTTCTTCTTTTGAGAACCTGCTGATCTTGCAGGACTAACTGATACGAAGTGATTAGAACATTCCAGCTCGTGTCATCCATCCAGCCCCTACGTTTCTGTCGCCGCTCTTCTTGGTTGCCGTAGTAAGTCATGATTTTGAAACCCGGGCACCACTTCTTGAACTCCATTTCCCAATTAAGGATCACGCTTGTAGGTACAACAACAAGGTGTGGTCCCCATACTTCGTGCTCCACAGCCAGATGTGCGAGCAAAGCGATAGTCTGAATAGTCTTGCCAAGACCCATTTCATCAGCTAGGATGCCATTAATATGGTTCGTATATAAACCAGCAAGCCAGTCCAGCCCAAAATGTTGGTATTCTCGCAAGGTTCCTCGGAGTAGATGCGGAATGGGCGTCTTCAACCCTGGAGCGGGCGATTCGCTGGGCTGCGCGGGTTTCTCTCCCGGTGCATCGTAAGATGACACAGACTCTGGGTCGGAAGGTTTCGTAGCAAGTGTTCCTGGAGATGCTTCACTAGAAGGCTCTCCACTCTGATAAGTTTCGCGCTGGTCTCGCTCCATGTCGCCTGAGGGCTCTGTGGGAGTATTTCCGTTCTGGATATTCGAGGTACCTGAATTACCAAGAATAGATGCATCCGTCATTTCAGCATCTGTATCCTTGATGTCAGTCAGAACGTTGTCGACCATAGTAGAGTCTTTGGCAGCATCAAGGGGTGTCGAGTCTAACTGTGCTGGTCCATTAGGCACCAGGGAAACTTCATCTGGGTCTTCTAGGTCCTCCTCCTCGGATGCGATCTTCCCATTGGCGCCATCGCCTACAACGTCGTCATCAGAATTCTCGTCGTCATCAGCCTGAGGATCGTTGGTATTGAAAAGGGAGTCTTTCGCAGAAAAGAATCCCAGCAACCCTGGGCTATCATCACTCTCCTCATTAGAGTCGGAGCCATTTGAATCCTCGTCCTCTTCGCTTTCGCCCATATCATCATCCATATCTGTAGACACTTCGTCGCTATCATCCATGAGCACTGGGTCGACATCTTCGAGTTGAACTTTCTGGGGTGACAGCTCCGCTAAAGGTACGTTGGCATCCCCCCCATTATCTGCGAGATGACCAACCTGGGAGGTATTGGTATTTCTCGACGAAGCCGTGTCATCAGAAGCGTGAGACTCGTGATCCGAATCATCATTGAGTGAAGAAAGGTTGGCATACTTTGACCGAAGCTCTTCTGCTGTTAGACCCTCATCGTCATCGATAACAATTTCATCTTCGCTTCCGGATTCCGTAGATGACATATTGCTTTCATTATCTGAGCCATCCTCAGAGGAATCGTCCGTTTCACCTCCTTCCTCATCGCTAGATTCTAGTGCCTCACTTCCCGTTTCTCCAAGGATTTCCATTCGTCTTTTCTCGAAGAGCATAGTGGACTGCTTTATTGCACGATCCAAGGCTTGCTGGTCTTCTGCTTTCCGTTCCTCCTCCCAGCGTGCCAGGCGCATCCTATCTACGTCTGCGCGAGCCAGGTCGAACATCTTCTGGAGGTCCTTGGCTAACTGTTTACGCTTTCCACGCATCTCCTCTTGCTGTTCCCGAAGTATGTCCTCTGGATCCTTGTTGCGTTTCCTCCACGCATCAGCACACCATTGAGCGAAAAGCTTTGCCGTATGGCGATGGCGTCTATGTTCTTGGTCAAGAAGTTTCTTGAAGTACAACGCGTGCGCCACAAGATGGTCCTGGTGCGTATATTGGGAGAGTGGTTCGTCTTGCTGCTCTGGCAAGTAAGCAGAACATACGTCTGGGCTAAGAAGACCGCCAGGCTCAATTGCTGTAGATATTCGACACCTCCTCCTTGCCTCCTCGAGCGCCTCTGATGGCGTGATAACTGCGTCATCTCGTACCCTTCCTTCCTCACTCTCGAGCCACTGTTTGAACGAGTCATACTTCCGAGGGTTCAAAATGTGGGAAGGGTGCTGGATACTGATAGATGGCCTTCTAACTTTGATTCGCAGCCTAGGGATTCGCAGCCCCCCATCTCCATCATGTTCAATATCTTTGACCCTTTTCCCAAAGTCGCTCGTTTCACCTGTCGCCTGAGCCGGAGAACTGTTAAGAGTTACGTTGGAAGTTCGAAGGAAGGCTGTTGAAGTACCAGAGCTTCGTGACCTCGTCCGTGCATTGGATTCCTTGGAGACCGGAGACTGTGAGATACGTTGTTGGCTTCCAGCTATCCCTCTCATTGACAGGCGTCTAGGAGATCCGCTGACTGCTGTTGTGCCGCTAGCAGGCTTTCCATTCGTGTCTAAGCGCGATGGAGTCATCAACACTGACGGCGACGACGCAAAGGTCTTTCCACCACCCAAAGCATTTTTACCTATTGATTGCTTCTGCGCTGCTCGTGTATGTCTTTTGTCTGAAGGGGGTTGCAGCTCGAGGGGTAGCGCATTGACTCTCGAAGACTTGCGTCTGCCATCCTGAATGAAGGATGTTGGTCCATCAACGCCAGCTTTTTTCCAGGGGGGCGATGCCGGCCTCGAGCTTGAGCGACGAGAAGTAGCCGATCCTGTAAGTCTCCGCTTCTTTGATGGCGGTCCTTCCGTAGTATCGGTTGTGACCTCGTCTTCGTTGACCTCTGCAAGGATCGAGTCGCGATTCGTAGGATCAACGAATGTTTGGGACGCAGACAATTCGGTAGGGGCAGGTCCTATTTCGGGGGTCACGCGTTCATCTTGATGTGAAATGCCATTCGGGCTGCCGTTTTGCATGTCTTGTAACCACTGAGACAGGGGCCCTCTTCACAGCTGACCCCGGTTTTCCCAACGAGGACACGGTTGAAATAGGGAAGATTGGCATCAACGTGTAGCTATAAGTGATTTGGAATGCCACAATAAATTTGGCATAGTTATCGACACTGTAGCGCGATTACGGAGAGATAAACAACTCGGGAAAAGAGAATGGGTGAAGAAGTGGTTTTTTTCATATTGTGACGAAGAGTACAGAGCGACGTGTATGTAAGCGCGCCCGCGGAACCAAGCACTGAATTGATGCCTGAGGCATAAAATACATGACCTTTGCCGCAAACCTCCAATTAATCCGAACCCCGTCATCGTCACTTTCACTTCATCTTTTGGTCTAGTGAGCCTTTCACCCCTCCCTTTGCCAACCATCACCCTCCGATTCTTTACAGTAGAAGGGTTAGTACGACTTTTTGAATGATCGAACTTCTTCTATTCAAATCCTTCATACTAATGGCAACGAATAGATGCTGTCTCAGCGTTTTTTGACCCGGCGCTTGCCCCAGGTGGCCGTTCGTTATAACACCCCCCGCGCCTTTTTCTCTCAAAGCAAGATTCTTGCGGCTGCAGAGCTTGATGATCCTTTGCAGGTATAGCATTCCTAGGATAGTCGTGTTTTCATTAGCACCAATTGACCCCGTTTGGTTTCAACACACAGAATGGAAATTACCAAAACCCTCCTCGCGTTAAGCGTGCCTTCAGAGACCCTCATGGCGACTGGTGGGATAAGCAAGAGAGACGAAATTTTGGAGAGCCAGTCCACGAAGAAAACGAAATCCTCGGGGTTTTCAGCCCTGAACAGTATACTCATGTTACGTCCCGTAAGGGCTTCTTCCACCTGGGCGTGTTCGTTGCAGCTTTCCTTGGATTCTGTGGTATTGTGAGCTTCTACTATCCAGACAAGCCTAGCGTTCCCAGAACATATCCGGAAGGCTTGGAGAAGGAACTTGGAGGACCCGATGCTGTTAGGGTAAGTCCCTAATATATATCCCTGACATACATTTTGCCTGAACGTTAAACTTACATTTTGATATTAGGCCCGCAAATCCGGCGAAGACTCTTGGTAATTGATTGATGTTTGCTTTTTTCCCCCTGTTGTGTAAATAAGTACAGTACAATTCTCTTTTCGGCGTCAATCGAAGGTCTGATTGTCGATAATTTCAGGTGCGAGGGCTGCTCTTCACCGCTTGGCCTGCTAGCCTCCTGAATCTCTTAACAGTCTCAACTTCTATTTCATACCCGGGCTTTTAGGCTGACGTAGGGTGTGCGTACCCAATATCTAACAAAACTGCCTCAACAAAATGGCGGGAACCAGGGAGAAGGGAAGATGAGAGTCGAGAGGACACCAAATAATCAATATATTGTACTATTTACTCTCTCTGTCCAAGTTTTCAAATACTCTAAATAGACCATGGGTTTAACTGAATTGAAAGAATAGACCCATTGCATCGACACCGATAGCAATAGCGATCAGAAAATGCACACAACTAAAGTATACTTTGGACCTAGAGATTCTCACAGCAACGAATGTTATGCAGCTGACATGAGCGGCAACCTGCATAGTGTGAGTTGGAACTTTTGGCTTTACACTTAGTCTGCCCTACAAAGCACTACGTCAATTACTTGGGGCAGCTTTTTGTTTCAGGTGCAGAAGCAGAAGCGCCTCCCGCCAGCAACAACACAACACAACACCCCTTTCTTCCTTTCTACCCGCCGGCATTTTCCTACCAAGTCGCCCTCATATCTGTCCCACCTCCTTGATTCTGTGGCCTTGAAGAGCCCAGCGAACATTTTCTGATTTATTTCAGTCCAGCTGGCGCTGGCTGGTGGTACGATCTCTCTCTTTTATCCATGGTCCCGCTTTCCGTTCCCTTGCCCCCTCTCCCCGAACGCTGCAACATTCGGATAGAGAAACTCCTCCATGTCGACAGCATCTGATCAATCCCGAGGCATCAACCGACGGATTAATAGTATTCAAAATGATTCTCGCCACACGCGCACCCTTTCTGGGTCCCGCCGACGCCCTGTGAGCCCTACGACAGCCTACACATTTGCTCTCAGAGTCGCTTACCTCTCATACCTCCTTCAACCTCGTTCGCGCCGTGTACAAAATGTGCCCGCTCCTTACCTGCGACCGAAGCGCTCGTCAACCTCCTTCCACGACCTGATGAGCGATTTCTCTCTTGTTAGGGATTCGAAGAGCACGCGGTTTCCCCACGGCTTCATAACTGAACTCGAGAAGAGGCTAACGGGTGTCTTAACCAAGAAAGAGAAAAGAAAGGAATATCAGGACCCCTTGGTTGTCAGAACGTTCGCTGCATTTCTCAATACCCTTAAAGAGCAGTCATTCAAGAAGCGCATGGAGAAGGATCGGCGAGCCGAAGATCTTGTCCTTATTTTCTACTCAAATGCAACCAAGGAATTGAGTAAAGGCAAAGATCCAGACGATGACCACTGGAAATTTATGGTGGACAGGCATGTCGCACTCTTTGTCCGCCTGATTTCGCATATTTTGAAAGATAATGACTGGGCGAAAGAACGACCGGAGCTGGCGAACCGATTATCGGTCTTGGAGAATAAACTCCTTTCCCAGGATCAGGACCTTGTGCAGTCTAATGGTCCGTCAACAGTGGAAGTTATAGTACCTCTAAGTTATGATGTGAGAGATATGCCTCTAGTGCAACATGTTGCAAAGGTTTTCGATATAAGCACTGCTCAAGTGCAGTCCGACATTGACAAACACCGGGAGCTCTGGACTGCACAGGCGGCTCTCAAGGACCTCAAAGCCTACCAGACCCATCTCAGTTTGAACACTCGAAAAACTATGTCCAAAGAAGACTTTGAGAACGAAGAGGCATATGAAAGCTGGAGGAAAAGTGAAGGCCCCGACCTATCCCAAATGATGCTTGCTATCGTGCAAGCGAACCCTGAGCTAGCAAAAAGCACCCCAGGGGGTGCGCTTCCACCGTTCAATGCAAATGTCGGAGACAACAATGATGCAGCCCCTGGCGATTTGTCAAAAACGAATTCTGACAGGCCGATTTCATATGTAATCGATCAGCCAGTGGATATCAGTTCGCTATCCATAGGCGATGAGAACAGTGAACCCGATGAATCTGACACATACACATACATACCACCAGACCCCCGATCTATGTATGGGTATATTTTGGCTCAAACTTTGAGCCATGACCTGAAAGATCGCGAAATTGAAGGTACACAATTTGCGTCTGAACTCCCGTCTATGAAGCTCCTCTCGAAGCAGTCAGCCGAGTTCTTGAACGAAGTTTGCCTTCGTTGGCGAATCCCCTACTTTTCTAGGCTAGTGCTGTTCCTAGAAGTTGTCCGATCGAAATTTGTAGACAACGAGATTGACCTCGACACCCTTGATTCAGCATTTACCTATATCAAGGAGACACCATCATCGGAGAAAAAGCGCAGCAGCTTTGTGGCTACCGTTTTCTTTGACCGACACAAGTGGACTATACACGATTTGCTCTCGATGCAGCAGTTACTCTCCTCTCTCCATGAAGCACTTCTGCGGGAGCTATACGACTTCATGATGGACTGTTACGAAGGGAGACCTCGACCTATTGGTCCCGTAATGTATGTTCTAGAGAACCATATTCAGCTTGATCCCAACTATATAGAGGATCTGGAGGATATCGACCGTTTTCGTTGTTACGTTCAGGATGGTCTTGCCCAGAAAGCAACAGAAAAATATCAGGACCTCCTCGGGCAGTATGTCCCAATGGATCAGGAGACCTGGCAATTCGACCATATCATTCAGCTTTGTGAGGCCATAACAAAACTTGCTCAAAAGATTAGGAAGCGCTACCGAAATAATCCGGAGATCATGGGGTAAGTTGCAGTTATTTCAAATAGTAGTCTTCTACTCACAAAATACAGGGTCAACCCATACAAGATCTTGCTTTCCAACGTGTTACCGATATTCGCAGAAGACGCTCATGAAATGGTGGCCCGAATAGTCGAACAGGGCAAGTTGAGAGGGGAGGAAATCCCAATAGAGGATGGTTTTGATTTATATAAGCAACTCACGGCTATACGTCAACTCTTTATTGAGGCACTCCCTAGGTAAGACCATCGCTGCTAATGCAAAGTGTCGATACTAATGTGAAACCAGCGCTCCTTTCCCATTCCGTGTTGAGGATTTGCTGGAAGAATTTGTCTGGCGGTGGATCCGCATGACAGAGGAGAAGATTACAGAGTGGGTTGAGCAGGCTGTCAGACAAGATGCCTTTGCCGTCCGATCTGATGACTCAACGGAGATGATCCCAGAGGAGCATCGGCACAGCGTTTCCGTTATAGACATATTCCGCTCATTCAATCAAGTGGTAGAGCAAATGATTCAACTCGGGTGGGATGATGACTTCCAGTACGCGAAATTCATGACTGCATTGTCCAAATCGATTTCAAATGGCCTTGCAAAGTACTGCGAGTCGTTGGAGCAGATGTTCGCGCGAGAAATGGACAGGCTCTCACCGGATCAAGAGGCGGCTTTGAATCAAACAGCCCAGGAAAAGCTAATGCAAATCGCCAAAGAAGCGTGGGCGAGCAAAGAGAAGATTGAGCCATTTCAATTCTTTCCTGAGGTATGTCAACTCCTACTTTATCCCTCCCCCCCCAACTTGTAATCTCTCTTTTTATTACCCGTTAAGGGTTGTTTTACATGGTTGACGATTTCATAGTCACTGGTCAAACTGAACAATGTTGAATATGCCCTTACCCAGCTTGACAAGCTAGAGCGTGAAATAAACGTTGATGGCTGTGCAGATGTTATCGCCAAACATGCTCCTCCACAGATGCAGAAGATGCGCAGATCAACAACCTATGTCTTCACGATTAAGGTCGTAGAAGCTGAAGATTTGAAAGCTTGTGATATGAATGGGGGCAGTGACCCCTATGTGGTACTGGCAGACGAATATCAGAAGCGCATTGCCAAAACTCGTATCATCTACAACAATCTCAATCCACGGTGGGATGATTCTGTTGATATAACAACGCAGGGTCCTTTAAATATCATTGCAACGATATGGGACTGGGACGCAGTGGGCGACCACGATTATGTCGGCCGCACTTCTATCAAACTGGATCCTTTACATTTCAGTGATTTCTTGCCGAAGGAATATTGGCTTGATTTGGACACACAGGGCCGATTGTTACTCCGTGTCAGCATGGAGGGAGAACGGGACGACATACAATTTTATTTTGGTAAAGCCTTCCGCACATTGAAACGTACGGAGAGGGATATGACACGCAAAATCACGGAAAAGGTAAGTCCAAACAAACCCCAGGGCCCTGGACTCTGAATAACAAGTATCGTCAATAACACCCCAATAGCTGTCTGCTTATATCGGCCATTGTTTATCGCGTCGAACCTTGAAATCCTTACTATCGCGTGGTCTCAGTATCTCCAGTGTTTCAAACTTTCTTAGCCGAAATAAGACGCAAGCTACTGCCACAGGACCATCAAACGCGGATGTGGAGAATGCACTAACTCCGCTTTTCGACTACTTTAATGATAACTTTGCGATTATGAACAAGACCTTAACATCTGAAGCTATGAAAATGGTCATGGCCCGATTATGGAAAGAGGTTCTTAGTACTATTGAGTGCTTGCTTGTACCTCCCTTGTCCGACAAGCCATCCCATCAGAAACCTCTCACTATGCAGGAGGTTGATATAGTCTCACGCTGGCTCGTGCTGCTCTTGAACTTTTTCCACGCTATCGATGAGGAAACCGGTGAAGCAAACGGGGTTTCGATTGATATCTTGAAGTCGCCCAAGTATCACGAGATCCAATCTCTTAACTTTTTTTACTTTGAACCCACCGAGAATCTCATTCGCACATCTGAGAGAATGGCCTCGGCAACCATATCTCGACAGCAAGCCAATAGAAACCGAGCGTCCGCGCCGGCCCATCTCGGTTCTGGAGGATCGGGCGGGTTCCTCGGCGTTCCTGGTGCTCGGCGAGCCAAGAGCATCATGCTCTCGCGGAACCTTGGCACAATGAAGAAGATGAAGGAGGAGAAATGGCGCGAGGCCCAGGCCGAGCCAAATGATGACATGATCTTGCGAATTCTCCGTATGAGGCCAGAAGCTGCTGGCTACCTGCGCGATCGAAGTCGTCAGAAAGAGCGACTCGCAGCTGCTGCGGCTGCGGATGCCATTGTGAAACAAAGCCTGATGGCTGGTGGGGGAAGGATGACGGGAACTTTGGGGCGACGATGACTGCTATGAGGATGTCTATTGTTTTGCACTGAGTCTGCCTTTGCCTTTGGAAGTGTGTTCCAGCATCGCTTGGTCAATTTTTATGCGCGTGATGATTCCCACACCGTCTGTTTGAAGTTACAATGCGCTTGTTGTCTTCAGGTAGTCTTTACAGGTTCCTACTAATAATGAATGAAACACTAATTCCCAACGAATGGCGATTTAGCACTAGTCACATCTGATTGCATTTTGATTGTATGCCATATAGATGAAAACACTTTGATTTACTCCAGAGCAATGCACTCGATCTCTACAAGCACACTCTTCGGGAGCTGGGCGACAGCAACACAGCTACGAGCGGGCTTATGAGTGAAAAACTTCTCATAGGTGGCGTTCATCTCAGCGAAGTTCGCCATATCAGTGAGGAAAACCTGATAGAGTATCTCGGTCAGCCGCAGTCTCCTCGTGATTTCAAGATAGAGAGCAGGGGAGAAGGGGAGGTAGGATAGTAAAGGCAAGAAAGGTTATACACACATTGACCTTGACGATCTTGTTGACGCTGGAACCAGCAGCTTCGACAATAGCCTTGATATTGTTGCAGCAAGCCTGGGTCAAGTCGCCAATGCTTCCGGTGACGAGATTTCCAGAGGCGTCAGCGGGGATCTGGCCGGAGACGAAGATCTGGCCATTGGCACGAACGGCTTGGGACTGTAGGATAATTGGCATGTCAACAACATTCAACGCCGTGATTTGGGGTGAGGTGACCATGAGGAAGGAAGGGAAATATGTATAAACGGTTTGCTGTTCGGTTGGAAGACTTACGTAGGGGCCAGCAGCTGCGACGAGTCAACTTGTTAGCTTAATCTTGTATGTTCTGTCCGGGCGATGGCAATTGAGTAGCAACAGGTATCTTATACAAGGGCGGGATTGGTCGAGGGCAATAGGGAGGGGAAAGACGACTCACGAGGGCAAGCACCGGCGGCGGAGATGGGAGTCATGCCAGACATGTTGACGATTTGAATGGGGAATTGAGGTCGGAGGATACGAGGAAAAGAAGAGGTTAGTGATGAGAAGAGAAGCTGACGGTGGGCAATTCGAGCGGAAAGAACACGAGAGCTGATCCGCAACATGTATGGAGGGGTTGAGTCCTATTTATTTGGATATAATAGAAATATTCCGCGGGAAAGAGTGTCCTTGGTGATTGATGGTCGGAGAGATGGGGTTGGCTTATTTCGACCCCTCCCGACATCGGTGGGGGCGTTTCTTTTCCTTCTTGTACTAGTAGGTACCAGATACGTACGTATGGACATACGGGCATATATTTAGAGTATATATATATATATATGCATACCTATTATGTGATAGTACTCTATTATCTTGATCAAAGGAGTGTAGCCCGTTGAGTTATGCGCTTATTTTATTTTGTTTTATTTTATCCCCCCAGCGCGCGCTTCTCCAATAAAATCCCCTCCAAGGACGGCTTATGATAAAATTGCCTAGAGAGAGAGAGAGAGAGAGAGAGAGAGAGAGAGAGAGTGTGTGTGTGTGTGTGTGTGTGTGTGAGAGTGAGTGAGTGAGTGAGTGAGTGAGGATAGGGGGAAGGCGGCCCGCAAAGAGGAAATAGACACCTCCCGCCAAATGGATAAAGCATGTAAGTCTTGACGTCGACAAATTCTTGGCAATGATCGACGACGCGAACGAGAGAACTTCCACCATGATTTAACTGTACATAAACGAACAGGGATCGTCGAATTTCATGCTAGCACAGCACATGGCCCACCCTGGTATAAGGAATAAACCTCGAAACAAAAACGGCAGACATGGTCGACATAGTACAAGTCCATCACATAAGTCTTGGATTTCACTAACTAATCCATACTTCCCTTAAAACCATCTCTGCGACTTCATATCGCTGCTGGCCTTGATTTCGAACCAAACCCTCTATGACCACCGCATTTCCTCCCCAGGCACACATCCTCCAATGAGGTCATCAGCGTAGGAATTGCGGGCCATACTTGCTCTTTGCCCACAGCGCGCTATGATATCAGTACCGGTAGAGTCGCATGCTACTCTTCATCACGAGGTATATATGGATGGCCGAGCTAAGAGCCCTTGAACTGCAATCCCTGAATATTAACCGCTTCAACTCATCCGAGAGATCCTGGGATCGCAACGAAAAGAAACATTTTTGCAAGCAACTTAGACCATTCGGAGGTTCCCGGTATCCTTCACACCTTTCAGATAGGATACGGATCGATGGAAGGTACAGTAAGCAACATAAGCTGGAACCAACATTCTCAGTTTTCCGTCGCATTGGTTATCCAGAGGGAAGAGGTACTAGTATATGGGTTTTGGATATCCGCAGCGAACTCTCAACCAATGAGACAGCGGGTCGGAATGCCCTGTTCTAACAATGGAGGAACGGTGCATTATTCTAGAGAGACTCAGGGCCATCTTCTGTAGAGATATCAAGTGTTGCTCGGCTTTAATTGATATTTCCAAAGAACCACACGAGCTGGTAGAAGAGAGAATGAGATCGAGAAACCTGGGGACAGCAAGGCATGTGTCTTAGCTTACCCCTAGATTTGAGTAGCCCATACATAGTATAATGGGATTAGAATTGACTTGTTACTTCCGTGAAAAGCACTGTTTAGCACTGGAAATTGATGTTCATATGTTGAGTTGGCCAATGAGCTATCGAATTTCCAACGAGGATTATATACAAGGTAAATAAATTCCACTGGTATATACACTCAGGATATGCATGTCCTGATAATCATGGCGTCATCATCATATTCATCACAGCTAGGACACGAAACATAGGCAAACGTCAGCAACGGTGACAAGGCACGCTCCATGGGTATCACTGTTTATTGATATGAGATCCCAGTTGCTGCAAGAAAGCAGAAGTTTGCTCTGGGGAAAAGCCGAAGAATACAGGCCCGTTGAATACGATACTGGCGGGCGAGTTGGTTGGGGGAGGATGAGCATATGTTTGTTCTCCAAAATCCTGCTCAGCAGTGTCAATAGTTCCGTTCTTCTTCTCATGGTCGTGAATGGTCTCTGTCTCCGGCGCTGTATTGGCAGCTGGAGGCGCACCATGGCCGAAAGGACAACGACCAGAGTTGGGTACCGTAGAGTCACGGGGCGGGATGGAAGAGACCCTGATGGCCTCTTCCTCCGATGGTTTCTTCGACTTCTCAGGTAAGGCCGCCGCCGGCGGAGGCGATTCTGAAGGAGGCAAGGGCATCGGGACAGGGATTCCCCAAGGCCTGCTTGGAGATTCACCAACGCGGACCTCGCGTAGTGGACGGTCAAAGCGGCCCTCCCTCCCATCGTCGTTCTCTGTCTCGCCCTCTTTAATAGAGGGCTGTATATCCGGATTTATTCCAACCTCTTCTGCCCACTTTTCCACTCGTTCGGCAGAGGAACTGGATGTTGGCGCGCCGCTATTACCACGGTTCGGAAGGAACGCTTGATGTTTGACGGATAATCCTCGAATCATATTAATGAGACTACCATATTTTGCATCTAGATGTCGCATGCTATGGGAATCCTTCTGATAACGCTGGACACAAATTGCATGACTTCGGGGTATTTCGTGTTTGTGCCTTTCAACATAGTCGGCAATTTCTTCCGGGCTATGCTGGTCTAGGTATCTAATAGGGCACCGAGCAACGGGACATTGGGTGGTCGATGTCCTGACCGAAGGAGTCTGACTAGAACGTCTATCATTTCGTTCAGCCTTTATGGGATCTAAACTTTCGTGTCCACACGTGTCATCATTCTGGAACTTGAAAGGATTCTCAATCCCATTAGCCACGCCGCTATCATCAGGCGGTATATTCTTAGACTTTGCGAATGGGCAGTGAAGATTTCCCTGAGTGCCTTTGGTGGTGAAATCTTTTTCTAGAGAGCCAGGAGCTCCGGCCCTAGTGGCAACAAGGCATGGATTAAGCCCGGGGTCACTCTGTGAATTTAGGACAGATTTGTAGCACACCACCCCGTCCGCTATTGGTTTGAGAGTCTGCTTTCCTACATTCCCAGACTCTGCTAGTGCTCGTACTACATCGGGAGGACTGAAAGACGTAGAATTTTGTTCCACGAATTCGGAGGAGTGACCGCGAATCTTTTCTGACACGATCTTAGCATGTGTGTCAAGACCACCGGGAAGTCGATATGTGAGTTTCATATACTAAGGTGGCCGTTAGCACAAGGATACGCTTCAAGAACACGACCCAAGGTAGAGAACATTGGGGTTGGGGTGCCTCATCAGATAATACATGATTTGTCCGTCACCGCCGCAAATACGACTCCTGATCTAGAGCTAATCGGTGTTTCTCATCATTTGAGACAGAGTGGGCGGAAGAGCTTGTGTGGGGTTGACAAGGGGAAGAGTGCCTACCTCGTCATAAGCATATTCCAGCTTCTGTTGCAAGATTTTCTCCTTGCAGATAAATTGCTGAGTGGTTAGCAGAAGAGCTTCGAAAGCTTTCGCCAGGGTCTGAAGTTGTGGGTCCTGCTGCAAAGAGGCAGCGACAGATGCAGGAGACATAGTGCTTTTGAGCAAGGGCGGTTACAAGACAATACACATCACATCTGATAGTTTAGGCTTAAGTAGCACTTCTGCACTGAGCAGAAGTGCAGCTTGAAAGTCATGAGGTAAGATGGCGGGAGAAAAAGGAAAGCGGGAAGATCACTGCCCGGAGACATATGAAGAATTGTTAAGCGAGGTGGCCCGTGCGTGCCAGACACGTGATAAATTATTACAAACGTTAGAGCACAACTGGAACTTTGCATTGGATATTTGACTACTTTGTACATCAGCTTGTGTTGGATTGCTAGCTTGCCATTAGACTAGTGCTATTCATATGCAAATATGATCACGACTATAGGAACACCATTCGAATATTGATATTGCGGCAGTAGCGTAGTCTATTACACGTTGACTTAAGCCGTATACATAGTCATAGTAGTAGTAGTAGTAGTAGTAGTAGTAGTAGTAGTAGTAGTAGTAGAAGAAGAAGATAAGGGCAGTCAATACATTGATACTAGTAGTATATTCAGCATAGCCTCTTTCCTTAGATATTATTTAATAGAGCCTGTTCTCATTAAATAGCCGGGCTAGCTCAATCGGTAGAGCGTGAGACTCTTAGTCTTCACGGTATCTCAAGGTTGCGGGTTCGACCCCCGCGTTCGGCTGTTCTTTTTCCTCCGCTCAAGGAGCCACAGTTGTGGTGGCAGTGGCCTCTCTCTTTTTCCTTTCGTTTCTTTCTTTTCTTTTTTTTTTTTCCCCCTTTAGCCCTTTCCCTTCTTCCCCATTTTTGTCAACTTTTTGACTTCAGATTTTCGCGACTGACAATATCATATTGCGAGGACCACAGCATACATTGTAGCACACAATACAGTAACAAGGAGCTACTGTAATGGCTAGGCGATACACCTTAGAGGGCACAGAGTATGCAGTATGTTATAGAACCGTCGGTCTAAATTGGTTCCGGGCTCATTGGACACCGTTGGGGTATATTCGGGGTTACATATGCAGCATTGACTTCGTCGCAAGAGCCAGGGGACCGCAGCGTAGACAAAGTCAGACAGGTATATGGACAACCGTGCGGCGTGGTCAACGGCATGCATTGGCAGTGATGGCCACCTCGGCGCTGTAGATGGCTGTAGATGTTGAGCTGCATTGTGTGGGAGGTGAGCGGTATTCCTCTATTTCTGATTGATGATTAGTGGGAATCCCTGTAGAAGCGTAGCAGTCAGGGACACCGTCATGCAGGCTGAGTGAGTTTCATCATGGAGACAACAGGCATTGACCTCCGTGGGCTACATCCGAAACTGGCTCGGGGTTTTCAGGAAGAAGGAAATGGTTGGGTGCTCTCTATAGATATATTTCTCGATCTTTACAATTACATACAGGCTGTTTTCTGTCGGGTTTCTTTAAATATTTGAATACTGTTTGTGGATGCACCGACACCAGCTATTGATTTCCGGCAACTTGGAAAGTTAGGGGAGGAACTACTCTGTACAATAGTATTTATTAGTGATTTCAGGAACCAGATGCGAAAACGGTCCGGGAAATCCGAGGGTTGCATGATAATCCCAACCTAGTAATCGTCGATATGGCACTGTCACACGTGAAGCATAAAAACAGAGACAGTCATATATGTAAGGTACAATACGGGTGTGAGACAATAATGTGGCAAATCTCTTGACATGAGACCATGAGACAAACCTCCGTCGTCTACAATCTATATTGGTAACGCGTAATTCCTCTTGCAGCAGCAGAGCACGCAGTAGTTTATATTCACTACCTTAGGCATGTGGTATTTTAGCATAATCTAAGTATGTCATTTGAGGAGAGGGACTGGATCCGAACAGAGAGCAATACCGACTATTATGGTTATTATGGTTATTATGATTCAATCGTCGTGATTAGTTTTTTTATCGATTTGACTCTCAACGGATCGGAGTACTACCTGGAGTATTGGTGGGCAGACTGGGCATTCGGTCTAATTTCCAGAAAAGTATATTGGTGGTTCTGGAGTGTATGGAAACCAGATAGGGAATGATAGTCCAATCATTCCTTACCCGGGGATCCATCGTGGCTTGTTGATCCATTCCGCTACTTGATAACCCTGACCGCATGTGTGGATTGTTGTCGTGTAATCCGCCGATATGTATAACAAGATTACAGTTATATCCACGTAGAATTTGAACCGTTCATGTTGAATCCTGCAGGTCTTTCATTCATCGATACGGCTAGGCTAGGCAACTCTACTACTCACTTATCCTCCATTTTGCTGCCTATAAGGGAGTGCCACTGAGAGAAAGAGGAGAGGGGAAATGAAGAAAAGCACCTAGCAGACTCGGAGGCAACGCAAGAAACTTGCATCATCGCTAATGGGGAGAGGTGGAAACACTACCAGTAGTAGTATGTACGTCTTGACAAATGGGAGTAAAAAGCATAACAACATGGGAAACAAGGAACAATTAGTAGATTAGTAGTAGCAGTACTGCAAACATGTTCACACCAACTGATTCATTGTGAAGTGACTGATTGATCGATTCTAGACCCTTAACAACGAAACAAGTCATCGAGAGGGGTACAGTACATCTAGTTTCCATTGCGTGTATTTGTGTGGTATTATAGCAGACCAGCACAGAAAAACGCGATAATCGACGTGAGAGTTTTGATAATTCGACTCCCTCAGTCTGGTAGTAATAAATGGATAAACAGAGATCTATAGATTGACTTTCTGATTGAAATCAAATCAAATTATACACATCCTCAATACAAATTCAGTAATGCTCGGTCGACTGTGTTGAGAGGGGTAAATTTCTTTTCGCTGAAATACTGTAAAATACGTCAGCATTCACAATTTATACGCCAACGCAAGATCTTCGAGGGGTCGGTTCTTTTCTTTTTTTTTTCCCTTTTCCCTCCCGCTCGTGCTTATCACTTCGAATTGACATTTTACTTTTCAACCACTCTCACCCTCCTGTTTTTTTTATTCCTTCTCTCTCTCTTTTTTCTCTTCTCATTATGTCTCAACCAACTCCTAACCCTCCTGATGCCGCCGCCGCCCAAGTCGCCGGACAGTCCCCCTCCTCTTCCACCCGCACCGCCGAACTCGCCAGTCTTAAAACAAGCCTGCGCGCCGCTCTCCGCCAATTCCCCGACTTCCCGTCTCCTGGAATACTGTTTGAAGATATTTTACCCATCTTTGCCAATCCTACTTTGCACGAAGCCCTTCTTCGTAGCCTAGAGTTGCACATCCTTCAAAACCACGGCAACCAGAAGCCTGATGTTATTGTTGGTCTCGAGGCCCGAGGCTTCCTTATCGGCCCCAGCCTTGCTTTGAGGCTTGGCGCGAGCTTTGTCCCTGTGCGCAAGCAGGGCAAGCTGCCCGGACCATGTGCAACCCAGGCATACGAAAAGGAATATGGCCAGGACTTTTTCCAGATGCAGGCCGATTCGATCAAGCCTGGCCAGAAGGTGATTGTGGTGGACGATATTATTGCAACTGGTGTGTATTCCTCATTCTATATATAGACATTCTTTCCTTTCCAGAAATAAACAACACTGACTATATCCCAACAGGCGGTTCCGCCTGGGCAGCGGGTGAACTTATCAAGAAGATGGGTGGCGAGCTCATGAGCTTCCTTTTCATTCTCGAGCTTGAGTTTCTTAAGGGCCGGGAAAAGCTTCCTGCTCCGGTCTACACTCTCCTTTCCGGCCAGGAAGAAAAGCATTAACTGATAACTAACGAGACTTGCTTTCTGTTTACCTGATCATTATGATTGTGCTGCCCGTAAAAGGGTTTCATTGTAATAAAGAAAACAGAAAAAATACGCATGTTTCCGCTTCCCCGCAACAAGGCGCTCGGGGTTGAATCTCGACTGGTCGGGACATTGCAGCCGTGATTATGAAATGGGCTGCATCTCATCGGACGGACTGTATGTCGCAAGAAAATTAGAAGCACAATGCCTGCCCTGCGCGGTTTTCGCTCTCGTGACGGTTCACCTTCGCTCGTCGGATGGAATACCAGGATAGACGAAGTCGGGGCAATGACATACATCATGCACTTTTTCCTAGGGCATGCAGGGGCACGGGAATTCGTATACACTTTCATAACACGGTTTATTGCCGGAGTATATGGATAGCGATACTATGGCAACTTGTCATAACATCGAATGTGGTTATATAGATAATGTGCACCGTTGTAATCATCCAGTCATCGAGTCTTGTCTATTTGCAAACATCACGCGAAGCGTTATCTATGAAAGGAAAGCGACACCGGAGAAGATAAATGACAGCCTAATTCAAAGGGATAGACTTTCTCATCACATCATCCGCCCACTTTTTAGGAAAGCCCAAAGACTCCGCCTCGCGGATCGCACGGTTCATGCGCGGAATATACTCGTCTCTCGGGGGACCTACTCGCACCCTCTCCTCATCCACATAGACCAAGGTCTCGATAACTCCGCCCTCCCTCCGTTTCCTCTGTTCCTCATCCAACCACACCGTCACCGTAGCCGGGACATACCACTTGTTATAGTCCCCATGACCTTGCTCCGTCGGTCGAATATGCGCAGGAACCTTATGTGTAGTCCGCGACGGCAACGCCGAACGGTCAATACCCTCGTAGCCATCAAGTAACCTCTCATCCTCGATGTCCATTTCATACAAGACACCATAAACCGTATCCTCATCTCCAGAAACAGGTACATCTTCACCCTCATCTGCTTCCCGGCCAACACGTAACTCAGCGGGCGGTACCACATTCGCATAGCCAGCCTGGCAGATCAACCAGCGCCAATGATCCAGGCGGGCGATGGCGACCGGCTTAGATGAGAGATCAGGATCGCATGTGCAGCGGAGACGCATCTGTGTGAAGGAGAGGTTGGAGCCGTAGGCGAAGTAAAGCGGGCGGGGTTTGGTTTGCTGCGGGGTTGTTATACCATTGTCCGAGGGGGAGGGGTTGGTAGTAATTGTGATTGTTGTATGAGCTGTCGGATCAAGTTTGACATCGCGTTGACCGAATGTTGGGGGTCTAACAGTAGTTGTGTCCTGAATATGCATCTTGAATGCTCGTTGCGGATGTTATATAGCGCCTGAAAGATAGATTATCAAGTCTGCTATTCTTGAACGAGTAAGTCTATAAAGCCTGCAAAGAATAGAAGGGTGGAGGTATAGTCAAGGGAACGTCAAGTGGAAAGAACAGTTGGTGTAAGGGAAAATCAAGCATTTATTTAAATATACGAAGGACCCATCCGATCGATGGCAAGTGGAGATAGATTTATTTTGTTTTCGGTTCCTCCAGATGGAGCCCGGGGCTGTGTGGTTTCCGTGGAAAGTTTGGGACTTCGCCATCTGAACCAGATTTCGGTTCCTGGCTGAGTAGTAGATATAGAACTCCTTGCTTATATGGGATGAGACAGCACCCGGGGGAAAGCAGAGGATATTATGACGGCCTAGATTCTACATGCGGTCTGTTTTATTTCATTTTCTTTTTTCCCATCCTTCGCATATGGAAAACCAACTGTTGGTCTCCAGATTCTGTCTCAATTATAATACGCCGGACGTAACTCGGCAATGAAGAACATCTTCTAACTTCAGGCCGCCCGGCAGAACCAAGAGATGTTGCTCAGGGACTGCACCAATCAACAACATGCTGTGGCGCAAAAGTGGCGACAACTCATGATCAGCCCTAGTTCTGTACCTGGTAAGCGTACTAGTAGTACAGGCACCTGGCGTACTTATACCTTAACTTTTTTTTTCACCGTATGGTATCAAGAATCTGGTGTTCCAGTAGTTATACAAAAACATGCGTCTATCTAGATGATATATAGGTTATTGACCGGTATGCCCTGCGATCGCACAGTATACCGTCGCTTGATGCCGACACCCGTGGCCTGACGGAGTAGTTCGTATGTTTCCGCCCCGCCACCGACCATGACCAGGCTGATTAGATGACGACGAGGAACCCCTCCAGCGGTTATCTGAGTTTCGTCGAGGTATGGCCGAACAAGATGTGGTTCCGCGCGGACGGCAGCTAGGCTAGAGAAAGGATTAATTTGGGACTCTAGATCCTCATCCATTGGCTCTTCGTTGTAGGAGACAACAATAACGAGCTTTAGCGCATGTTGTGAGGGTGGATATGCAGCGATACTCCTAAGCTTTTGCGAGAAACTGCACCCGCCCCGCTTGATGACAAGCACTTGGTGACTTTGTGCGATGTCACGTAGGATCCGATGGTCACAGAGCTCATCGGCGAAGTAGACCGTAGACCATGGGAGACGACTTCTAGGTATATCCCCCGTGACAGAGAATGTAGAGGAATCCTCAACATCTGGCATGGGAGTAGAGCCTAAACCAGAAGCCATAGCAGCGGGTAATGTCAGTCGTAGAAATGGCTTTTTCTCAGAAGACGGCCAGGCAGAATGGGGTTGTGACTCGTCCCAGAGTAACCAGGACACGTGATTCACAAAGGACGATAAAGCACTCTTTACACTCGACGTAGTCGGATCTACGGCGCTAAGTTTGTCGTCAGTGGATGACTCGCCGATGATATGCTTTGGGCTATGTTTAGTAGTTGATCCCTGTGGGTCATCTGAATGGTTCCTTCGGCGGAGGTTCTCTGGGATAACGTCAATGACGATGTCAATCATTGCGGAGTCGCGCACGCGGGTGAAATTCGGATCGTTGGGATCCAGGACATCGAATGTGACCTCCCGTGAGATGTATACCTTCTCATCTTTTCCAAGCGGTACATTATTAATCACTTGTACTCGAAACTCTGCCATTTTCGTGCCAGCCGCATCCTGAGAGGGAACATCTTGGATCATGCTCAACCGGAGCCCTCCGATGGCCTTGATGAGAATGCCATCTTGGACTCGTTCTAAGGAGCCTGATCCCAGGAACATGCCTGGAAGAGACGGGAACGAAATGTCAAGTGTGGGGCGAACTGTCATTGGTGAGCTCGTTGCATTGAACGGTACTAACTCGGCTGGCAAAGTCCAAGGGAAGAATGTGTAATTTGTTGGTGAAGACAAATCTGACATGGTCACGCTTGGGCGGCCTTTCGCATAGTCTAGAATAGGTCCCTCTGGTGGCCCTCGGCTGGGCATCAAATGTAGCCGAGCCAAATTTGCAGCATGAAAAACGTCAGGACGTGCAGCAGTTGATGACAGCCCAAAAAGAGGAGGCAACGGCGCTACTGGACAAACAGCACTATTGATCTGCTTGCTGACTGACAATTGTGTCTTGCGGGGCTGCTGGGCAGTTGCTGTACTCTTGGGTATGATGAGTGGATGGCCCTCTGTAGAAAACACAAACGGCTGGTCGATGTTGTTAAGAGGATGCGAAGGATCAAAGAGCAAATACAGATATTTAGCCGTCTCGCCTAGGAAGAAGCTCTCCATTCTGTCATTGAGCTCACCACTGCGAACGTCTTGAAGGCCAGCCCAGCCGCATTTTGTCCAGCACCGTCTTTTAAGATCACGAAGTACCATCTCGCCAACATGTAAGTACCAAGGGTCCTTGGTGGCTTGATAAAGATAAAATGTTGATTCAGCAAATTCTGGTCGGCCACTATACCATGCCAGACCCCCCTCTATATCCCCCGTCGCAACATTCCATCTTTCAGGGAGGCCTGAAAACCGGGTCCAAACAGCCGTTGTTAGAAGATGGATCCCAACGGCCTCATCTAACTCTCCTGCCAAGCTCAGGAGGCCTGGGTAAAAGGCGCTCAAGCTATCGATCCAAAACGCCCGCGTGGCGCCAGTGAAAACATCTCCTTGGATTAAATGTGGATGCTGATAGCCTTCTCCACGATACAAATGACGCTTGACTGAAGCATGTGATTCTTGCCAGGCTTGCAAAAAGGCCTCTGCGGAGTTCTCGTACTCATTTAGGGGTGTAAAATCATTGTCCAAGGCATACCACGAGCTATTGAGATCGCGTGGGAACCGTTCCCCCGACGATAGCAGGATATAAGATTTGAAAGCATATTCAAAGAAGCTGTCAATTCCTGCACCGATCTGAGGTTCATGAAATTTTAGCTCCGCATCATTGTCCTTGAATTTCGGGAAAACTTACTCCTGTGTAAGGATGAACCCATTTACCCGATTCTGCATCGATACCTGCCCCAACTAACCCTATATCACTTCTTCTAGCCCAAACTGCCCAGAAAGCTCTTTTGCCCAGCTCCTCATACCGGCCATCTCCGGTAAGCCGGCTCAACACAGTAAACTCCAAGACTAAGCTGCCAGCGCCCGCGCTGCATGTCTCCGTCGTTTCTACCAATGGAACGCGACGAGACTTACAATTCTCGTGGTCTTTAGTATTGTCACATGAGAAAGCGGCATTTAGTGGCGAGTTTGCATAGAATGGGTGCTGTCGGACTCCATGTCGCAGATTGACCCGGGGATAGGGAAGACCAGTCTCAGTATAGAAGGCGGGCAACAGACGGTTCGCTAGATCAACAGCAAGCCGCAAAAACTGGCCATTGTAAACGAATCCATTCTCCCATTTGATCCCATGTCTCTTTATGGGGAACGAAGTCTTATCCCAAGCTTTGGCGAATGCGACCTCGACTTCAGGAGGGCTGTATATCGTAATGGGAAGATCACCCACAGAAAATAAATGAGCGCTGAGTAGTCCGCCTGTAGTGCTCTAATGTCAGATCTAACTTAGTTCTTATAGATTAGAGCTTCGAACCTAGTCCCCGAATGACCGTCTCGAAAACTTGGACTTTACTGTCCATGTCAAACCCGCGGCTCCTTTCGCCCTGGCCACCAGGACCATCTGAGCCATCGCCGTACAACTTCACAAAGTCCCTAACACCATCCTGAAAATGTGCCCAAGCTCTTGCACCACCGTCTGGACTCGATGACAGTATCGCTAGTGAAGATAGGCTGTCGATCAAAGTCAATGAGTAATTCCCCAGAACGTCATTCAATCCTGCATTCGCAAGGGTATCTCGGTCGCGAACTAGCGGACGGCAGGATAGAGGGCGTAGCTCATCTTCGGGAAAGGCATGCGTAATGTAGTTGTCAAAACCGTGGTAGAACATATGCTCAGTATCCTTTCTACAACGCGAATCCATGTTAGTCATACATTGAATACAAACTATACCAGCAACAACAACACCGATAATAATAATAATAATAATAATAATAAGCGTTTACCTGAGTTCGTTAAGCTGATCTGTCCTCATACCCCAAGCGATGGCAAGCCACAGCGAGAGAAATAAGACCCAATTCATCACCCATTCTGCACGGAGGAAGGGCATCTGTAAGCACCAACATCCCGACCGCATTACGGTAGTAATAAAACTGCCTCAGGTGGCATGGGAGCGCAATTATCAGCCGTTACAGGCAAGGTTTTACTGGCGGAGAAATTAGTCCTTTTGGGAGCTCCCTGAGGTATAATGGTTGCTGAAGTGATGGTGGTAGCGAACGTGCACGTGAGGCCAGTTCCGAACGGCCAGATATGCTAATAGTCCGTTGTCTGCTGCTTGCAAGTTTTTTATCGGATATTGACAAAATTTCAATACAAAGCACTAATTATTTACATTAATTCGCAATTTACAAGATGAAGATTAAAACAAATATAAAACCAGTAATAACGGACACCCAACGCTACAAAAAAAATACAAGAATGAAAAGATGAACATGATGATTATAGACTGACCAACACTGCTATGTATAGTTGGTTGCTCTCCTGCCCAGGTAACTCCCGCTCGAGATAACTACTGTAACGCCCAATAAAACCCCTGGTGTATCTCAAGCAAAATGATAGCTGATATGTAAGTGGTGATAATGCGGCGGGAAAAAATGGGTTAAAAAACGCGGGGTTGAACAATATCAGATGAGGCGGCAAGTAGATCCACACAAGGACCATCATTGACGCCCTGACCATTCAGCAGAAGGGCCTTGGGTAAGCGATCGGGGTTGGGCTTCAATCACATAGTCGATGCCATTGTCAGAAGTGTAGCTGGGAGGCCGTGGTAATGGCACCTTGCCGCCCAAACCTTGGGTCTTATTTGCGTGCTGCGGTAAAGTGGTGGTATCGCCGTCTACGCGGTGCCAATGGAGTAGGTCTGGATTAATTCTCTGGGATGCATAAATTAGCCAAACAGATCTGTGAGCAGACAGTCGAGGAGCGTCTTAATATATCACTTACTACGCTACTTCTCCAGAGGCCATACGCTGGAGGCGGGGGCGTGACCTTCTCCTGGCTCGCACCATTGTTTTGAGTCAAATTCTCCTCGTCCCGGAGGAGAATGACATGAATGGGACGTTCTGGCTGAGCGTAGCCAGTTGGCCCTGCCCTGCTTGGTATCCGATTCATAGCCATAGTAGATCTTGAACCTCGCAAGGTCACCATAGAAACTCGGATGAGGGAATGACAAAAGACAATGGCAAGGATCAGAATAATAAATATCAAGAGTATATGAAGTTCGTGGCCTAGATGCGATTTAGAGACAGTGAAGGCAACATCTGTATCACTCGGTCAGTATACCTTTAGCCCCTAAGGTTAGATCGAACTTAAACTTACAAAGAGAAAGGGCTAGGGTTAGGAACAGAGCAGATGTGGTAAGCGTGACAAGCCGTCGTCTCGTATTCTTTTCTCTTAGTATCATGATAAACGAGCGTGGGCGGCTGTTGGAGTTCCCAATGTCTCTTTGCACACCCTGCTCCGGCCTAATGCAAGACTGGTTTCTATCGGCAAAATCGTCCTGCTCCGGTCTAGGTTGCGCGTTGGTTCTGCCATAAGTTTCTCTTGGAGCATACAATAATTGTGGCAAGTTTATAGCGGATTGATGCGATGAAGTAGGCCCTGAAGATATGCGATATTCCTGATGTCCCACACTATCGATGAGAGTTCGCTGTCCATGGGCTAAATATTCGTTGCGTCTCGTTGATGCCGATTGCGCACGACTGTCTTGGGAGCCTAGGGAGCTTCCAATATAGTTGAATCTAGTGTAGCCGGGCTCTGAAGATGAATAAAGTAGCGCCCGAGAGGTCGACTGGTATGAATGTGACGATTCTGTTTGAGGTAACAGAACTGATCCCATGTTGAATGTCTTGTCACTGAAATCACGACATTTGTGCCGACGAAAATACAAAGCAATAACCTGCAAACTTCAACCGCCCGACAGTTATGATATTAGCAGTTTGTCAGATCGTTGTATATTGAGCGCTGCTGTCCTTTTATTGGAATGAGCTATAAGCTAATTCCGCATTCGGGAAATGGCACGCAAAACGGTAGATGCGAAAGCGTTCAGATATGCGGCAACTAACTTCTAACGATTAGGCCCACAACGCATGCAACAGCGGTCGAATTATTGTTGTGAGTGTTTGCCTGCGCTGGCAACAAGTATCTTTGCCACTAAATGTTCATAATGAGGGCTTAAGGGCTGCGGAGGTAGATGGCAATCGTATCGGTATTCCCGCTAAAGACAGTATAGAGCGAAGTTTAGATTGTATAAAAGGGAAAGAAAACAGGAAAATATTCCAGAGCTGTTGAAGTAGTTCGAGAAAGGAAGGAAAAAGCAAACGAAAGATCAGGGGCAGCACCAGGTTACAAAGAGAAGATCTGATATGGGCTGAATAATGAGAATGAAATACAACAAGATGGATAGAAAGGGAAGAAAGGTGACGGTGATAGTAAGGGTATGTTTTAGAAATCTAAGCAGTCAGAGAAAAAAGAGACCGGAGTTGGAGAGAAGGAAGGAAGCACAGAGCCCCAAAGGCCTGTGACATTGGATCTCAGACTGAGAGGGAGGCAGGATGGAGTAAGTATCGCGATAAGCCCAGAAGACTAGTGGCCGTAACTAGAACGAAACCCCCTGGACGACCCACGCTCCCATGCCTCTTCCGAAGTACTAGCTACCTTTGCCATGGATTGATCCCGTCCATGACAATATATTGTGCAAGAGAGAAAGACACTGTGAATAAATTCGATCTTAATAACTCCAGTGACCGGTATTCGTATGAAACCATCACTTTTCCCTGATCCTGATGCCAAAAATATGTACCTATACTCCGTAGATTTTGGGTAAATGACAGGATAATTGCGGGAGAATATTTCGCTTATGGAGCTAGACTTGAAACAAGCCTCTAAACCTATTAAAATAACCTCATAGCATTAGGGAAGCTTCCGACAGTCTTTGGACGGTATCTCCCTGCCTAGCCTACTACGGAGTAGTACTTAGTAGTCACTAGCCCCGTACCTCGATTTAATACAAATCTAAATCTAGGTACTAAGCCACAGTCGCGCGTCATAAGCCACTTAAAAAGAAAACCCAAGGTCGAAAAATACTCTCAGGGCAAACCAAACAAATTAAACGAAGAATATCAAGATGTCTATTATGATATAGTAAATTCGATACCTCAGTGGGATGCTGCCCGTTCGACTTTCAGACGTTAAATCTTACACTCCATGACACGATTAATGGAAAGAAATCTGGTACACAGCCACTACTCTAGTCCTTTTAACCATGCTCATTACTAGATCCCTGAGTAGCTGTTTGGAATCGCCTCCTCGACAATTCGTTCTCGCATGTGTGGTATATATCATATAACTCGTGTTCTTGTTGCTGCGATGCACATCTTTGCTGTGACAATCTGAGTAGGCCGTCTTTAGTCGAGTTAAGTGACCTTCATGGTACCGCACAAGACATCGAGCCTGATATTAATCTCTGTCGAAAAATGAAATCATACCCTGGAATGTGCTGGGCATTACGTTGATGCATAATAACCTGGAATCCGGTATCCTCATTTGCCAAGTTCTCCGAGCATCAGGGTTCGATCAGATGAGCCAGAAACAACTGTAAGAACAATTAGAATAGCAGATACCTATAACCATGGAAGAAGACTTACTGATGGGTTCACCGTTCGGTGAAAATCGTACATCATTGACTGTGCCCTTATGCCCGGGGAGCTTGTATAGAAGCTTTCCAGTTTTGAAATCCCAGACGACTACGCTCCTGTCACCACTTCCCGCAGCAATCCTTTCACCCTTCGGATCCCAGCTTGCTCGAATGAGGTTCTTGTCTAGCCCGACAGGAGCGCCGTCATACGTCGTGATGAGTCGATTTGTTGGCGCAAAAGGTCGGATATCCCATGCGCGTACAGTCGAATCATGAGAATTAGAAAGAAGAGTCTGCGAGTCTGGCGAAATTTCCAATGAGGTGATAGTATCCATGTGCCCTGTCATGGAATAAGTGATAGATTTTTTCCGCAGGTCCCATACATGAATCGCATTGTCAATGCCGCCACTGTAAATTTCGTTACCTGCTTCCGACAAGGCCACTGCAGTAATGGGCAGTTCCGTTTCCAGATACTCAATAGCATCCTTTTGCCGGGGATCCCAGATTCCCACACAACCATCATCACTGGCACTGACCAACAATTCCTGGCCCCTCTTGCTAATATCTAGACAGTTCACTATCTCCTCGTGACCCACGTGGCGACGTATTCTTTGCCCAGTTTCCAGATCCCAACTTGCCAGCGTTGCATCGGCTGACGCGGAGAAGATCGTTCTTGAGTCGCGAGACCACTGTAGGTCAAGCACCGCTCCTCGGTGGCCTGTCAAAACACCATAATTTTCACATTGTCCATAGGTATTCCAAAGCACTATAATTCGCGTGGAAAATTAGTTGTCATGCAATTGCTTGGCATCCACTTTTTAGGCGCAACGTACAAATAGACCTATCCATTGAACCGGATGCAATATGCTGTGCGGTAGGGTCGAACCGGACAGTAAAGATTTCACCGGAATGGCCTATATTTTAATTAAACATACAGAACCACCTGAGTAATGCGACATTCGTTACCTGTTAGCTCCATAATCGGCGCCTCAAGCCACTGGTGCGGGGAACCTGCCAGCACGGTCAATAAAGAATCCTCGATACGACTTCTGTAAGGTCATCATGAAGAAACGCATACTGCTTGCACAAGTGTTCCATTCTGCGACGAGCTTTTAACCACGGCAGTGCTATTATCCAAGCCAGCGTCGGACTTTTTTCGTTTCACAACAAGCTGACTAGATGACCCAAAAGCTTCTTGGGCAGGTCGTTTTTCTCCAGACATGTCACTGAAATGATCTGGGGATTGCTGACCCAACGACGATTTTCAGAAACTTGTAATGAGAAAAGGCTCTGGATTGTATAGGACAAGTTGTGGATAGATAGCAATTGACTTCTAGAAAACTGATATTAGGGGAGCCTTGTCGGGGTCGGAGTACGTTCATCTTTTCCGCCCGGCAAGTAGCTCTACGCAAGCGCTGAACGCCCAGCAGGTTAGCCGCGATAGACGCCGGTCCACTATGCGCTCCGCCCGTACCCCGTCGATCCACAGACTCGGGCGGGGAGGAATATCCATCAACAACATTTTGATAGCTGCTGGGCATTCACCTCATACCTGTTGCCGTATCACGCCTTTGTTCAAACTGTGCACTGGTTCTTTGAGAATCTACATAACTGAAGTTGTAAACGAGAATGTCTGCCACAAAAGCCTCAAGGATCGGTGAAGAGTAAGTTGTTTGTTGATGATATTGATTCGTGATGTTCTCATTAACAGCATACGGTGTAGGCTATGGAAGTCAGTAAGCTGAGTGCCGTTTCCAATCTGTCGAATGTTAAGCTCGATTGCATCCAGCAAAACCAGCGCGAAGTCGTTTGTGACTAACATGTTGCAACATTTTTAGAACGAGGGTTGACAAAGTCAATGCGGAGTTAGTCACATTGACTTATGGTACAATTGTTGCACAATTATGTCAGGACTATGACTCAAACTACCAGGAAGTGAACAAGCAACTAGACAAGATGGGCTACAATATTGGTATGCGACTTATCGAAGACTTTCTGGCAAAGTCAGGCGTCGGCCGGTGTTCCAACTTCCGGGAAACTGCAGACATGATCGCAAAAGTACGATCTAAATCTATCATATGCCAGACATCTACCCCCAGATCATGTGACTGACAGATGCTTGAATAGGTTGGGTTCAAGATCTTTCTTAACATCTCGCCTACCGTAACGAATTGGACCAGCGATAATAATCAGTTCTCTCTTGTCTTCGACGAAAACCCGCTAGCCGACTTTGTCGAGTTGCCAGATGATGGGAGGGCGCAGGATGAGCTGTGGTTTTCTAATATTTTGTGTGGTGTCCTGCGAGGTGCTTTGGAGATGGTAAGTAAACTAAGCCGCAAATTTTTCTACATCGTTGGTCTACACGCCACTAGGGCTCACATTTTCTGGCGTATCTTTCTAGGTTCAAATGCAGGTCGAAGCGCATTTCGTTAGCGATGTGTTGCGGGGTGACGATACCACGGAAATCCGGGTATCTCTGGTGAGATATATTGAAGATGAAATGCCACCGGAGGAGGAGTAACAAGGATATGGAAAACAAGAATTCTGTAGAGGGTTGTGGCGTACGGTGTTTGGGATTCGATGGTCTCTGTTCTTAACTAATTTATAGCATTTCTTGTCTTTAGTAGGTATCTGCAACCTATTTGTACCAGACGTTGACTTTGATGATTAGCCCTACCCTGTTGATATGTTGGCTATATTCTAGTACAAGGCTCGACCGACCGTCAACATTGGCGTTTCGGTCGAACAATAGAACATGGGGCCATGGAATGAGCCATGATCACCCGCCTTGTGACTGTCGCTCTTGTGATTAAGATACTAGTAGTATGATTTATGAAGAGGGTTACAGATCACATTTTGGCTAGCCCGCATAATAATCCGTGTTTTCATAAATTCGCTGATTCAATGATAGATGATATAGTCAAGGAGTGTTCAAAAACAAAGGACTGTATACAGTATTCCAAAGGAGGATCCAACCAACCTAGTCGGAAAAAAAGGAAATGGGGGTTTAAACCAATTATCGTCTCATCCTACAAGTTACAAATGCAAGAATGGCATGATAAGAGCCAGTGCCGGTCTGCCACATCATGTTTAACAGTAAGGTTTCAAGGTTGTAATCAATTTCAAAGACATGTAAATCAGGGGCTTGACCAGTCTATTAGGACAACAAGTGTGTCACAAATTGGTAGGCGTTAGATTGTTGAATGAAGGCCATTGCCATTTTGAAACATGGAGATTAAGTAGGATCTCCATACAGAGTTAATAACACAGAACTAAATGATCGCCCTTAGTTATCGAACTTTATGCTAAGTCATCAAACTAGTGGCCTCTTTATATTTACGGATAAATCAACAGAAAGCAAACACATGTAATGTCCGAACGTATACAGACCAATGCAAATCGAATGCTCACACGGTCTGGTTGACCGATATTACTACACCCCCAAACTACATTGATCTGATTCCCTTGTGGTCTGGGGGATGGGCAGATCTGCACAGGAAATTCTAGTCTGCCGGAGTTAGACACGTGATCTACCATACCATAACTGTGCTGGAAAGTACGCAAGCCTGGCGACCCTGAGTTATTCTAAGCCCCATGTACTCCGTATGTTATGAGTATCTTCAATGTTTCGATCTCTACACGTCGAAACCAACGGTTCTTCTCTCTAAATTAATTTTTTGTCACCCCTCTCTCTATCTCTTCAAACCAATGGCTCTGAGGAATGCTTCACATAGTTGTCGGTCTTTTCCCAAGTAATTTCTCAATTGTGTGTTTATCCCTTCGCTGTGGAATATCTATACTCTCCGAATTACACCACCTCAGATCGGGTCAACAATTCTGCGCCTACTCTTCAAATCAATGCCAAGATACTTCCTATCTACCTTGCCTCTCATACTTCTTTCCTTTTCTCCTCTATTTTTCCCTCTTTCTCTTCCGTGTTCTTTAACGCCATAATATTTAAAACACTGTGCACTTCGCATTCCTGCAGATTTGCAAAGAATTTTTTTACTAGAGTCATTGCTTTGGTTTTCATTCATCCTTAGGCTTCCCTCTGCATAGTGGTAAGTAGTATGTAATTTTCCTTTTGCTTTCTATCACTTTTTGCCGCCTCCATAAGTAGAATTGCATGCTCAGAAATACGCGAGACAATAGCATCTCCCAGCCCTCCCGCCGTGTTCCGGGATAGATAATCCGCGCCGAACAAGCGATTCACGCCCAGCCGGCAGTGATTGAACAGCCCAGCACTCCAGGCACCGCGCCTGATATCCACGTCCTCCCACCCACCAGAACACCTCAGATCCACCGCTACACCTTGTCCTGACCTTTGCCTCCCATCCCTCCCCCCCCTCCACCATTACTTCCTCTAATCTGACCGGATCTGTCCGTGTCTCCTCTTTCCTTTTTCTGCAGGGGGATTTGAGATCTTTAATTTTTCATCGTCTGGTATTCTTTTGTTTCTTTCCTCTTAGTCTGGCTGGTCGGACTTGGACTGGCTTGTCCTCTCCTAAACGCCGTTCCCGTCTTTCTGCTTGTCGCCGCCCACACCCCCCGGTTGATCCTACCGCGCATTTTTCTCTCGGCTGGATATCTTGACCGACCATATACTTCCTCGTTAATATCTTCATGACCATTCATTACGTTCACCATATTCTACAATCAGCGTGCTCTATTGCTTCTACCCGCGCGTGGAAGTAACGGCAGATTCTTCCTGGTTGCTTTTGCTCCTGAGCGAGCCACGCTTATTTTCCCTTGTGAGTAATCTTCGCGATACTTTCTTGTTCAGTGTTGTCAGTCAATAAGTGGAACCATACTCAACGCTTGTTGATTCAGAAAGTTGCTTGGGCGCGTCCTTGTCCAAATTTGACCGTAAAGCCGCTTTTTGGTTCATCGCGCATCGGTATTTAATTGCAAATTCGTCACTCACCTGGTTGGAAGCATCGGTCATCTCGTCTGACTGTCTTCCCTTTCTCATTTACCCGTCTTGATCGCCACGCGCCCCTCGCCTTATCTTGTGGTGAGTTTCCTCGCCGCGAGACGGTGGATGCGCGTTAAACCCATCTATCGCCGACTCCCTTGATCGACGACAAGAAATAGGTGAGGGTGGCTGAGCCCCTTGGAGTGCTACCATGAGTCAGATGAATGTAGCTGGGATGAACCCCGGGGCCGGGGGCCCCGTGGGAGGGGTCCCCATGATTAATAATGGTTCGACGGCTCCTCGTAACGATGGAAATGTGAACAACATCCCCGAGTTGATGATTAACAACCTCAATACGTATATTTATGATTATTTGTTGAAGCGCGGCCATCACGAGTGTGCTAGGGCCTTTGTGAAGGACGAGTCGATCAAAATGAGCACTGAGCCACCTATAAAGTCAAGTCCAGGTCACCGTCGCGATGGCGAGGTGAATGGTATCGATGGTGATACGATGATGACAGATAGCAAGGACGGTGACAAAATGAAAATACCCGATGACTTGCCACGGCCAAATCTTCCTAGTGAAGGCCAGCAATCCTCTTTTCTTTTGGATTGGTTCAGCCTCTTTTGGGATTTCTTCTGGGCTCAGCGCAAGAAAGGGAACAGCAATGATGTGAGACAGTACCTCCAACATACTCAGGTACAGACCCTTGCACTGTTTGACGAAGGTCTGAGTTTCTTCTAATATGTATAGAACATGTTGCGCTTCCGAGAACAACAGCACAATCAACTACTACGACAACAGCCAATGATGCCCGCCCAGATGCAGCAGCTCAATCTTCGCCGAAATGGATCTGTTGCACCCAACCTTCAGAAGACTGTTTTACAAAACAATACTTCAGGCCTGTACGCTTTCCTTGGAATCCAATGCTCGCTCCTAACAATAGCAAGTGATGTAGTGCTGATTTAACTCAACAGCTCCCAACAACAGCTTGCCCAACTCCATAAAACGCAGCAAGTGCAGATGATCCAACAGATGCAGAGAGAACACTCGGATATGGACATGAACGGCCATCGCCCCCAGTCCCCGTCTTCCGCAGAGAACGCCCCGTCGCCATCGAAACGGCCCCGCCTCGAAGGTGGACACATGAACGGACAGCAACTAGCTCCCAACGGACGGGGTCAAGGACAGGGTATGCCCGGCCAGCCGAATCCGCAAGCGCTTTTAATGCAAAATGGCCTCAATCCGCGGCCGATGAATCCGGCCCAGTTCCAGGCTTTCCAGCAGTCGGGCCCTGCTGCGCAGCAGAAGTCAATCCAGGTATATGCTCAAAATTTAGCCCTTCACCACTCTCGCTCAGCAATGAATAACCAGGGCATGCCGAATGGTGGTTTGATAAATCCCGGTGTCATGCCAAACCAGACGGATCTGGTGCCATTGCCAGATGGCCAGGGTATGTACCCGATGAACGGCGATTACTATCCACCGAATGGTCAGATGGCCCAGGTTCGGGCTGGATTGCAGACACCTGGCGGTCAGCATGGGAATCATGCTCTCCAGGATTATCAAATGCAGCTTATGTTGCTTGAACAACAGAATAAGCGGCGCTTGATGATGGCTCGTCAAGAGCAGGATAGCATGGCCCGTCCTGACGGTCAGCCCCCAATGCCAGGGCAGCAGCAGGCTTTGCCACCAGGCACCTCTCCCCAAGGCAGCAGGGCGGGCACGTCCCCCAACCCGAACGATCAAATGAAACGAGGCACTCCGAAGATGCCTCAGACCGGACTCCCTGGTTCCCCCAGCGGCGGTGACGCAATGGCTCAGGGCCGTGGCTCGCCTGCGTCAATGAATTTCAACGGTGGCCAGATGCCACCTGAGATGGGCGGCGCTTTCTTCATGAAAGGCATGCAAGATGGCATGGCAGGCCCCAATGGCATGCGACCTCCGAGCTCGAATCCCGCTTTCAGTGGCCCTCAAATGGGTCAGCCGATTCCTGCGGGCACTGGAAACCGGGTGCCGAGCGGAGGCTGGCCACCACAGCAAGGTAGTCAGGGCCAGCCGATGGCGCCGCAACAGTCCCCCGCGACCCAAACGACCGGAACGCCCCAAGAGCGCAACGCAATGCCTCCCCTCAGGCCCCGCCCGCTGCGGGTTCTAATACCGGTCGAACGCAGCCGCCGTCCCCTCAAACAGCACCCGCCCCACCTACGCCACAGCAAGCTAATAAGCCCGCCCCGAAGAAAAAGGAGACCAAAGATAACCGGAAGGTAAGAGATATTTGGATTCTTCTTTCGCGTTCGAGTTTCTTGCGCTGTATCTAAATATGTTTCTAGCGGACTTCAAAGAAGGCGACTACTGCCGCAGCAGCCGCAAACACTGCAGCCACTCCCTCGTCCGAAGCAGAGCATCCTCCGACTCCTACGCCATCGACACCAATTACACCCCAACACCCCAATTCGTTCAATAAGGCCGGCACAAATGCTACGACAAGTGCTCCACAGCAGCCAACGTCTGCGCCTGCACCCCAGCCGCTCGTACAGCCACCACCGCCACCACCACCGGATCAAAGTCAACAGCCATTTAATGACCTGAGTATCCCAGATGTATGTTGTTATGAAGGGTTTTATTTCCTAACGCCTCACTAACCGAATCTATAGGCCTCTGCCTTCAATCTTGATTTCAGCGCTCTGGAAAACCCGGATATCTTGGAGAATTTTGACTTTGACACGTTTCTCAATACGGATGCGGATACCACCGGGTTTGGGTTCGACCCAGGCATGCCATACCCGACAGATGGGGTTGAGACCGGTGCCGGAGATGGCTTGTAAAGGAGTCCAACGGATATTTCGTTCTTATCTCTCATATACCCTTCCTTGCTCTGTACATTCCTAAAGTTTGGCTTGTGCTATTCGGTTTTTGTTCAATTCCCCTCTTTCTCATATGCTTCAACTTTTCTCTTTAGTGTGTCTCTGTCGACGTGACTTGGATATGTGCCGTGAGATTGGCGTTAAGTGTATCCGTTATTGCATGTCTTTCATTTTTTAACCGAGACGCGATTGACCTTGAGATGGAATCCACCTGTATTCAAGCTGCGTTATTTTGACACCTGTGCCATTCGATTCTCTTTCTTTTATTACTACTATATCTATTATTTGGTTAATCTTTGTCGTTAAGCTCCCATGGCCGACGTCGACTGATCTTGCTCTAGTATTAGTTGTGCTCTTATAATGCTCAAGGCTCAACGGGCATATCAGCTTTCCAAAGCCCCTCCATCCCTTTCATTTCCCCTATTTCCTTTGTCTTGTGATTATGGCGTTATCGTTAAGGTCCTCCTTTGTTGTCTAAGTCATCAGTGACTCCTCTCCGGGGTATGGGTTTATGAATTGAGAAAAGATACTTACGTCTTCGAATATTACATCGGTATGCCGTCTACCGTTATCTCATCCAGATCCCTCTTCCTTGCTTTGGGGTCGGGAAAAAGAAAAAATCAAGGCAAAATCCAGCATGAGATGGTCCAGAATGTACTGCCGCCGCTGGTACTGGTTATGAAAGATAGAGAGACTGAGATTTTCCTTTCTGTTCTGGACATTGTTTTATGCACTTTAGCAAGTTTGATAACTGACTTCCTTCTCTCTAAACAAAGTAAAAGCTTGAACGGTACTCGGTACATAGCTTCATTGTGCTCGTGGCGCCCATTATAAGATTGACTGATAATTTGAAACCTCCTTTCTCTCTACATGTTTGGGTGTAAGCAAAACTCGAAAAGAAAAGAACCTTACCTTCAATTTCTGAGAATACACCTACGCGAGAACGTGTCGCTCAAACCCACAAACTCAGAGGCAAAATAGCAGTTACCATGTAGATGGTCACGATCAGTTTTTTCATTAGACCAGTCCGCCAATATGTAAATGTCCATACGCGTTCGAACCCGGTCATGTCTTCTTCCACCAATTGTATCAAAGCTTCAACCGGGGCAAGCCTGCAAATAGCTACAGAAATTTTGTTAGAGCTCCGGGCCCCTGTTCGCTCTTTGCGCTGCTTATGGCGCCTGCCTACCTCATGGCTCAGTGTTGCCTTGACCGGCCACTTTGTAGGGGCCCGCGAGTCATCTGCTTGATCCATGCGATTTGAGGTATCTCGAAGGGGTATGATCGTAGCCACTATCAAATACTAGCCAAATGTATAAAGCCGTGTGGGCAGCAGTATTTGAGTCGGATTTGCTTCTGTGACCATGCTCCTGGGACACAAGGTAGCTAACCCTGGAGCTTGATTTAATGAAAGTAACCTATGCCTTGCGCATATCTTGTACACACTAATTCCGTTACGCAAACTTATCTACATATGACTTGTTAGCTGCCTCAAGAGTTGCACCTTACACCTATTTTCTTACCCTTATGATCTCTAGCTAATATAATGCTTGAATTCCTCTAACAAGTCCAATCTCTTAGTGAATATTGATTGAATAAACATTGTACCCAGGGGCGGGCAGTACAGAAATTATTTTACAGAGAATGTAGTGCCCTGAAGGGTGTGCTGTGCTTCGCTAGTGGAATAATCATCTGTGAGTTAGAGAATGAACTAAAACCTGCGAGGATATCGTTAGAAGACAAGCAAAGGAGCAGCGAACGACAGAGAGAAAGACAGAAATACGAAGAGAAAAAAAAGGGGGGGGAAAGGGGGGGGGGGAAAGAAATAAAAACTCTGGAGTGCGCGCTCATAAAAGTTTTGATGAAAGCTCAAGTATAACAATTAGTCAATCTCGGCCGCCTCAGCTACAGAACCTGCACGGTGGCTTCCTGGTCCAAGAAGTTCTTCGAGGCCAACCCGTCGGAGAAGGTCATCTGTTTCAGACAACTCTTGTGCTGGAGAAAGCAGAATTGGCTCTCCTTTGGAAAAACCGAGACTTTCCCTGCGAGCAGAACCCGTGGACCGTCTTCTTCTAGATCCAGTGGGAGTCTCTAGGTTTCCACTGGTACGCACGGCTGTCTTGGACCCAGAATGGTGGACTTTGTCACTTTCCCTTCGCGGAGTTTCCACTATGATCTCGTTTTCCTTCTTATCCGACGTCATCCCCTCTTTCCTGCCTTTAACCTGGACATTTAGGCCGACAGGGAGCTTGCTCGTTGCTGCGGTATCAGCAACAGGCTCCGCAGAGAGGTTGGATTTAACGCTAGCTTCTGAGACGTCTCTAGTACCTAGACACGATTTATCCTTTGGAAGCGATCCTCTGTTTCCGTTGTTAATATAGGATGATGACCGCGCTTCAGCTGCAACAGAGAGCTTTCGGCTTATAGGTAATGTGGCGGAAGGCGTGTTTGTGGGCGCTTTTGTACCGCAGGACAGGGGTTTTGGAGGACTTAAGACCTCAAAAAGCTGATTATAGGACTCCTCGTCAATAGGGGAAATGATGCTTGGATGCTTGCTATGCTCGTAGCTAATGCCAGTCATGTGTGAGATAGCTCGACTACTGGTTGAACTTGAAACATAGTCGGGCATAGATACATCCTCCGAAGAGGGTCTCGCACCTCGGTGGCGTGTGGAAGGATCAAGCACGTAAGGGTCGATGAAAGGATCCGGCATAAGCTGTTCCTGTTGGGGCCATCGTGGTTCTCGGAGACTGCCTTGTATTTGGGGAACAGGCCCTTGATAGTTTCGGTATGTCCAAGCGCCGTGTGCTGCCGGATTGCTGGTTTGGCTGCTTATGGTCGCTAACTGTCGAATACCATGTCGGGTGGGCGAGTGGGCATGCGTATCCTCTGGCTCTTTCAAGTCACTAAGCTCACCCCTAGAGTTGTATTTGAATAGACGGGGTTCTCGGCTCCACATGGAGGCATTAGGCCAAGCAATACTAGAATACTCCAATACCTCTATCGCTTGTTAGATACATGTGCCCAACTTTGAAGAAACTAAAGGGTGCAGAGGGTCATGGGTAACTCACGCAAAGGAGCATGCTGAAAAGCAAAAGCAACCACTTCTTTAACACGCTCAAAAGGTGGGTTGCGATGTGGCCGAGCAAAGCCTTCAGAGATCACTATCCTAATTCTACCATAAAGCTCACCAGCGTCCCAGTGCTGCTGCTCTAAAATCTCCTGGTGAAATGGCGGGAAACGCAGGTTATCCTGATTTCCGCTCTTATCGATATCTAGCGAAAATTGTTTCAGCAGTTGTAACTTTCTCACAGGGTATTGAGGGGAGCAGCATACTTGAACTTAGATCTAGACCAATTTCATCAATCAGAAAAGTGGTGACTTTGCTTCTCAGGCTTGGTCTACTCACCAATGACATGGGGCCAATTAGTCCTCTGGCCAAAGACGCTACCACTATGCAAGTAGACTCATTTTATTAGCTTCTATTCAATGGCTGTTTGCTACTGAGCCTGTAACTCACGAGATAAAAAGACCGTCAATGAAAATCCGGACTTCAAAAAGCAGGGCATCATCGGGTTGCAGCAGACTCTCCATCAGCCGACTAGGCCGAGGCCTCTCCCAGCTATGAACCGACACCCGAAACGGAGTATTCGGTGATACACTTGGGATGAAAGTTGTGAGCACAGGTAGCAGACCTGTGTTTCCTTGAGGGAGGCAATATGACGCCGGATTGACGAGAGCCGGACTGTGCAGATAAGGGGATCCTGCCGGCCGAAGATTTAGTATGTAGTCTGTATGGCTCACGGACATTGTACGTACCTCTATCTTTAATCACAAAGCATTGTGTCTTGAACTCTTGGATTGGCACTTTGGAATTCTCAGGGAAGAGAAGCACATCCCAACTCTCGTAACGCATCCTGTGTCGCATACAGTGTTTCCTTTGCCGTGTGATAAAATGAGGAACAAAGTATCTTGAGATGTGGTAGAGAATATCAGAAGTAATGAAACCGCATTGAATAAATTGGGGGCTTATGAGCAAGTGAGGGAGTAATCAAGCCTGTTGAAGAGACGATTGATGGGTGAAGTGGGAAAAGATGGCGAGCACGATATCAACGTCCCAAGGCTCCTTCCATATTTGGCGCTATATAAGGCATGTCTGGGTGAGACAGGGGTGGGCAGGAACGAGTGAAGGGACGTTAACCAATTGAACAATGAGAATGACTGCCGTATTTCTCAGGAAGATGTTTTACGCTCAATCACAATCACCTCAAGAATTAATGAGATTAGACAGACTAAACTGTGCATAGATCAAGTATGAAGGGAGATTGGGAACAAAGCCCCGTTCAGTTGGGTAGTTTGGCCATCTAGTAACATATACACGATCGAGGCCCATGGTCTTGCGATTATTCGACTCCAAGCGTGGTCAGCATCGCAGGAAAGGGCATGAATTAACATATAGATGTGACAGCTCACTGCGTAGCGAAAGGGGGAATCATCCGTAAAGAGACTGAAATACAAATTGGCCAGATGCACCTGGGACGCGCCAAGGAGAGAGAGAGAACAAAGAAAACGCGAATTTACGTAGGATGGATCATAAATACGAGAACGCCCAGATCATAGTCACGATGTCACAGATTGCCGCCAACGTCCGAGAAAACATGCAGCGTAGCCTTCAACCGAAGATCCACCAGGGCAGGTAGAACAGCCGTCAGCCTTGTTCCAGCTCCAGGAGCTACAATAACGAAGATTCAGAAAAGAGAGAGGACCCAATCCCAGATAATGACACTCCAGATGCAGCGAGGAGAGCAGGCGAACAGACAAGCCAGAGAATAGGCCGCCTTAACCGACAAAACTCTGGTACATAACCTCAAAAGACAGACACTGAACGAGCGAGAACGCATTGGACTCCATAAAGTGAACTGCACTTAGGAAAGAAGATGTTGAAGGGAAACAGTGTTGTACAGACCGCCATTCTAGCAGAAAGCATGACGCAACATCCTCATAGGGAAACATAATTCAATTTGACTGCTTCATGAGAAAAGACTCGAGAATAGGAACTTTTCGCAGAATGCCTGCCCAAGGATATAAGGGGAAAGACACGCACCAACGAATCGATCGGGTGTCATACGCATAAGGAAGGCCTAGGACCACAAACGTAATAGAAAGGCAAAGGGGGCATTTGGAAAAGGAGAACGTAAACGAATTCGGAAGGGGTTTGTTGAACAAGGCATCAAGAAGAAAAAAATAGCAGGATAGTTTGTGAAATAAGAGCTCAAATCTTGCTAACAAGAAAGTGGAAAGGAAATGAAAAAGCGCTCAGATGTAATGAAATACGTAGCACAGGAGAAAATGCCCATCCAGAGCTATAGAAGGGAGCTTTCGCAGAGATAGATAGCAGACTTGTTATAACACAAAAGACCCATCATTGAAATGACGCAAAACTCCTGCTGTGGCTTTCAAAAAAAGGAACGCTTTTTTTTACTAGATATTTTCGTTAACGATCTAGCCTGCACTAGGTACCGCGGAGTCTCATGCAGTAGCTTCAGGGTCACCAACCTTCATAGGCGCAAAGCCGCCATACTGGTGGGCAGGGGGCATGCCCATAGAAGGGTACATGGGAGGCGGAGGAGGAGCTGGGCGGTAAGGGCTTCCGGCAGGGCCGGAATTGTTCTGAGAGCGGCCCCAGCTCAGACGCACACGGGAGTTGCCGATGGGGTAACCCTGCATCTGGTTGATGGCCATCTCAGCCGCATGGCGCTGAACGAACTGAACGAAGCCACAGCCCTTTCCGGGAGGGATCTTGACATAGGTGATCTCACCGAATCCCTGGAAGAAAGACCGAAGCTCATCCTCGGTGACATAGCCGGAAAGTCCACCAACGAAGACAGTTGTGTTGTTGGGGTCAGTGAACTGGTTCATGGGCTGAGGAGCACCATAGAAGCCCATGGGAGGAGCACCCATGGGAGGGTACATTCCCGCGGGACCGGGCATGCCCATACCGCCAGGAACGACACCAGGACCCTTGTTCTTGGGAGTAGCGGTGGAGATGCGCATAGGACGGTTGCCGCAGTAGACTCCCTGCATCTCACTCAGAGCACGCTGCTGGTCATTCTCATCAGAGAAACGAACGAAGCCGTAGCCACGAGACATGCCGCTAATCGGGTCGGTCATAATCTTGGCAGACTTGCAAGACGGGAAGCGGCTCTGGAAGAGGGACACGAGCACATACTCGTTGACCTCAGGGCCCAAATCACCAACAAAGATGGAGTACTCGGGGCCACGGTCATCACGGCTGGAAACAACGGTTGTCAGTTAATGTTGGGTCGTTTGGAATTCCTTTGAGCTTCTTACCTGCGGTCAGCGAGGCCACCACCAGTGGCCCAGTTCAGCTTGAAGAGGCGGTTGGTGTTAGGCATAGGAGTGCCGTTCAACGACAGAGCCTTAGCGGCGGCAGCGGGAGAAGAGAAGTCGACGAAGCAGTAGCCGGCATTGCTCCTACTACCAACATTAGGATCATCTACAAAACATTTTCTGAGATTACTGTGTACTCACCCAGAGAACTTGTCGCGGATCATCTTAACATTGACCTGCTCGCCCATCTGGAACCAGAGGTTGCGGACGAAGTTCTCGTCGATCCAGGGCTCAAGCTCACCCATCCTGAAGGGCACTGTCAGATATATTGTTCCACGCCAAGAGAGCAAAAGGGGTTGCGCTTGACAGATATCACATACCAGAGAGTGGTCTTGCCCTCCTGAGCGGGCTGAACGGGAGCGGCCGTTGGCTCGCCAGGAGCAGGGCCCTGGAATTGGGCGGCGGTAGGGTCGGCCTGGCCGGCCATGGTGTCCGCGGTAGCAGGTGCGCCGGGGGCAGCAGCGGCAGCATCGGCCGCTGGGTGCTGGTTTTGGAACGATTCGAAGTTCTGGAAAGACATATTGACGTGAATCCGAGTTCGTAACTATAACGGTATCTGTAAAAATAACCCAAGTTAATTAGACTTCTTGGACTGAGACCAAGCAGTCCACCGTTTGCAACACCTCTATCTTGAATTGTGCCCCTTGGCGGACAGGAAGATTCTTGCGCGTACCTCAAATTTCAGGCAAAGTAGCAGAAACCTAAACAACAAAAAAAAAACTTTTCTATCCCGAAAACGGTCCGTGCGAGTGGGATTTCGTTGGAATCGTCAAGGAAAGAAGCGTATGATCGTTCAAGTGGAAACGACAAAAGAGTAATTCCACTTCCTAAGTCAAGTTCAAAAGCTGATTAGCGGCCCTGAAAGGAGCGTGATTTAACCTTGAGATAAAATAGTCACGGGAGGCTATGATAACGGAACAGGGAGAAAAGGCACGAGTGAGAAGTTTTAGAGGCGCAACCCAAGTGAATGGATCTAGGAAGCAGTTCCAGTGAAATATCTTCAAGTGCGACAGTGAAAAGGATAATATCAAAAGTGATTAGAACCCAAGGTGTGCGCTTGGTGTAGTGACCCGGGAGGGATTGGTTCATGGAAGTTGAAATAAGCGATGCAATTGTTTCAGCCTTGCTTGCCAAGACTATCTTTCGACGGACAAGGGAGCTTTCCAAGATGTGACGGAAGACCCGGAAGTCGTGTAGTCTAACGACAGGATAAATGGAAGTCGGAGAACTTTAGATCCAAGTCGAAGTAAGAGAGTAGTCGTGGTCCACATATTCACTAGGTCGAAACCGCATTCGTCGATGTGATTCCAGATCCGTCGGCACCGATTGCGACCGTCCCAACCAGTTCCATCATTGAGACTGTTCTTTCAGCCGGAAAACAAACCGTGCAACAACGAGGCTGTATGCTCGATATTCAAGCTTGGATATACGAGATTGAGCTCGTTGGGTGTTGCACTTTAGCGACCGTCCAGACCCCATCAGGTGCTAGGCAAGGCAGAAGAGAACAATCGGTTGGCGCATGGTCGCTGATGGTACCAAAATAATCGGTTCATCGGGCAGAGCGTGATGGCAGTATATTCGAAGAGCAATGGCTTGGGCGATTATTCTTCGTCTCTTTGGTAAGTAGATACCACTCCCAGGGAAGGCGTTCCATGATCCCTGAAGCGCACCAACTAGCAAGACAATGACGCAAATCTCTTCCACATCGCACCAAGAACCAATCCCTCGGGGTGAAGCAGGAGGGGGGAAAAAAGGAAAAAGAAAAAAGAGAGAAAACGAAAACTCAAAGGCTAGAAGGACAAGAAGATATAATACTTACTAGATGATATAAAACAAAGGCGACCTTGGAAAATAGCCTTCACAAGAGGGAATATAAAATGCGTTGCTCCGGAATGGCGCAAGAGAAATATGCGTTAAAGACGTAAAACGAACCCAGGAACTGGAGGAATCGAGACAACTCCCGCGAGGTGGAGAAGAAAAAAGTAAGAAACTAAGAGATAGAAAAGGCACAAGAAGTTGTTAACAGAACTATCCGCAAACCGACTCCGTCTTTTCCGACAAGAACAAGGAACGGGGGAAGGAAGGTGAAGAGGAATATCAAAAGGAAAAGAAGAAGAGGGGTAGACGAAGCAGCAAATATTCTTCAGAAATGGAGGGGAAGGGAGGAGAAGAAGGGAGGGAAGGGAAAGGAAGAGAGGGAAAGGGAAGAAATGGAAGAATAATGGAAAATGGAGATGCTAGTACTAGGGCAGGACCAAAAGACGGCAGAATTACCTAGACGAACGAACAGAAATCAGAGGTAGCCATAAAAAATTTTTTAAAAAAGAAAACCAAATAATGTCAAACGACCACACAAGAGCCCTGAGCGAGTCACTAAACTGTGAGGAGAGAAGAAAATGAGGGGCGCAGTGCTACCAGGGTGGGTCGAAGGTTTGCCGACTGTTCAAGGGAAAAAAAAAAAAGAAAAGAAAAAAGAAAAAAATTTATTATAGTTTTTTAGTTTTTTTTTCTTTTGGGATGGAGGGCTTTTTAATTTTATCTTGATTTTTATTTCAGGTTGAATGACCGCTCGACAGAAGGAATTGAACCGGGACTGGTCCTTTGTAGATCTGGATTAGAATATTTTTCTTGGTGGCATTTGTCGCCTTTTGTCCGCAGCTGTTTAATATCAAGTAAGGATGGATACTTTCGGAACTCTTCCAGTGCTGGTGGAAATCTTGTCTAACTTGCAGTATATTTTGATTAGTATCGTCATAAGTTCTAGGTCTATCAGGATGAGCTCTTACCAAGGACTAAATTCATAATCAATGAATGAATGTATGGAGAAGGGAGACCTAGATCCATGATGAAATGGTCCACCCGATACAGGTACCATACCCTATGATTCATTACATCGGAACCACTCTAAACCCAAATGACTGCTGCATACTGCGCCTTAACTAGTACGGTAGTCCGTAGCTCACCCGACACGATCTCTTTATTTCCTCCGCATGCATCTGAACAATACGGGAAATCCTCAAGAGCCCTCTCTCATTTACGATGCTTTCAGACAAGGATCGGTAGCAGATCTCGGGGAAGTATCAAGAAACCTAAAGCTACCTGGCTTCCCCACCTCATTGGGTCCCTACTAGGTAGTAATAGCCCGGACGTATGTCTGGATATTAGGGCATACATTAGGGTACAGATATACATTATTTTGCCATTTTGTATGGACCAGTAGTAGAGAAGGAGTTCTTGCTGTACCTAGGTACATACACTGTCCATGATAACATCATACTTAGGCTGACCCACGGTAACTGCAACCCATGTCCATGAAACCTGTCATAGTAACTAGTTATACAAAGAGCTTTAATAATACAACAGTGCAAGCAAGACTCCCATCTCAATGACCCATGCGGTTTCCCATGATCTCTCTCCCCCTTTCTTTCTTCCCCTTTCTTTCTTCTCTGATGTAGGGAGGAGCAAGAAAACAACCCAAACCGTGCGGTATGCAACGATCCTCAATGAAGCAAGGAAGCAATAATACCCAAACAGGCAGACGCTAAGCGGGCAGAATTCGTTCAATTAATCAAATGAAATTATAAACCTGGCTTCGCTGCATGAAATCTGCAAGGACCTGAATGATGCACATGCAGAGAGACTCCAAATTGCTGGTGGTCGTGAGCTCTTTCTTTTTCCTTTTTTTTTTTTTTTTTTTTTTCTCCATTCCGTCCTTGGCCTGTGACTCGTCGAGTTCTATTCGCGTCCATGGGCCTTCGTCATAGCCGTGTCCCCGCTGGGGTTGTTGACCTTGCATTCATTCGCAGATCGGTTTCCGTTCGCAGCCACACCGGTTGTCCGGGTCATCCTCTGAGAGGCTTGAAAGAAGCTCAGAAGACAGCTACGTACTCGAGTCTGCTTTACACAATCGTGCCAATCCCGGAAATTAGTTGTAAAGGACGAAAATCAAAAGTCAAAAATATCGATAATAAAGTTAACAAAAAAAATTTAAGGAAAGAAGGGGAAAAATACATCGACCCCACCAATGCTTCCGAAACCATGGGATCGTGGAGCTCTGGACAATAACGGCCGAAAAGCAGTACTACTAGTAACTTCTAAGAGCCAACCCAAGATTATGCTATAATGCAACGTGTTATAGCCATTTTGGCCTGCACGCTAAAAGCTAGGGCAACTTTGCCTTGAAAACTGTTTCTATTGTTAATTATAGCGGAGATGGTCCAAGCTGTCCATGACTCCATAGTCATAATTTACAGACTAGGCACCAAAGGGTTGATTCGAAAAAGGCCTGAAGATCACAAAACAACAATTTCCCCTAGTATTTACTATACAATACAAAAAAGGCCATCCGGGTAGACCTCTCTCTATATCTTTTTTTACCCCCCTCTTTTTCTCCTTTGCCTGGTATGAGAAATCACCCATCCAAAACCAAGACTAAAAAAGCCCACCGACAATCAGAACCATGGAATCTATGGCATTGCCAATCCCATTGGCTGGAGCATTTGAACCGGCGTGGTTCGTAATTTTTAACATGAGCCAACAACTATCAGGGAATCTAAGCCTAGAGGCCCTAGACAAGTCCAGTTGGGTAAGGTACCTTACTCCATTCGTATCTACAATGGAAATAATGCATCTCATTGATCTAATCCAATTCGATGGGGGGCGGGATTCTCCACGAGTTGGCAGAGATTTTCTCTCAGCCTCGTGAGGTGGAGATTTTTTTTTTTTTCCTTCTTTGGATTTTGATTTCATTTCACTTTTCTAAATTAGGATTTAGCTTGTTCAAACGGTTGAGACTGGCCATGACGGCAACAGGTAGGGCACCTAAAGCTAAATCCACTTCCTGACTGGACAGTACTATTACCTGCCCTGATCCCCAAGGTATGTACGCGTACGCGACGCGATTAACTAGCCTATCAAGTTTGATACATGTGCCTTGCTTGAGTAATTTCAGAGGGAAGAAAAGATAACAAGAAGAACAAAAAGTAAGCCCTTTATGTCCAGCGGTGGTGTCAGTGTAAATACCTTACACTACAGCTTCTACTTCCTACATACACCTAGGTATGTATGTATGTATCTATGTATCTATGTATGTACTAACTAATGTACATACGTATCGATGCATGCCGTCATTGTTGGTTTCGGCACGGGAGTATCAGAACTGTCTCAAGATAACACAAAACCCAAAACAAAAAAGAAACTGCTCTGGCATGAGTAAGGGATAGAGATTAGGTACCTTGGATCCCTCGAGGTGTATCGTAAGATGAATGAACTCATATAAGAGGTAACATTCCCTTGCATTCAGAACATCCGACTGAACCTTCGTCATGGTATGTGGAGAGACAAGATGTAGGTACAGAATTACATATACGATGATCCGTCCCTACCGAATGGATATTGGTTGGTTGTCAGTCCCTTGCAGGAGACCATTCACCCCCATGCATTACTAGTAGGAGGTAACCCTCCATCTTGTTCTTAGTGTGTCTGATTTAAAGTTCAGATACAGTAGAAAAACTAAACAGATTGATGATGGTGATGATAATGAATACTCGCATATACATTAGCCCCGAGTATATTATGCCAAGATACAGTCCACTTTGAAAATACTTCCTCCGCATAGACAAGCCTTATTGTGAATCGATAGCTGGCTTCTTTTCCATAGGGCAATAACATATCATGTTCATGGATGTCAACGTGAACCATCTCGCATTTATAAAGATTGGGAAATTTTTGGAACCATGGATCGGGTGATGCCCAACATACCCAACAACCGAAGTTGCCTGACACCCATGAAACACAGTGAGGGCCAGTGTCCGCTTCGGGGTTCCATAAAACCTCCTTCCTAACCTGCAGGGTAGCCAAGGGAAGGCTTGATTTGAGAGGGAAATCAAAATTAAACGAAGGGTTCAGCCGAACGCATTAAACTCATTTATGCAACCGCAACATCAAGATATACTACCTATCAAGACAGCCATGTGCTACACACGACCAGGGTTGCCCAATCCATGATCCACCAACTAACAGTAAGCACTAGCCCTGCTAGTGGCTTAGCTTGGGCAACTGCGGATTTTGGAAATGCGCTAAACAATTTGGTTTGGTTCATGGTCTAGAATAAACTCCGATCATGGTACGCGCCGCCAGAAGTCAAGAGTATAATACCTTAGGCTCAATGTGCAACAAAGACGATCGGGTGAAATATAAGAACATTATAAAAGCCAGGCTATATGCCGAGTTCAGTCTGACCTGCCTACGTGACCAAAGAATGAGAAACTATATCTGCAATCCACTGAACCTGGCCCACTCAAGGCAAAGGAAACATTGCTGTAGTAATGTAATGTCAGTACCCATTGGTATCTACCTAGGCGTCTTGCCAACTTACAGTCAAGTCCTTCTGGCTGGCACGACCAAAATGATTATAGTAGTGACCCCTGTACAGGTGCTGGCACAGGAACGTGTGATAATTCATGTTGAAGATATGCAAGGCAAGCTTTGTAGTATCCTCAACTATCCGAGAAAGAGCCCAAGATCATTCGAAAAAGGCACTAAAGTAGCCTGTCATTACCTAGGAAACAATTGCATCGTGGAGGATAAGGATACAGCCCTCAACAATGTGGACGCGAACCCGTTACAGAATTTTCTATTATCGGGGTGAAAGGCAACCCCTAGACCAGTGAGAATGATGCTTGTGGCCCTTATTTAGATACCTAAATACTTATTTACGCTCAGGAGTAGGCCTTCAATGCATTCAGCGAGGGAACTCCAGGCCCTTGGTGTACACTTTTGTAGTGCCATAGAGAATAACAATAGAAAGCCCGCCTTGGTGTTCAGGATAAGTTAGGAACTACCCGAATTAGTGGGAGAAAAGTAACTAACCAGACTACTGGCCCCAGCTAAGGCTTTCCCACTCACAAGCGGAAACTACTGTGCAAGTTCATATTTGATGTCTTGATAGTGCGGTAGGATATAGACGGATAACAAAAAGAAATGGAAGCATTCTACCTTCAGATATAACGCATAGATTTTCGGCTGCAGTAGAAAGGAAGGAAGGAAGCTCTGGCGGATCACCTAGTGCTTTCAATCTTTACATGTCATCCAACGAGGAGGCCGCATCTGCCATAATATGGAATCGTCAATCACGGGGTCAAAGCCGAATGTTGTTTTGGGTGGCCTGATTATGAGAGATAAGGTCGTACTGGTTTAGATGCATTGCTGGGCAACAAGGCATTCCATACACGTTTTTATTGTTAGAATCATAATGCCTCATTTACTCGGCTCAGCCTGGCAGGTATCTCCTGGGGCCAAATTCGTGTCACAGAATTCTCCCGCCTTCCCCAATTCATCTCCGAGTAATTGAATCGTCTTCTCGTAAACTCTTGCGGTCTCCATCTCCCACCTCCCGGGAGCTGGATAGTCATCCGTACCGAAGACATCATCCATATCATCGTCGTCATCACTGAAGCCATCTTCATCTTCATCGTCAGGCCCATCAACTTGCTCTTTAGCCTCCACGACAGCTACCCGGCAAGTTTCGGCAATACTTTTGATTCTGACTTTCTCCGTCATAGACACGACATTTCGTCTTGATTCGAAGCCTGGAAGGGGAGCTCCAGAGTCGACATCCTCCCCTATTAAGAGAGATGCAAATACAGAATCCATCTTCTTAAGTAGACGAAAAGTCGCCTTCGGAGAAAATGGGTATTCAGGGAGGTATGTGTTAATATACACAGCCAAAGAGATCAAATATGGTATTTGAAGAGATGCTGCGTGAGATCAGTTAGGTTTATAGCTAAACGCGCAGAGAATGAAGCAGGGCAGATACACATACGGGTCCCAGTAACCCAAAGAATATCCACTAAGCCCTCAATATCTTTGGCTACTTCTTTGAAGCTCTCATAACCCCTTTCAGACTCCTGCTGGGCCTGGTCATCAAATACGCTGCTGAACTTCTTGGCATGTCGGCGATTAATGGTCAAGATAGTCTTGTCAACATGATTGATGACAGTGGTTTCTTTTGTGGAACCTGCCTTGAGGGGATGCAGTCTTGGTCTGGGGAGAATGGACGGAGTAGCAGTGGATGTCGAAGGAGCTGGGGAGGAAAGAGACGACTGTATGAATCCCCCTGGCTCAGGATGCGATGTAGTAAAAGACATGGACGAAAATTATATATAAAAGGTATACAATGGCAGTGGTTTTCGCCGAAACTGGTATAAGAAAACGGACCCAGCCCACAACACTTTTGCAGAGTGGCAAGGGATTCAACAGTGGAATACACACAATTCCAGACAACACTACTATACAGCCCTATGCAGATATGCAAACAGAAAGAATAGGAAATACAGCGTACCTTACTTCAAGTACCTGGTCATGTATGAAGTAAGATTGGACATTGCAACGACATCGATGATGAGCAACCGAAGATGTCATGCCAAGCCCTGAAGATAGGATAAACACGGTGGTCTGTGCGCACTACAGAACAGATTATGCGCACCTCGCGAGTATCTACTAATACATGGCCAGAGAAGATATAGTTGTAATCTAATCTATTATATATATATATGGGAATAAAAGCACAGGGCGTAGCTAGTGCCCGCCTTAGTATTGAGAATCCATAAGTAGGTATACATATCATCAACCGATACATGCGCCTATTTGATCTCACAGCTCCGCGACCATAAGATCCAGGAAGTAAAAGTACCTAGTCGGAGTCTCGGTTGTCAGCAGGTGTCCTAGATCTGCGGCAGTACTCTACAGACAGGGATGGTTGCCTATTGCTTCAGAGAGGTGAGAAGATATTGATTACGCTGGTTTTTGAAGGCATGGCAGGACATCGACCAAGGTCGAGTCTTGCTTTCCTCTGGCCCCAGCGGACTCATCTTTGGTATGGAATATAATGAAATACAGTGCAAAAGATGAAAGAAATTCGCACTTTACTCACAGCCACTTCGCACGTACATCTCCAATCCATAAGGAAGTCAAAACTTTTAGTCCATCCCAAACGCCATGCTAAGAATCGATGCCGACACCCATTGAACGCATTATTCAGGCTAATAAGTCATCAGCAATGAGGAAAGGACAATCGTAGAAACAGAATTGAACTCACCCTAATCTTCCCCTTCCGTTTCTTGATCTCCTCCAACTTCTTTTTATCCTCATCGAACTTCTTCAACAATTCATTCTGCCTCTCCTTCCTCTTCTCTCTAGACTGGAACCGGTAAAAGTCCTCTAAACCCTGCGACTTCTTCTTCTGCTTCTCTATCAATTCCCTAGCCTCGTCTTCGTGTGCAACAGACGTAAGCTTCGGCCCACTCGTAACCGTGATAAACCCATCCTCGTCAGGCTCCTGTGCCCTGAGTGCCTGCTCCTTCCTCCTAGCCTCCGCAACAGTTTCAAACACCGTCATGAAGTCGTTCACCGTACGCAGCAACTCCGCGCGGGGAGGATACCGAGCCTTTTCATGGTCGAGATAACGCTGCAAGCCCAGCTGAGGAAGACGGTCCTCGATGCCTTCGCCCCAGACAATTTCTCCATCCTTCTTTTTGCCTGCTTTCTTGGCCGCTTTCACACTGGCCTCCATACTGGGCTTATCGACAAAGACGACAACGGCATGCGCACCGCTCTTTTGGAGCTCACCATCCCATGTAGACGGTAATGAGACGTCATCCAGCTGATTCTGTAACTCATCGGCTGTCACTCTCTTTCTCTTTTTGCTCTTCGAGACATTAGCGACCATGCTATGCGCCGTGGTCATTCCTCCCTTTTTCTTTGTTGGTACGGCTTCGAAGTGGACTCGCTCTACACGGCCGGCGGCTAGCTGGGTCCCGAATAAGTGGCGCAGATGTAGCTCTGTCGTGTCGATAGGGACATTGACTATGAATAGCGAGCGGGGTGTATCAGCGTCGGGAATGCGTGGTTCATGAGGTCGGAGGTAGAGATAATGTGTTGCGGGCTTTGCACGCTTTGGCTCAGCGGGGGGCAAACGAAGCGGCAAGACGGTGTAGCCAGCTATTTCTAAATCCTTTCCCATTTTTTTACGATATGCGTTTAATGAAAAAGGGGGATTAAAAAGAGAAGAAAAGTCAGGTTGATGGTTTTGTTGCGCGGAAGAAATTCTAGCGGGAAATTTTATTTTAGCCTGGAAGGCGGAGAAGATTTAATTCGTAAATTTATCTGATAAATATAACGAATCCCATTCTAGACTACCTGCGAACCACATGCACATCGAACTAGACATCTGAAATACACCCAATATGCTCATCAAAGCAAATGGTACCAACCTCAGAAGAAAACCGATTACTAGCTTTTCTCAATGCTAAAGCCCTTTATACTGCTCATCTTGATCCGTGCATCACGATAGAGTTGTTGCATTCTACACCTTATCGGGATCATTGATACCGCCATTAGTGATCACGTAGGTCGCTTCTTGTTCCGGGCAATCTGGATCTATCAGCTAGGGTGGTCATTTTAGTTTCAGGGAGGCTATACCTGGTGAGTCCTGAATTTTTGCAACACGTTCGTCGCCGCGGCCTTTGCGAAGGAGAACTCGAGTTGTGGATGCATGCGCTAAAACATGGCCACCCACAGGCTTGCGTCCATCTGCACCCGCAAAGAGGGCACTAGCACCAGGATCACTCTGGACTTGATTTGTCTTTTTTTGCATGAGATTGACATCCTCCGCAATGATGGAAGCGACTCACCATTAGGACGCAAACATTGAATTCTAGAGAGATATCCGATCAGTCCACAAATCAAAGAGCCAGAATAGGAGCACAAACCTTCAGCCATATGAGCGAGCTTCATCAGAAACTGATTAAGCTTTTGCTGACGGTCCGCGAGTTCTCCGCGCCCACAGTAATCCACCCGGAAGCAATTCATAATGCTGTCAATAATCAGGAGACGGTATTCTCCACCAGTGAACTCTTTGCTCAGGATATTCAACAACTCCAGCTGATGCTCACTATTAAGAGCCCGCGCATAGACAATATTCTCTCGAGCGGAGTCAGCGTCAACGCCGAATCGTTCGGCAATCTGGGCGATACGCTCCGGTCTAAACGTGCCTTCCGTATCAATATAAGCAACTTTACCGTCTGCACCGCCCATTTCCTTTGGAAGCTGTGCGACAACGGACATAGTATGTGATAGCTGTGTCTTTCCACACCGGAATTCCCCAAATACTTCGCTAATACTCATGCTTTGGAAACCCCTAAGGCCGTCAGTGGTTCTTTACATGGCCATAATGCCTACAACTTACCCTCCCAAGATAGCATCAAATTGCTTGCTCCCTGTTGAGATACGAACGACTCTCTTCCGCTGATGGCTCAACTCCATTGCCGTGATAAATCCAGACGCAGATGGCTAGTCGAATCAGTCATCGTGGTATAATTTCAAGCCATGTCTTTGCATACCAAACACTTGTTGATAGCATCCTTGATCTTTTCAACTTTGACCTCGCTGAAGCCCCTAATCTTCAGAAGGGTCTTTCGGGTAGCCCCATGAACGGACTAAGCAGGATAAGCATAAAAATACCTAAGAACCTAAATCGCTTTCATCTACAAAGGCCGTGGGACATACAGCAACTGTATGGAAGCCATTGGTCTTCAATTTTGTGATATCGGCGGCACCGATCCCTGTTCATGGTGAGATTGTACTTTACACGGATGATCGGGATGTATACCATGAGCTTGGATGCTGTCAACGTCCACGATGAAGACCTATAAGTGCCAAAGCTCAGGCTAGATTAGGAATCGCGAGCTAGAGATAAAGAAAGAGCGTGGAATCTGAAAGAGAAGTTAAGGGGAGAAACTCAACATCATCATTAAACTCATCACTTGAATCAGAGCCGGGCATGATGCTTGTGTAAAAGCGAGCCCAGTATAGTTCGTAGTCGAGATAAGGGGATACGTTTCTTAATAGAGTACTGGTGCAAGAGGGATGGGCTGTGACTTGAATTGAACGAGAGCCAGCCAGGGTCACGAGCCGTTCCATAACAGGAATCGTCCAGAACCTCCAACAGAGTGGGTCATGGGTTGGGCAACCTTATGGGGATGACAGTCCGGAGGTAGTCCGTAGTATAATGTTTCAGAAGATATTGGCTAGGCCAAGGCCAAGCGGAATGAGGTGGTTTTTGTGCAATTGAGGCCAGTCAAGGATCTATAGAGATAGGAATACAGAACCTGGACCTGAGCGATATGAGATGCAACAAGAGAGATCCCTTCTCAGAAATTGGACTGTGCGAAACTATACGAAGAGAAATAGCGGTGGAACTTAAGAAATGGAATTTGCTTTTCTGCTTTTTTTTTCTGCTTTAGCTTCCCCTTCACCAGATATAGAGTATAGTACGGAAAGATGAGGTAACCACCGCACCAGGTACCGTTCTTTGATCACTAATGACCTCCAATACCACAATACCATCTGTACCATCTTGAAGCCTTTTCCAATGCATATCAACGCGTCTGCTTTGGTCCACCTATGTCTCTCCTGCGCTCAATTAACCCTTCGCCTCGCCTCGTCTCCTTCTTTTCTTGCCGCACCTATAATTCAAAATGTGAAAGATACCCGAGGGAATAATAGACGCCAATCGTAAGAACCTGAGCCATGTATAGGACCCAAGCCGTAAGGTAGCCTAAGACTTCGTGAAACTTTTGTTCGTCGTATACATAAGAGGAATAGAAAAGGGCCGGTGCCGAGAACTGAAACACGGGGGCGTAATATATGCAAGGGAAGAAACATGGGAGTAGAAAGAAAATCAAAACCGTAGTCGGCAAGCCCTAATACAAAAACGAAAAAAGGAAATAGGCTCCCAAAAATGGGATCGATCAATCCCGAACCACAACGGCTGTTTATGCGACAGCAGTGGTAGGAGCAGCAGGCGCACCAGGGGCTGCCTCTGTGGTAGTCTCCGGAGCGGTGGCGCCAGTAGCAGGGGCAGCTGGAGCAGCAGCGGGGGTAGACTCAGCAGGCTGCTGGTTAGCGGCCTCGTTGTTAGGGCAGTCCCGGGAGATGTGGCCAGCCTGGGCACACTTGTAACAGACCTTGCCAGCAGAGCTCAAGGGACCACCGTTGGGGGCAGTGCAGTCACGGGAGATGTGGCCCTAGAGAATGTTAAAATCCATCATTTGACCAACACAATAGGCTGCAGACTATACTCACAAGCTTGCCGCAAGCGTAGCACTTCATAGCCTGAGCCTGGCAGTCACGGGCAAAGTGGTTAGGGCCACCGCACTTGTAGCAAGTGGCAGCGCGAGGGTAACCACCGTATCCGCCGCGGAAGCCACCATTGAATCCACCACGAGGAGCACCGACACCGCGGCCAGCGCCGGAAGCGGGGGCCGGACAGTTGCGCTGGAACCAAATCATGTTAACCTCTATTCTGAAAATACCTCGAGCATGATAAACATACAGCAAGGTGGCCGGGCTGGCTGCAATTGTAGCAACGGCCGTTAGCGCCATTAAGACGTAGAGTGGGACAGTCGGCCTGAACGTGGCCTAGACCCTGGCAGTTGTAGCATTGCTTGGCTAGAAAATACATGTCAACCTCTCTATTATTTCCTTCATGTCAACTGGGAAACCTTACTCTCGGTAGTACGGGGACGAGGGCAGCTGCTGGACTCATGGCCTATCGATGTATTAGATTTCGGGCCTAGGAAGGTAGCGCGCATGGTATCTTACCAGGCTGCTTGCCTTATCGAGAATGACATATTAGTAAACTATCCTCAGCAGCTGCAGGAAAGTAGACACTCACAGTTGTAGCAGAGACGCTCAGACGAAGAGCACACCTCTATCAGCCCGTTAGCGAAATCCGGTGGATTGATAGTCCTCTACTAAGGCGACCAACCAGCATAGTGGCCAATATTGCCACACTTGTAGCACGCACGGCGAGAAAGCAACATCTTGTCGGTATACTAGCTAGCCAGAAATATTATTGTCAGTCGCTATGCCACACTATCATTCATCTTGTAACTCGTTTCGTAGAGATTGTCTTCTTGCATGGTCTGTGGAACGAGCGCCGCCGAATTCCATGGCCGATAAGCCAGCGATGTAAAAAACCTAGGTGCTTGCTCTCGCGGTCTTTCAACCATTTTGGACTACCCGAAGCCCCGATAAGTATAGGAAGGAGGGAAAAAAATGTGCGCATGCGAAGCACATCGAGAAAGGTTTGAGAAATCGAGCGGCGCTTGTGCGTCCTTTCATTACAACAGAGAAGCCAAAAGTCACGAGAAGTTTCCGAGAACGTTGGAGAGACTCACTCTTCCTAAAACCAACAACAAACTTCAAATCTCCTTATCAAATGTGCTGAATGACCGTCAACTTGAGAACCTTGGAGGAGGAGCAGCACTTCCAACAGCCCACTCTCGACACTGGAAAAAGGTGGGCTGACAAAGAAAAAGCGACTAAAAAAAAAAAAAAAAAAAAAGTACACCACACAGAACTTACAACACAGCAGCTCTCCAAACGGAACCCTCACAGCACTCCAACAATCCCTCCGAACCACAGGGAAGAACAGGAAATATCTGAAAATTCTCGTAACCCACAGAAGAGTAAAAATTTCAGTCAAGCGATGAAGCCGAGACAGGAAAAGCCAGACGACGTTTTAGTTCCGTACACTAAGGGTTACTCCGGAGTACTTTCGATTACAGAACGCTAGAAAAAACGAGGAAAGCAAGAGAAAAAACTTAACTCCCGGGCTTTCCCGTATTGCGTATGGTTGTTACAGTATTACCGTCGACATCCCCGGATTCCGTATCGTTTTGTATGGGCCTGAGGCACACGTTCCTGAGGGATTGACATTCTCTAGTGCTCCCTTGCATCTCCAATACCACCCGATTGTGAAACCTGATGTGTGAACCCTTCAGACGGTGCCAGTCTAGTTTTCCGAATTAGGATAAGCGCCTGATACTGTGGTCCTTTGTCCCTCTTATGATTTTTAGATCAGAGCTCTCCCACCCTCATGTTCTGGCATATACCACTGGAACACACCTTGGAGTACTACTCTTCCTCGACAAGGCTTAGCCATCCAGCAAAGAATGTACATTTTCAGACACATTTTGCAACAACTGAATATATCAGACACTCAAACACACAATTGCGCTTGTCTAGACTACCTTAGTACTCGATTGGATAAATCAGTATCTTCTGACATGTGGAGTAGACTTCCGAATGCATGAGCATAGATAGCGTTGCTTGACTCGAGCTTTTGTCGCACCATCTGATATAGGAGTTGCAATCCGTTCCTTGTTCAGCAGACTCGCACTTTTCTTGCACATCCGTCGTGTCCCAAGGCTACATAGGGTAGGAGGTGCTATATATATAGCACTTGAGGTAGATCCCGCACGTGGTCGATACTCGCAGTAACATTTATCCTGGTCAACCCTTTGGATCACGGGTGTTCCTCCACGCAGAATACTCCCTATCTGAAGAGTATATGCAGGTTCGAGTGCTGATCCCATGGTAGGAGGCATTGGTCATACGTGTAATCTGCAGGTGTAAATGTTAGCACTCACCAAGTGATTAAATTTAGCCAAGTCTAGTATACGATGTGTCATATTAGACAGTTGCGTGGAGCATATTCAAATCACCAGATACAAACATATATTTATCTAATATCTCATACGTATGGAAACGGAACCCTCGGTTTATTGGTTATAATGTGCTTCTTCCAGAATCTAATTGCTCTCTTGAGCATATTCAGTTTATTTTTCAGACTGCAAAGACTGTGTCTACCAGCTATGTTGTTTCCACCCCTACTGCAGGTAGTAATGATTCCATTTCAGATGTGGAAACTAGTTCATCTAACTAGATGACCGTTCCCAAGGGTGGACCATTATCGGTATGATTTCATTGCTTGATTGTGTGGCCTTGGATTTGACAAATCGAAGTGTCTATCGTGCTTGAGCTAGTGGGACTGTTCTGGGTATTGTTGCTACGGGGATTGCTTCTGCGTTCCCTATATTAACTGGCGTCAATTTACGGCCACGGGGATAATGCGATTGCAAGTGACCAGATTGAAAGAGTGTCATCAGCTAGGCGCGGTGAATCGATGATCAGGAGGAGCAGGGTTTTGGCTCTTTAGATGAAGGAAACGGTGGGGAAAGGTTGGCCATTTCTCACCTAATAAGATGGATACGTTAAGTTGGGAATGATGGAGAGTGTCTTTGTACGTTTACTACGCTTTTGATCTGATCACTCGACATCTCTTGAATAAGATTCATTCTATGGCTCAGGTGCTGCTAAGCGACCATTTCATTCATATATTAATGTGTCCTGAAATGCATATAGTAACAGAATCAAACAGTAGTCATGAAAACATTTACTCTTCCTTCTCAATCACCGCTGGAGCCTTAATCTCACGGCCCCTGAGGAACTCAAGCCCCTCACCATCCTGTTCGATTAAGGTTAGTATAGATCCTCAGATGAACATATGGCTTGTTCGTTCTCGAACGACAATAAGGACGGCGAACTTACATAGCTGATCAGCGGGGAGACCTCAACCCCAACGGCCGCGCCTTCGGTGACAACAACTCCGCCGGCCTTCTCAATCCAGCGTTGTCCCTGGTTCATGATGTCGCGCTTGCTAGTGTCAGGGTCATCCTCACCAGTGCCCCTGGCATTCTTCAGCGGCGAGAACTCATCCTCGCGGCGTACCTCGATGGATGCAAACTTCTCCAGAGGGGTCAACGGGAAGACATCGAAGACAAACTGCTCCAACTTTATACCGTTGGGCTTTTCAGGTTTGAAACCCTCGCCGGTCTCAATGTTCACGCAAGGAATCTTCTTGCGAGCAACGTGGTGAGGCAGCTTGTGGGACCAAGTCTCAATAGACTCAAAGAAGCGGAAGGAATAGTAGTGGTTGACGATGTTGGCAGCGCGGAACTTCAGCACGTCAGGCTGCTTGGGGTCCTTAGCCTCAGCCGTCTCCTTGTCGATTTCGGAGTATTCAACCACATCAGGCTTGCCATTCTTCTGAAGGATCAAACCAACCGACTCGGTAGCATTGCGCTTGCGGACCACCTTGGTAGCGATATCGACCTTCTTAGAAGCGGCGAAACCAATGAAGACGGGGTCGGCAACCTTGACTAGGCAGTTGTCGACGCAGTAAGTGTGAATGTGTTCGATACCACGCTTCCGCATGTCTTCGCGCACACCAGAGGTAATGAGGGCTTGGTAGATTCCACCATTTCCGTCAGGGGCAACAGCAGCCTAGGCATAGTTGTCAGAACACTGGGTTGGTTTCTATTAAAGGGAGTATCGTACCTTAGACTTGGTCTCCAACAAAATCTTACCCTCATTAGAAATGCAGGGCAGGACGCCCTGCTCGAAGATGACGATGTTCTTCTTGTCTAGTCCAAAATACTTGTGCTGCTCGAAGAACTCCTCCGTGGGTTTGCGGGTAGGACCACTGGTCATGACATACCAGGGGATGATGGCTTCCTTGCCGGAAGTTCCTTGTGCCAGGAGCTGGAGCTTGGCAATACGCTCTGCCTGGATCTGGAAGAGGGACTTCTGACTGGGTAGACCAATATCGAAGCAGCCCTTGGGTGCAGAGCTTCCCAAACGGGTACCCTGCCCACCAGCCATCAGGACCACGGCAACCTTGTTCTCTGACACCGCCTGGAGACCTTCATCGTACCACCGCTGAATGTCCTTCGGGTCAGAGTCCATGATAGAGGCAGTGGCCACTTCAGGGAGGGGTTCGAGAGTAACGGGACCATTCTGAGTTTTGGCGGGGTTAAGGACCTTGTCGGCCAGTTCATTGATCCGGTTGGGGTCGAAGTTGCTCAACTGATGGAAGAGTTGAGCCTTCTCGACCTGGTTTAATTGATCGGCGAATGTGAAAACATGCCCTTGCTTGGCATTGGTATACTTCTGTCGTAGTTGCTGGAACTCTTCAGGGGATGGCTGACGAGGGGTATTTTCGGAATGACCATGGAGCAGGTTGGATACGGTTTCCTTAATAGCTGCCGCCATGGTGTTGAACTTGAATGTAAGTGGACTCGGAGGGAAATATGCAGAGTTTGTTAGAAAGTAAGAGAGATGTGGATGTTGGGGGGGAAGAGAATGCGGGAACGCGAGAATTAGAGTCAGGGAGGGGTTTTGGGAATGAATGGCGGGGTGCAACTGAAGCTCTGGGATGAAGGGTCTTATAAAGCAACAACAGCAACTTAATCTAATACTAAGGAGTGTGTTGTCAAGCCACAGCTGACCGCCGGGAATAGTCTACCTCACTAATGATTTATTTTTATTCCACTATTATTTTTAGTCAGGAGGAAGAGAAAGAGAGGTGCTCCATAGATAGTACTACATACTAGCCTAGTACTCCATCGCAACCACAATTTTCCCATATTTTTGAGGGTAAGTGCCTATAATTAGCGATCAGCAAGTGAGTTTCCAAGTCTCGACGGGAGATCGGACTGGCCAACCATGCTTCAGGGAGCGGTAGAAGGCGGAGCTCTCGTGGGCCACCATCGATGTGAAGCGTGGGGCCACAGGTTTCATCAGGGGGTTTCGGTTGGTCAGTGGGATCGAGGGATTTATTGGGTAAGGCTCAGGAGAAAATGAAGAAATCAATCATCAAAATCGCCCATATTTAGTTAGTTACGTAGGTATGCTTGCTTTATTCTACACATGGAATATATAACAGACACTAGGAATTTGAAAATACACGTCAACGACGCCTACTTTCCCGATAACGTTCATCATCCCGGCGTCGCTCACGGTCGTTGTAGCGACTACGGTCTTTATCGCGATATTCCCCTCGTGCCGGGCTTCGACTGTGAGACCGGTCGCGATCTCGTCTCCGATAGGGATCTCGATGGGAGTCTCGCCGAGGACTTCGGCTAACCCGTCGGTCACGATTGGAACTTCGTTGCGGACTCCGGCTGTATGGCCGCCTGCGAGGAGCCTTGTCGCCCTTGTCAAACATCAGGGTATAATCGTTCTCTTCTTCACGAGCGTTATCAGATGCCCTATATTGGCGCTTCTTCTCAAGACTTGCTACGCCGCCGAATCCGCCCCGCTGAGCACTGCGTTTGGAGATGGTAGCGTTTCTCCAGCTTTCTGATAATTTCGATACCTGTATGACTCATCAGCAACGCTAGGTAGTAAACACAGAATCGTAGACTGACACTTTGAGAGAAATCCACATGAATGCGATGATCATCGATTAGCACGCCCTGCATCTTGAAGTAGGCTTGTTCGCAATCTTTCTGGTTCTCAAATTCAATAAAAGCGTACTGCAAGCTGTCCCCTGTTCGTTTGTCTCGAATGACCTCGCATGATAAAATTGGACCAAACCGGCTGAAGATCAAGTGAAGATCCTCGTCTACTATTCATTAGCGTGTGACTCTCCACAGGTATAATAGGACTTTTCCGAGGACGGCGAACTCATACCTTGAGTGACAGGATTCAATTTGCAGACAAACAAGACATTCTCTGGCGGCTTAACCTCCGCAAATGGGAGATCACCAACCATTTCAAGGGTCAGCGCCTGTGCTCTTGCTTCGCGCTCTCGCCGTAATTTCTCCATAGATTCCTCGTCCATATTATCGTCGAGCTCCTCATCATCGGCTATTCTCACAGTAGCTAGCTGTGCCTTCGACGGCAAAGGGCTCTCAGCTGGAGCCACCAGGCCCGGGGGATCTTCGAATGGGTCATCAAGAATAACCGTATGTCGGATACGGATGTCCTTGAGAGGTCGACCCCTGTCGTCTATGAAGGCTTCGTTTACTTTCTCAAGGACATCGAATCCCTCCACAACCTTCCCAAAGATCACCGCTTTGCCATCCAGGTAATCAAGATTCTCTCCCAATGTGACAATGAACTGGCTCGCAGCGATGCGCTGGTCGGGGTCATGAGGTGAAGGAATTGTGGCCATACTCACTGTTCCTCTTTCATCGTGCTTCAACTTCCGCGGAGGCTCGAGCGAAAACGTCCTCTTCGGAGGACCTTCCAGAAAGCCCCAAATAGACGAACCGCCATCGCTTTCCGAGGAATCAGGTCCGAGGGGATCGCCGGTTTGGAAAGTGAAGTTTTTCTGGACACTGTGGACGGGGGAGAAATTATAGTACTTGACTTTGCATAGCTTCAGGAAGCTATAGCGGAAGAAAATGGATAGCTTAGTTTCGGGTTCAGCTACTCGACATTATACACGCGCAAGATACGCAAAAGTCAGAATATCACGTGAGATATCAAGTAGACTTACTTTTCGCAGGCTTTAGGGCACTCATCGACTAGTAAGTCTATGACAATGTCACCAAGGGAAGTCTCCAGGAGGACGCTCATGGCGATCTGGTGGTCACACGTGAAGTGGGGATGATCGGCCGTGCGTTAGACAAGGATACAAGAAGGCGGAGAAAAATAGAACAAAATTTAGAAAATTGGACAGAGTAGACTAAAGTGAGAAAGGGGCCAGCACAACAATAGAGAATTAAGTTATTGACCGGAGGCTTGACCCTGTGGAGGGAGAGATGATATGGTTGAAGAATTGACGGTAGTATCTTTTAGTCTCAAGGCGGAAAAGTTAAGGTGCGGAGCCGCTGCCGCCAAACAAAAGCCAATTTGATCCGTCGATCCCCAACTGATTGGTAATTTGGTATAGGTAACTAAATGTACATACCGTACACGAGAGCCATGACCAGATCTAGTCGGCTGACCCCTACCCCAGTGCACACTGTTCACTCTACTTCTATTTTGAAGAGCTTACAACACCCTTCGAATCGTTGAACCGGCACCCCTTCGTGTAACTAGAACCCACTTCTCAATCCAACGGCAGGTCTTCCAGTAGACCCGTTGGATGTGAAATTGGGCGCGCAAGGTGGACATCTTACTCAAAGGTTGGCCAAGAATGGTAAACCGCTGTTTATCATGACAAATGATCCGTTTGGTCAGTTCTTCTCTTGTGAGATGCTTCGATACTTGGAGGACAAAGCTCAATTGGGACCCCCGTATGCTCTTCCACGAGTGGAAAACGTTCTTGGCATCAAGCAAAACAGAATATGAGGTAAACATTTTTGGTGCACTTGTAAGGTACTACTGACTGTTCACTTGTTTCTCAAGTTCCACGGCAGAAGCGTTGAATATAACGGTCTGCTGCAGCTTCTACCATTTCACACCGATTAGCAACTCTACGCTGCAAAGAGAAAAGGGAAAACACGTGGTAGATCTTAGTAGAATTTCTGTTCTCTTCTTCCCTGTCTCACCTTTTTCGACCTCGCAATCGTCTCATTTGTTCTTTCATCAATAACAGTGTATTCTTTTTCTTTTTCTTTTCTTTTCTTTTCTTTTCTTTTCTTTTCTTTTCTTTTCTTTTCTTTTCTTTTCTTTTCTTTTTGTACCCCTTGATAAATAATTAGCCCCAGCGCTAACATATCTCAAGCATGTTTCACTGGTTCCTGGCACCTGGTGGCTGGTCCATTTGTCAACATGGGTCCATTTCCGACCAAACATCTTCAGAAGAAAGGAAAGGATGTCTGCAGAATGCTTCGGATCTTTCCTTCTAAATGGCTCATTTAGACTCTTCGTTTCTTCTTCATTACGTCAGCGAACCTTGGTTCGGCGTGATTGTGATCCTCAATTATAGACAAGGAGCTCATTGGGTTCTTTTGTCTGCTGAATGGGTCTGCTACAAACGAAATTAGTCTCACCAGGGAGCCTTGTTAGCGTATGTGCAGACAAATGTGAATCTGCTATGTCAGGTACATTTTTTCAGTTCACATCCTTGAACTTTGTACATAGCAGAGCTTTCCTGTCCAAGATTCCTGCCGTTAGTAATGATTGTTCCCATATACTTTGTCTCACTATAACGGTATTCCTATTTCTCTTTTTATGCTCATTACTTTTCTTCGACTTTCTTTGATTTATTCTGTACTATCTTTTGAGGATGGTATTAAGTGATTGGAGAGTGATAGCCACGCGGCCTATGCACTGATGCAGCTCCAGCCCAGCGACCTGGACACAGGTTTCAAGTCGGTTCATTTATGTCAGGGCTTCATTCCGGCTCAGTCTTGGCTACTAAGCCACATTTGCTTTCGTTGGGACTTGTATGATCAATCGCGCCGAAACATCACCGTCAATCCTGTGGCTAGGATGTGCCAGCCCAGAGCTTTCCAAGACACCGGCGTAATACCCTTGCGCTAGGTCGTTTGCAAGGGCCTCTTTTATATGTTCAGCAGTTCATCACTCATTTGTCGAGGCAAAAGCTGGGCTTCTGAAGACTTTCATAGCCGCCTCTGGCTGCCGACTCTTCTCTAGGTCATAGGTGGCGTGGCGTGTCAAAAGTACCAAGATGTTTGTTTGACGTTGAAGACGGCACGAAGCCCAACCATAGGTCTCTAACACCGCCATTTAATGAAGGCAAACAACCTCCATACTCGTCTCGGCCAACCCACGGGGATGCAAGTTTGGAAAACATTTGCAAACGTAATCGACAGCCGTCTGCTCGTCGCCAAATGTATATGTTGAGGTCAGCTTCAGTCCTCACATTAAGATCCATTCATAGAGAGAAATGGATCCATTTGAAGATGGCCGTGGTTCAGGGAGAAGTCTGTGGAGCGCTGGTCGTGGCTATTGGCTCAGCAGGGCTCAGAAAGGCTTCCGGCTCTCTCAGCCTGACTCGTTATGGCGACTATCAGGTCATGTCCACCCGTGCAACGTTACTTTGTGAAACAAAACCTCTTAAAACGCCGGGAATTCTGTCTGTCATCTGTCTGGCTGACCTTCTACCAGGGTGCTTCTAGGGTCCCGGCCGACTTGACGTCTGACTTGGATAGAGTAGACGGAACTCTGCATGGTGCAACGAGAAGGTCAGGTATCAACTTAGCCACTTGCTCGAGCCAGCAAGTAAGTTAGGAGCCCTTTCTGGATTTTGAGCTCTTCCGCCGAAAATATACATTTCACGGACCAACAGAAGAGAAAAGATATTTTTTTTTTTGAAAAACAAATACTGATAAAAGAGCAATCAGAAAATTAAGCCTGACACAGTGACTTAAAACTGACATCGCTTCCGACTGAGTACCCCTCACCCTTCCCCGGTTCCTTTTCCAATGCGCGAAGATAGGCGGAACATGGCCACTATCATTCCCGGTTCATTGACTTTTGATGCTTCCGACAACCTCTGATTATATTTTGAATTTCCTGTATCTTTTTTTGACTTTATGTATGTTTCAGAACTGGAACCAATGCATTTTCTTCGCTGCTGATACTTGAAGTAATGGCACGCTCTTTCTACACCTCGGAAGACGAGGTCCGTTTCGACCCACAACCTCAACAAGATGTACTTTCGTTATCACGTTCGACGCAGGCTAGCAGCCAGCAGACGGTTGTAGACAGAATTATTGGACCAAATATTCCAATTCCGGAAGGAGAGAAGAGTCGAAATACCACCAGACGACGGATTCCCGTTGCAGTGAGTTCCGTTGCTCGAGGAAAGGGAGTAAGCTTACATCTGCAGTGCAATCGATGTCGAAAACGGAAAATCAAGTGTAGCGGTGATGTTGGTGACGGTCAAGGCTGTTCAAATTGTCGGACCTCTGGAAATACGCACTGCCAGTTCTTAAGGGTGAGTCCTCTTCGCCGATTTCTGGATTCCCTTGCGATAAGCTAAGATCCAGCCAAGGTCAATTCATCAATGCTGCAGACAAAGGCTACTGGGTGGCCATATTCCTTAAAGAATGGTACACTGTCTTCAGCTCACCAGAGACAGGGCCCATACATATCCTCAATGGCTACAAGACAAGAGTTGTTGTCGGCGAATCCCTCTGAATTCCGTGTTACTTCGCTCCCACGCCCATCAGTCTTTGACATAAGCTCGACCGAGCCTCAACAGTCCTATAGTCGCCCAAGCTTTACTCAGGATAATATGACCAGTTATGATGAAGAGCCCTCAAGTGTTTACGGTTCACAGCCTGCAACTTACGGGGTATCCACGACATTACCCCATGGAGCCCTTGGAGGCTACTACGAGGTCGCATGGTCAAAGACATGTCATTCCGACCTTAACGTTGCCAGGGAAGGGCTTTTGCCCGATCATGAGGCGGATGGCACGTTTCACCATCCCAATTACGCGTATATGATGTCGGTGCCGGGAACCCAATCTACAGATACGACTTTTATGCCCTCAATGGTTGCTCTTTCATCTGAGGAACAAGGGGCAGACCGGACACTTCCCACCCCCGGTGGGCGGAACCAGCTTCAACTGGATCTTTCGGCGCTTCCAACATCGTCCGGTACCATTTCTGGGATTCCTCAACAAGACTGTAGGGCTGGACACCCCTGGGCACCCAAAGCTATCATCACTGCCAACAACGCCCGGTCGATGAAGCAATCCACCCCCGAACCTTTCAACAATAGTCCTCTAAACAGGGCAAAGCAACCCCCATCGAACACGCAGGAGATGGTGCTTGGATATTTACCAATGACATCGGCTAGTGCTTCGTCATCGTCGATGCCCTCCTGTGGCACGTTCACTCGATTGAACTCAGCGAATTCCGGTGAAGAGCTGCAGATAAATGAGGAAGTCCCAATGCGACATCCGATCTTGACTAAGAGTGCCCGAATTTCTCTTATGGACGATAGCTCCAATATCTACGGTTACTGCAGCTCTGAGAGGAGAAAGGGACCCAAACCCGGCACTTCCGGGATGTTGATGAACGGACTTCCTTACACACGACCACCCGAGCAGCTCCAAAGCACACCCTCTTTAACATTCAGCTTGCCGGTAGCAGACGGCCTTTCGGGCCCCGGGACAACCACAGAAGCACATCGGACGCAAGCTTTGAGTAACCCGGGGGGCTTCTATTCCGAGGCGTGCTGAGCGGCTGTGCATGTTACTGCAGCTCAAGCGCTCTGACCCCCTGAGGGAGTTGAACAGCACATTTTTACACGGCGTTTCGGTAGAGTTTCATATCGTTTGTTTCTACTATTTGTCATTACGTTGTCTGACAGCCAAGAACTGTTGCAAATCTTCAGCTGTGTGTACTCTTACACCCCTGGTTCCCTTCTTGGCCCTATAGTTCTGGGTTATTCCAAATACCTCTCCTGCTTTGTACACCCTTCAATATCTTCTTTTCTTTTTTCTTTCTTTTTTTTTTCGGATCTCGGTCCTGGAAACCCAAAAGTTACACTAATATCGGGGTAGGCAAGGACTGTCGGGTTTGTAACTTCGTTAGCTTCTTTCTTCCGTTCTATCCATTACGGGAACTATAATATGAGGTCTAGGCTAGGTCACGGTGGGAGGCATTTTCGAGCGAATGGTGGCTTGTTTGAAATCCGTTTGGCGGTTCTATTTTTGCTGGACCTTTCCTTCCCTGGTCGAGCTTCCTGTGCTTTTAAACCTGAGTGACTCAAACTGCAGCCCCGGAACCCGTAAACAACCATCAGTTACAAATATTTAATATCGATACACAAAACTGTCAATAGTCTCTCTTTGATCCTACAGCCATCACTAGACAACAAGCTGAGGATAGATGCGAGGCACTTCTCTGTATACGAAGCAGATCATGTCGTTCGTGAACAGAAACTTAAAAAACAAGAAATATTAAAAATAATATACACCAAAAATCTCCGCTTTGTTCCCCAAAGCTATTTTCTTATATCCCTATTCAAGAAAGAGAAAGCCAAACAAGGCTGAACCTAGTTATTGTCTCTACACCAATAGTTTCCAGTCCTGTGCGCCCTTTGTCTACCTACTCTGTTTCCCATTTACACTAGGTACGACGTATGTATATACGCAGTGGACCTAGGGATAATAGAATTCGTCTGTATAGAGCAATATCGAGTAACTACAATAAGTACATCCGTCATCAGGCGATAAAGAAAGAGGAAAGACCCTAATCTTTCAGAACAGGAAAAGAAAGACAAGGGGGAGAAAACGATCATCAATTCGGAGCTGACTCGGCCTTGGACAATATCTACATCCATAGAGGAGCTAGAAGGATGTATCCCGTCTGAGGGATGGTAGCCGGAGGGGGTCAGTGGTCTCCGAGAAACAGTTCCTACTAGTTGACTGGCATAGCTTGAGATCGGAGGGGTTCCTGTGCTACACTACGGCATCTATGGGGAGGTTTGAGATTGCCGTGATTTTGTTGGGGTTTCATATTGGGGGAAATTAGAGTCGAGGGCATTCCGAAGCTTACTGGTCTTCTAGCGGTAGATTGAACCTCTCCTGTACTAGGCAAAAAATGATCAGGGAAGCAACGCCAATACTAGAGCCGAGTAAGCTACGCATCGAGCACCAGAACTACCACCAAGGAAGGCTGCTAGGGGGGAGGGGGGGAGAGCGATGCAGGTTATAGACATGAGCCCATGAATGCCTGGCATCTCACAAGCCTTGTTGCCGGGGAACTTGGTTGGAGAGGAAGAAGTGAGATCCCATGCATCGACAGGTGTGAAAACCCAAAAAAGAAAAACAGGAACAAACCCTTGTATAGTAAAAGCACCGATGTAAGTAATGTGTAAATCCCAGAGTTGTAAAAGAAACATTTTTCATCCACCAGCCCGGAAACAAAATAAAGTAGACAAGATGAGATATAAGAATCCAGAACCCCCAAATCTCAAATTTGATATTTTTTTTGTTTCTTTTGATTGTGATTGTTGCGGTTGCCCCCTGTCATCGTCATGGCATGATAACTATATTTGCATAGCATAGCATACATAGCTTTAGTATGGTATGGTGTATCACATATGCGTATGCATATGCAAATGTGAATGCGAATCGCTCAATCACCACCACAGGGTTATCATCAATAGTTTTAGCACTAGCCCCTGGCCGCAACCAACAATCCTTCCCATCCGATCCATATCCATCAGAATTCGACAGGTCGAGGGCGCGCTTAGTTCTTGGACTTCTTGGGGCCCTTGGTCTTGGCGGTACCGCGGAACTTCTTGGAGCGGTTCTTGCGCTGCTTGCCTGTATTCCAGAAGAAAATCACACATCAGCCCATGCCTTGTTTCGATACCCAGATATACCATATCCAGAAGGGAAGAAAATGCATACGCTGCTGTCTGCTGGCCTTCTCGATCTTCTCGGCAGCTCCGATACGGACGAGACGGTAGTGAGGCTCGAACTTCTTCAGGGCCTCCTGGGAGTCGTAGACGAGGGCGAAGCCAGTGCTCTTGCCACCACCGTATTGCGTACGGAAGCCGAAGACGGAGACCTGGTCCTTGTTGGCCTTGTACAGGTCGGCGAGCTTGCCGCGGAGCTCATCCTTGGAGACGTTGGCGCGGTTGGGGTGGAGGACGTCACTGCAAATCATATTAGAGATCATGTTCAAATCATCGTTCTTCTTTGTTTGCGAATGCTGAAAGTTCCGATCCATCACTGCCAGTCCTCCTCTTTAGAAGATTATAGTACCTCCATAATCAATATCTCTCCAGAAAATTCACATCCCCATAAGAACCTCCTCTTGGTCCAAAACTTCTCAAAAAAAATTCGTCTGCCCAAGAACAAACCGCCCCATCCAAATCGTCCTCGGAAGCAAGATTGTGAACAGCGGACAAAGGGAAAAAAAAGGGAGCTTACACGACCATCTGCTTACGAGCAAGCAGGGGGTTGCGGATGAACTTGCGAGTCCGCAGGGTAACGGGAGTGTCGGCCATTATTGCGGTAGCAGCGAATATCTGCGTCGACGTGGACAGGAAGTTGGGGGGGGATTGTCGAAGTCGCTGTCGTTGGCGGGCTCGAAGTGTTCGGTCGTCAAATCCCAAAGTGACAATTTTGCTCGTTGTGCATGTGGGCTCGCTAAGGGCGCACTAACCTGCCTTAGGTAGGTATGTGCACGTGACACTCTTATCCGCTATCGATTGATCGTCCCCTCATTTTCAATGGAGTATATCATTTCCTGGAAAAAAAAAAAAAAAAAAAAAGAAAGAAAGAAACAGGATCTCACCAGAGATGTCTCCGGATAAAGAAATCCGTTCCCTAAAGAAGTTCGCCGCGCAGTACTCTCAACAACTTGACCTGACTCATCTCGCTCTCCCCAATGCCTCCACCATCGTCCATCCCGACATCCAATGCGCCATCTATGAGCTGATGTTCAACGAGGCCGCAGTGTGGCCCCTCCCTCCAGTGGGCTATCGCACCCGCGTCCTAAAGAAGATCATATCACGGATTGAAGAGGGGATCACCGATCCGGAGGAGGATGTACGTCTGATCCTAACCTCCTTGACCTGTACGCAGAACCCATTTCTAGAAATACAGATGATAGTTATTTCCAATCAAGATATACACCATTAGATGTTTCTACCAAATGAATCATCCACCCTTCATAAAATAGCCATTAACAAGTAATGCCTTGCTAGGAACTAAATTCCGACCTCATCGAAACCTGGACAGATCTCATCTCCCTCCCAAAACCCTCTCAAATCCAGCAAGCCCAACAATTAACCTACATCAAATACACCGCCCCGGCCACCACCACCTCCCAAAAGCCCCAAACAGTGATCACCTCGGAATCGCGCGGTCTGATCTACTCCTCTGGCACCACCGGCTTCCGCACCTGGGAAGCCTCCCTCCACCTCGGAACATACCTCTCCACACCCACCGGCGCAGCCCATGTAATCGGTAGAAGGGTGATCGAGCTTGGTGCGGGAACAGGATTCGTGTCAATGTATGCGGCGAAGTACCTGCGCCCGCAATTCGTGCTTGCGACAGATCGCGAGGGGACGCTGATTGAAAATATGAAGGGCAGCAAGGCGAGGAATGGGTTAAGCGGAGAGTTTGAGGTCGGAGCTTGGGAATGGGGAACGCCGTTGGGGTATCCGACTGAAGATGATACCGAGAGTATAGCGAGGGAGGATCTGTGTTTTGATGTTGTGCTCGGTGCGGATTTGGTACGTTATATTTCACCATTCAAGCTATTTGGTGTTCTTGGTTCGACGGGGTTAATGGAAAGTAGACCTACGACACAGATTTACTTCCTCTGCTTTTCGCTACGCTTCATGACCTTTTTGATAACTACCGGGCCCAAGAATTCATTCTCTCGGCTACACTACGGAACCAGAAGACTTTCCAGGCGTTTCTGGACGCTTGTGGTATGTGCTCCCTTCAATATTCCTGCGTTGGTGCAGGGTTATGGAACTGACTATTTCGCAGACAGCAACCGTTTCAAAGCAGTGTGCCTACCATATGAGTCGCCCCAGACGGAGAACCAGACCGGCTTCTTTCATGAGACCGGGATTCCAATTCGAACATATCGGGTCACGAGGTAGACATCCTTTGCGCAAGAGATTTTATGCTCGCGAGAAGGAACCTGGTACGCCCGTGAGAAGATGAGCCTATCCATGGGTCAATGACTAAATTATCCTTAAGATATTATAAATAATTCTCTTATATACTGTATTGAACCTTCGCACAATATGGAAAGGGTGGCAGCCTGCCAGTGTAAGGATAATGAATGTCCGCTGGGTATCATGTAAGCAAAGAGAGACGCCAAGTATATACTCGCTAATCGATAAACAAGGGATGTTAAAGCTACTAGGGCTGCTTATACACGAGCATGCAGTTCATCCCCGTTGTAGCATGAAAGGAAATGGTATAAAGAAACCGAATCGTGCGTAGTGGGTTAGGACACTACTGTCGATACATTCGTGCGTCACTCCGCCAAAGTTTCCTTCAACAGGCTCTCATCGATAGCCTCCGCGTGAACAGCAAAAGGGGCTCGGGAGGTTGGCCGAAAACCCATGACTGGGCCTTTCTGGTTCACGCCAGGGTATCGAAATCGCAGGCTCGGGGTTTTGTCAGCCTTGGGGTTTGGCTTTCTATTCGCAGTGGATGGAGGCGTCGTATCGGGCGATACCAGCGACGTCGACGGTATTGGTTGCTCTTCGTGAGGTTTCGTGTCACCAATAGCCGCTGTGGATGCATTTCCCAAATGCTCTCGCATCCATCCACCTACGCGGCGGGTGAGGGAAACTTTTCGAGTAGGTGTCCCAGTGGGGTCCAAGTGGACACCTATTGCTGATCCTGTCTCGGATTGTTTACCAGTAGCCATTGAAGCAAGTAGCGTTTGTGAAGACTGGTCAATTTTTGAAGGCTCTCTATTGGCGGTGACTGTGCTCGTTGAGAGAACTGGGTTGGAGAACCGATCGTTACTAGAGAAGATACGGCGCGGTACGCGAGCAGATAAGGGCCTCGAGATGTCCTCCATCCGCGATGGACGTCGACTGGGAGTATGGATGTCCATGCCTGCAACAGAGAACAAGCTCTCATGCGATTGCTTACGCCTTGAGCGATAAGGAGGGGCAAAGACATCATCAGGCGCAGGAGAAAAGGCCCTCTCAGAAGCGGCGTAATGCAAGGAGTCTTCCCGTTCCTCCGGTATGACAGGCTGGAACGCATCCCCAAGGCCCTTGTTGAAAACACCATCATCCAAAGGATCGACCGAAACATCCGTTTCAGGAGATCGAAAACTAGCATCATAACAGCTGCTTTTTCGTCGACTAACCCTTAATGGCGAAAAGGCAGTGCTGTCGGGGCTCGTGGCTCGCGAGGAATCAAACCCACGCTCTACTCTATCAAATATAGATGACGACCGATATCCGGACTGCGGTGAGCTCGCTATGGACTCAGCCCCGGGCGACTGCGAGGACCAGCGTTGAGAAGCCGAGGGAATTTGTAGGGAGGGCTGAGACATCATTGTGAATGCAGAAGAATGAGAAGACTGAGACCGGTGCGTTGGTTTGCGAGCTAATTTCGTACCAGAAGGAGAGTGCACAGTATTCGGGTGCCCCCAGGTATGTCTGTTCTTAGAACGCCGGAAGAGCGTGGGCCTCTCCTTTTTGATAGACGGCGTATGATAATGGTGGTGAATGTGGAACTCTTGTGGTGCCTGGCGCGGTTCCTTGGACTCAAGTTCCTGACTCAATGTCTGTGCAAGTTGCGGCACTTGCCCGTCACCTTCTGTCATTGGGACTAATTGGTGGGAAATAATCTGATCCCGCAGGCACTGCACCTCTTGGTTCGAACTCTCTAGCAATTCCCGTAATTCAACGATTCCCAATTGCAAATTGGCATTATCCTGTAATATGTCCCGGACGAAGCGGGACACCACGGTTCCCCCGTGGCTCCTGCCCGACTCATTAGTCGCCGCGGCTCCCTTTAGCCGTCTAGCAGCGCCATCTAGCTGCCGTTCAACGGTCCGTTTCTGCTCCATGCGCTGGACTGCTTCGGCATGGCGCTCGCGTTCCTGCCGTGCCTCCTTCTCAATGCGGTCGATTTGATCATGGAGATCCCTTAAAGTACTCTCTGCCTTCTTCCATCGCTGGACCGCCGATTTTGATTCTTCTTCAGCTGACTCCAAGCTCTCATGGAGCCTGGATTGTTCATTCTCCATCTGAACCAATTGGGCGTCGAGGTCAGCTGCACGGGCAGCCGACACCGTCACCTTGCGAAGCTCAGCTTCGGAATTCTCTAGTCTAACTTCAAGGGACTTGGCATGAGAATCTGCATCAGCGACTGCTTTGTTCAGAATGTCCAGCTGTTCCAACAACTCGCGATTCTCTTCGATGATGCGGGCATTTTCGACCTGCACCTCACGTTTCTCGCGTTCCAGGTTCTCAATACTGGCGAGGAACCGATGACGGTCTTCTTCAGCCTCGGCCATATATGATTCATGGCGATGGAGTAAAGCCTGTAATGCAAATGTTAGCGATGACGAGCTTGTTGAAGTCAACGCCGTGACAGCGTTATCTTGGAAGGCAGCCATGACGGACAACAACACAATGGGAGAGGATGGGAGACCTAGCGGTCATGAGAGTCGCCATGGGCGGCACCAAGTTGACAGGTCCTCTCTCTCTCTCTCCCTTTTTGCTTTTTCTCAATACTTCAGCCCAACGTCCTTTCGCGAAGGTAACGCAAGGAGGGTCTGAATCCAAAGGAGACCAAACAATGTGATAGGGGGAAATTAAAACAAACTATGTGGAGTTGAGAGTACGACGATCTATGTACTCTCAAGGAACCCCAAGTACATACAAAGAATGTTGACAGACATCTAGCCAAGAAAGCAAGAAAAGCATCGGAAGCCTGGGACATAAATATGGCTGAATCGAAAATAACGGAATGATGACGCAGAGGCCTGATTTCAACCCAAAGCGCCGACAAAGGAACGTACCTGGCCCAATCGAGCAGCCGTAGCGAGATCCTTTTCCAACCCCTCCAGGGCCACATTGTTGTGCTGCAGGAATGCACAGTCATGACGGCCACAGCAACAGCGCAGAGCCGTCGGAGTGGATGAGGAGTGGGTAGGAATGCATGGAACCTGACTAGCAGGAACCGGGCTATGCGGACGGGATTCCATGGCTGGGATTAGAATGCGACTTTGCCCAAGACTGTGTGTGAGTTGGCACCCCTTGGAGTGGCTAGCTGGAGCGGAGGCGCCAAATCATCGGGCTGAGCTGTCGATTTCCAGTGGATCTGAGGGGTCAATGAGGGGTGGAAATGAGATCAGAACATCTCCACCATCAAACTCAGTTGAAAAGCCATGTAAAGGAAACCCTCCGATGGCTGTTGTTAATGGATCGCAGTTGACTGTAGTAAACTATGAATGGAAAGGTAACTTGGAATGGAAGAGTGAAGTAGTTTGTTTGGCAGGGAGAAAAAAGGCGGAGAAGACTGTCGATAAGTCTTCCATCGGAGCGCTGATTGGCTACAAAGAGAGTTACAGTCACACACGGTTCTTTACCCGCAATTTTCCAAGAGTCACGCAGATAATAGCGGATATCACTCGCCTCATTTACAGTACCATTACTTGCAGGTACTGTACTGGAGGACCACTAGACGGTAGTTCCTCTAACTTGGTGAGACACATGTAAGGAAGGAAAAAAGAACGAAAGAAACCACTCATCGCCTCACAGTTGTCCTGAAACCACGCAACATGATTCTGACCTACATAAGCATGCTCACAGGCCAAGTTGGTGGTAGGCGATGGACCCGACTAGACCAACTTAGGAGCAAGCCTTCCCAGATCGTCACTGATGTGCAGCCATGAGTGGAGTGACTGGTAGAAATCGGAACACGAGATATCACCACTCATGGTAATTCTTCCGGATCATCATCCGTATGCGCCTCCAAGCACATTGCCTTGGGCTAAAGAGAAGAAACTAAAAAACTAAAAAAAACTCTGTCGGCTGAATTTGGAATTGAATTGGAAAATTATTACCAGTCATGGCTACTACTGTATGTACCTGTAGCGACATACTTATCTAGGTCCGTGTATATGAACACAGCAAACTCAAAGTATCTCAGGACGAGGATCAGGTCAACCTGACCGGGAAATAAGAAAGGAAAGACAGAGGAGTTGTGCAGGGCTACCAATAGACAATCAGGAAAAAGGAAAAAAAAAAAAGGCTACCAGTCTTCATGTGACACGTTCACAGAATAATCAAGTAATCAGTCCCAACCATGCTGCGGAAGGATTCAAAGCAGAAAATCATTTCGCACATTAATAAACGCCCCGGCGCCGCCTTCTTCACTGATTTCATTGACCAGCACTTCCGTCTGTTGGTATAGCCGCTCCAGAGCAGCCGATGATGATTTGCCAAGTGAAACTACACGTAGGTTAGTCGGGATCCACTTCGCACGAACAACAAATCATCGGAGTGAAGTACCTAAAATCGCCGAATTCAACTCCTCTGCAACAGCAATGCGGCCTGCAGGGTCGAGATAATGCCCGTGGACTGACTGCTTCGGATCGGGATACGCCACCAAGGAGAAAATGTCATCCAGCATCTTCTTGTTCCCTCCGCGCTCGTCATTCGGATAATCTAGGCGTAATTGTTGTCCATACTGGACAGCTTCGGTGAGGAGCTCGTTGAACTTCGCAGCGTTCTCAGGCTCTTCCGTATCCATTCCATCAGCGTTCCAGCCGCCACCGTGGTGCATCTGTTCGTCAAGCTCCATCTCTTCGTCAAAAACGGCACTTCCGTCAGAAAGACCATTAGATGACTTCTCTCTCTTAGATGCAGCCCAGGAGGGCTCGTTGCATCTACGCATCATTTCCAAGAATTTCCGACATCGTAACTTGAAGTTGATATGAGGGAAGTTTTGCAGAACATTGGCGTAATAAGCATTAGTGTACTTCAATGCCTTGTCGATATCGCCATCCAGTATCGCTGCTCGAATTTCTGCATAGAGTTAGTACAAATCATCTAGAAAGTCGGGAACGCCGCACTTTGCCGGTTAATCGCTTCAATATCTTCCTCTACCTCATACTTCTTCAGTGGCTCCGCACGCCCATTCTGCAGCGCCGCCGATTCTGCGGCGACCTCTTCTGCAAAAGCCCGAGCCGTTTCAACATATCCATCATGAGCTAGGAACTGTGCAACCAGTTCTTGGAGCAAGGCTGACTCATCCAAGGGTGGCTGTAGGTTAGCGGTGCTGGTGGCACGAATCTCTGAGTGAATGGCAAATTTCTCTTTCTGCATATGATCAGTTATATTTATACTGCCAACAAGATGCACGCAACACACCTTAACCATGCCGTCAATGTCAAACATGAATGGATGTTGGCCAAAGTTAGCCGCCAAATGCACAGGGGGCTGTTTTTTCATCCCCACCGAGGGATAGACCTTCAGGTTTCTCAACTCCCGAAAGGCATTACCTAGCTTGTCGTTAGCTTTCCTAATTGAGCCTTTTTCCTGCCGAGAGGTCATTACCCAAAAATACGCCATTTTTAGTGAAAAATGCACAACCCTTCGAAAAATTGACACCGCAGCCCACGGTATCGTTTACACCGAAGGTAGGGCCGTATTGTCGTCCTTGCCCTTGACTTTCACCGAAAAATGACTTACCATCATCACCATGGTACGCCCAAGATTCTTGCTCCCATCCCGGGAGACGCTCAACTGATGCTTTATTACTGGAGAACCCGACCCCGATCATTCTATTATAGTAAGTATATCTCCCAAAAGAGAAGAAAATAAGGTCAGAGGAATGGAAGGAAAAATGGAAGACAATCATCTCCTTCTAAAATATGATGTGAACATACCCCTCCTTAGGTTTGGATAGAATCGTAATCTCAAAATAGTAGATCCCGCACTGTGGCGGCATCGGGTTATCCGCGCGGACGGCAGCAGCTTCATGGTCGTGCTTATTGACCGGGCCAGTATACCGGACCTCCAATCCCTCGCTTGTGAGCTCCAGACCAGAATATTTGTCTCCGTTGTTCCACCGTGAGGGAAGTGGCATAATGTGTTCGTCATCGCCAGAGGGTTCCCTCTCGATGATATCATAGGTCATCCCACGATGAGATGGTGCTATACGCGGCAAGCTCGCCTGACTGGAGGAGGTAGAAATGGGATTCGACGTTGGTGAAGAATAAACGGCATCCCGTTGGGACGCCAGTTTGGCTCGAAGGGCTGCATCGAGGCGGGAGATGTACCTGGAGTTGCGCAGGTATGATGGCGTAAATGAAGACGACGCAACGTCGGAGAAGCTGCCGGGATTTTGGGGGAAGGGATCAGAACGAGCGAAGCTGGCGTATTTCCGAGAATAAGGAGGAAGTGTATCGCCGGACGACATCCTCCATGGGGAGTTCATCTGCATGTCTGCATCCAGGTCTGCGGATGGCCTCAGATGGCGGCCGTCGGGAGGAAATGGTGGGGGATAAGAAGTGGAGTTCGAGGTAAGCAGTTGTGAGAACGGACCACTGTTGGCTGGTGGCGAGAGCGCAGTTCCAGAAAGGACGGAAGCGTAGGATGAACGACGGGGGATGGTAGAGATGCTTGGGCCGGAATATGTGGTGGTTACAGGAGCTCCTCGAGCTCCACCGGACGGGGGAAATGGTGCATCGGTCATATTGGAGTCGTTCGTTGGATGGAGCCAAAGCAAACGGCCGGCGGGTACTTAGTGATGAGCGGGGAGGGACGACGAACATACACAACACCCTCACGCGAGCGGCTTTCGAAGCTCGAATGACCGTGGCGACAGTGGAATGCGTAGCATTTGTCAACGCTTACTGATAACTTGCTTCGTTTATATTCTTTGCGTGTTCTTTTGCTCTTTGTCTGTGTTCTTCACGGGTCACTTCGTTTACCGTAAACGGCAGTGGAGCACAACAATCAGAAGCCTAGTATTCGCTGTTGACACTATAAAATAATATTCAAGACGATCTCTCGGCGGTATCGAAAATTTGGGGAAGCAATAAGATCAGCCAATCTAGGAAAGATGGGGATTCGCAGTTACAATGAAGTTGGGGGAAAGACCAGAGAATGGGAATTCAGGAAGCGTCTTGTGTGACGGGAAAGGAGAGGAGAGACAATAATGCCCCAGGAAGTTGTCTGATTCCGTACTACAAGGGAAAGAGTCACGGGGCCACAGGTTTCAATCTATTCGTTTAATAAGAGGAAAAAGAACCTGATGGCATGACAGGAATGTGGCTGCGGGGGAGGGAAGGGGAGGGAAAAGCACGGGCGCCTAGAGCTTCTGGAGAAGAGTAAAGAAAAAGGTATTCATAGATACATCGGCCTCCGTGATGTATGTAATAGTACTTTATGACTACTACTGCTAGATGAGGGGAACACTCTAGAAACCACCTTCCATTAAACCAGCTATGGTTCTACGAAATTGGTACTCATGAGCGCACCAGCATATACCACTACTATATATCCATGCAACAAGACTCCTTGGACGGTGTATACCAGTATATTCAGCATGATTTGCTGAGAACCCCTCCTGATATGCACCCATCCTCCGGCTTATGCTACCAGCTGATCTGTCCCTCTCTGGTCAGTAATCACTCCTACAATTACCGGCCACCAAGACGGCTAGGGTTTCGTTTAGTTCTAGATGAGATGTTACATCAAACAATGAAAATCCACTATCATCCCTTTCATTCATTGTTAGTCAAAAGAGAGAGAAAATGAAGTGCAGAACCAGTCGATCGAAGAAAACGTGGATAAAGACTCGTTCATTCGAGAGAATCGCTTGAAATCGTAAACCCCTTGCTTACCCTACTGGTACTTCGAAGGAGAACCTCGGTTGCATCTGTAGATCTATTCCCAACGTTTTTCTGCATACAATAAATATCCCCCACATCACCTTGGTAGAGGGGGTAGCTCAGATCTTGCGTAAACCCCCAAATCCAGCAAACATAATAGTACAAACAATGAACTATAAAGGACAAGGCAGATCAAAAGGCTATTAAGCGTGCAAGCTCAGGCAAACAAAAGCCAGGAACAGGTAAAACTTCTCTGTCAGTGGTCAAGTGACAGAGAACACACGAGGTAGCCCATTATGGGAGCGAAAGATAGAACTTCCCAAACGCCAATCCAAACCATACAAAGGTTAAACATTAAAACAACGCTCCAGAAACCATGGAAAATAAAAAGGTAGACTGAAAATAATGTACACGAAGGATGATAGCCGATTCAAATTATGGGGGTTGAGCCTATGCGGCCATGGCAATGGCAGGTGAAGATGCCTCTGCGATATTCGGAGGGACCGGAGTTAGGTCTCCATCACCAGAGTTGCTCTTCTCGCTAGGAACCCCGCTGGCGCTTTGATTCGCCTTGCTGTCGCTATCACCGGTCTCCAGGATAGACTCCTTGCTTTCGCCATTGTCGTCTGTTTTCAGAGGTCGAGGGGTTCGCCAGGTCGGTAGCTGCCACTGGGTGCCAGTGAAGCTCTTCAGTTGTAAAGACTTGCGTTCCCATTTGCGGCATGGAGCACCCGAACGATCAAGGGCGCGAAGGCCAGCATTAATGGCGCCGGTGTTGGCTTTGGGTCCCAGCCTATGGGATGCTGCAATTTTGACGGGTTCGGAGGTACCGTCGTCACTATTAGTCCTTAAGTTAGCATGTGTTGTTTGCAGTAACAGCTAGGGAGACAAGAAAGACCTACAGTCTAGGCTTCTTCTTCGGACCAGGCTTCCCTCTCGGCTTGGGGGTTGTCTCGCTCGTCTGGTTCAGACTTCGCTTGACTCCAGGCTTGGGACCAGGTACACCTTTGCGACGGGGGGTGTCAGCAGCTGAGGTACCCGCGGCCGGTGTAGATGCAGCATCCGATGCATTATCGGACGGATTAATAGGTGCCTCCACGGAAGATGACGCTGGGGAGGAGGGTTCCTTCTCCTTGACGGGGGAGTCGGCTCTAGAATCCTCGTCCTTAATGTTGCTCTTCTTCCTGTCCTTGAGCTCTGGGGGGGGAGGACTGGCAAAGCGACTTAACAAGTCTGGCGAGAGCCTGAGGACGACGACCCCTTTCGAAGAGGGCCCGGACCGACTGGAGCGACCGTTGGTGGCAGTGGCAGCCGGCATTTCAGCTCAATGGGTAATCTGCCGATGTCGATTTTAAGAGGGTAGGGTAGAAGAAATGACACTTAGCCCCGACGGGTGTGAAGGGGAGGTAAAAGCCGTTGAGACGCGGAGTGGCAGTGTTGGTGGAAGGCAGAAGTTGGATATTTTTTTAAATGGCGATTGTGACGTGGGTGACGGACAGGTTGGTTGGCTGGAGAAGTGGTTCCAGACGTCAAACGCGGCGGCGCGACTTGGTCAGGGCGAGGCAAAAGTTTGACAGGGCTGATGGAGACAAGAGGAGCGAAGCACGAGTGACATAGTCCGGTTGGATAGTGACGATGATGAGGCGGGATGGTTGAGGATAGGAGAAGAGGAAGAGAGGGAGAGGGGCGGAGGGAAAGAAAAAGAACGGGGGATGGAAGAAAGGGATGGGGATGCGCCGTGTGGTGGTTTCATTGTTGGTGTGTGTTCATCTCGTCTACTAAGTAGGGAACAGCCAGACTTTCACACGCTCTCTCTGTTCTGTGCGGTCAGTCCAGTGACTGTCCAGGAGACGAGAAGCTGAACCTTCTGCGGACCGAATCACCCTAAGGAAATTTACCGCGCTCGCGTCTCGTACCGTTTCTTACGCGTGGCTTCCGTGGCTCGGGGTTGAGGAAACGTCATCGGTCGGGGGTTTCTGACTGTATGGGACGTTCAATTTAATTCATTCTATACTACCTCACCTACTAACTATACCTACACAGTACATATTCTTAGTATACGTACCTATTAATATTTCATGTTTTTTTTCTCTTTATTCTTACCCTTGCTGATTGATTTCTAAACTTGCTAGTTAGTTAACTAACTATCTGACTTGATTTAATAAGCGCTCTTCCTTTCTCTTACTATCCATGAACAATAGTCTCATTCCCTAGACACAGGAAGTGGGCTCCTCCTCCCCATGCTCCATGCCCAGCCGAGTTAAATTAGGTCGTTCCATCCATCCATCCTAAAATCTGAGAAAGAAGTGGGAAAGTATTGAAAAAAAAAATCCATCCTTCCCAGAGGATCTCACAGAATACCGAGGAAGGAAAGAAAAATAGAAAACGAACCGTATATACCACAGTAGGCCTCGTATCTATCTTACAAGTTACAACATTTTCTTTTCTTTTTTTTCCCTCGCCTTCCCATCGATCGAGTTATGGATCTCCAGTCCCGCTTATTAGTGAGGTAGACTTTTTGGCACGACTTCCACCGCTTCCGTCCGGGTTTGTTTCGCAGGTACGGAGTACGGGTATTCACTTCTAACAGGTAATTACCGATCCAAAAGGATGAGGAAGAAAGAGAAAGAAGAATTTGAAGCACGTTCCAGGTATGAACCTAAACAGCCTTCCATCATTGATGGATCACTCATAATACTCTTTTACTGGCATACTGCAGACCTTCACTCGGCACAGGTATTCTAGACTACTAGACTATAGCATCTATTCACTGATGACATATCTACACTACCAAGTGGACCAGAACAGAACAATCCCTTGTGTTGTGTTGTCAGATGATAGACCAAAATGACCGGGAGCACATATGATAGTACCCATTCAGGAAACTAAAACGACAACCTACGTGACTAGTACTAAGGAAAAAAGGTAGTAAGACTTGAACCAAGAAATCCCTCCCGACCGGTTCGCCACAAACGGAATCACAATCTCACAAGGCCTTCGAATTACTAAATCAGAAAACCGCGCAATGGCCGGGGAACGGGCTTAATGTCCGGGTTATCCGTTCCCATTGATAATCCCCAACCGCCGAGAGTTATTTGCTCAAGTAATCCAACGAGATAGGAATTAAAGGGCTCAATATTATTCCGAGTCCAGCAAGTTGGGGCAAAATTGCCTCCCCTTCCATCTCACCTCAAATCTATCGATGTACAATATCTATCAATATCGGTGCCCATCTACAACGAGGATATCAATCTCTATAGTAGTTCAAGACCTATAATGAGCTAGCCTATCAGATATAATACTCTCGAACCGATTGAATCCATGTACAATTAACCGCTCATCACAAAACTCCAGCGTTAATCGGCCTTCTTTTCTTGCCTTTTCCGTTCAATCACCTCCCCAACAGCTTGCTGCACCCCCGAACTAGCCCGTACACTGCTCAGGACCAACCCCTCCTTCATGCCCTTGCGCAGCGTGGCAACGCTCTCCCGATCCCCTTTGAATGGCGCGAATCCCAGCTGCAACAACCGCGTCGACTCACCGTCTGTAGCTCGGGAGAGCTGAGCTAATTGCGCGAGGCGCTGCATGGTTTGTGGGTGGATACGCTCACCCACTGTGGAAGACGACCCTTTGCTGACCTCTGGCGGTGTCACCTGCGAAATAAAGATATGCAGCATTACGGAGGCACGTTGTGCAAGGGTCAAGATCTGAAATGGTAGGAGATAGAAACTCGGTGTCTTCGTAGAATCCCCAGTAACTTTTGCAGCTCCACAGGGATATAGGATGCAGGGAAGAACAATGCTCTGGGCTGCGTGATCAAAGCTAGTTCAAGAGTGATCAAAGCAGCAAAAGTAAAAAAGCGCCACTGTGCACGGTTAGGAGGAAACAAACAGCAACTGAAGATGATCACTTACATAGCGACCCCAGTTGGACCACCAGGTAAAGTTCAAAATGATAATGGTCACGAATCCTCCCACATACTGCGGTATCGACCGCTGCAACCCCGTGAACAGAAAATCTTGCACGGTCTTGACATTTCCCCAGCCAAGAATATCAGGTCCAAATCTATCATATGCAAACCGCTTCGCAGGGTCCAGTAAGGTATCTTGCGCCAGCTTCAAATATACAAAGTAGTCGTCGGAAGGCATGCCATCCCCTTGATTGATCTTGTCTGGATGATGCTGCGCAGCAAGGCGCCGGAATCGCGATTTGATCGTCCTATCATCGGCAAATGGAGAGACCCCAAGGGCTTTGTAAAAGTCCCCGGTAGCCTGAACCCGATGAAATGTCTCATAGAGCGTGTAAAGGAGATAGCTTGTCACGACTAGAATAAAGATGCGACGGCGATGTCGGGTATAGCGCGGAGAGGGGGGTTGGGGTCGAGGTTCACCTGCACGAATGGTAATCCCATAGTAAATATTCTGAACTATGGAAGTCGCATACTATATCCCACGTTGTCAGTAACGGCCATAACGTGCTATGTAGAGCGCAACGGGAACCCTGGAGAGGAAAGGTGAAGGATGACACTCACATTTGGTAGAAATGCCCAACCAGCAAAAGATAAAAGAGAGGCCATAAAGTAATTACAGTCCCGCGCTTGTAGGCAGGACGTTCAATCAACTATTTCTTATTTTATACAAACGTTAGCGCCATAAAGCACTATCGCATGTTGTCGTCTTCCATGGAGTTGCGCTTGGCGCCTGCCCTGAGCTTTACCGCCCTAGATACCGCCTTCCATTTCCCCACACGAGCAAAGGAAAAGAAAAAAAAAAAAGTTCTCGACATCTGAAAATCCACCGGATATCAATTCTCAAGAATACTCCACAGGCGCACCCATTGCGCCACTATCGAACACAATGGCCGTCGACGCGATGGAAATCGATTCGGACCAGGTCCCAGCCGCCGCACCATCCCCAGAAAAAGAGCGCAAGCGCAAGCACAAGACCAAGGACGCATCATCCTCATCGCCGTCAAAGAAGAAGCGCAAGCACGAATCGAGCCAATTCACCGACGAAACTGCCGCTCGTGACAGTGAAAAGAAGAAAAAGAGCAAGAAGTCCAAGGATAACGCAAAGAGTAAACAGGCCGGTACAGGAGGCGCACCAATTCCGGACTCACCTTATGTTCTGACAACCGCAACTCTCTATCTTCCACTATCCCCCATCTCGATTTCCCCGACGCATGCTAAAGCTTCCCTTTTGGCGGAACATCTCTCTCCTCTCCTCCTTACTTATTATGCTCCCCTTCAGGGAATCGTCCTAGCCTACTCAGATGCCTCGATATCGAGTACTCCACCTTCTCCATCTACGTCCTCTGATCCCGCAGACCCCAATCCGAAACCATTGACTCTCGCCAAAACGGCAGGCGAATACGGCGTGCTGTACGTTTACCTGACCGCGACGTTCCTGGTTTTCCGGCCACAGAAAGGTCAAATTCTCGAGGGATGGGTCAACGTCCAGTCCGAAGGCTTCCTAGGCGCCGTTGTGCTCAACCTCTTCTCCGTCGGTGTTGAACGCAAGAGACTTCCTTCGAACTGGAAATGGGTTCCACCAGGTGAAGAAGGCAGCGTCAGCGGGGACCAGCAAAAGACAGCTACCGCATCCGAAGATGATGAATCCGAACCGTCTGCCTCCTTCGATCAAGAAAAAGAGCACTTCAACCCCGTCTCGTTGGCAAACCCCGTTTCCGACACCGTCAATGAAGAAGTCAATGCTGAGGATGACGAATCTGTCGCGGAGGGCTACTTCCAGTCTGTATCTGGTCACCGTGTACGCGGCACTGTCCGTTTCCGTGTCGTCGATGTCGACGTCATCCCCGGTTCAGAGCGTGATCGCAGTTTCCTTAGCATTGAGGGTACGATGCTCTCCCCGGAGGAGGAAGCCAGAGTAATGGAAGATGAGCGTAATGGTATCTTGACCACATCTGCCACCCCTCAGAGGAGACTCAGTCAAGAACCCCGGGTTTCCATGTCCGGCGCACTAGCAGCACCATCGGTAGCTACTATCCCAGAACCAGAAACTCCCAGCAAGACCAAGGAGCCGAAGGCCGAAAAGGAAAAGAAGCCCAAATCCTCTAAGTCTAAGAAGAAGGAAAAGAAGGAGAAATGATAAATGGATCGAGTTTAACTCGGAGCTTATTACGTCTCGATTAAATTCAATCAAGTTATGTTTGTGTATAGAAGTTAGCATTTCATGTTCTATATTATTATTATCACGTTGGGCGTTAGAGGGAGAAATCAAAACTTATTCTGGAACTATATATGCGACCCTTACGAAAGACATATCTGCATGTTGAGTCTCTGAAGTGCAAAGCTGGTCCAATCGACAACGTTGGTTGTTTGAAGTGGTGCAACAGGCTGACAATATATATAGATTGTTAACCATGTAAACTTTTGAAAATCCCAACCAACGAGCTCACCGATGAATTAAAAACAACCAATAAACTGTACTATTGGAGCAAACCATGTTAATTAAATCCTTACACCCTCTGGCAGCCCTACTTTCAAGACATCAACACCACTTTCAATCTGTGACTTAGACGGCATATCCTTCCGTCGCATCAACTCCGCACACTTCACCATAATGGGATCCATGCCCATCGTTGCAACGGCGACCACTGTATCGCCCTTACAGTAGTACGCGGTGAACTTGGCGTTCTCGGGCTCGCCCTTCAAAACCATGCTATCCCAGCCATTTGGCGTATTGCCGCAGTACCGCAATTGAGCACCCACAGCAGACCAGAAAATTGGGATGAAGGCCTTCGGTTTCAGAGATTGTAGCAATGAGGCTGAGTTTGCGAGGCTATGAACAATGGCGCGGGCGACGCCGCGGCCAGCATTTTGCGCAACGTTCCAGTGTTCGATGCGAGTATGGGTGCCCTTTGGATCCGTACCGGGGCCATGATAAGGGTATGTGGCAATGTCACCGATGGCAAAGACATGGTTGTCTAGACCAGGGACAGCAAAGTGCTCATTAGTTCTGATGGAACCGTCATTCTCTAAAGTAATAGCCTGATTGTTCTTGAGGAAGTCGGTTGCTGGACGCACGCCGACACCCAGAATGACTAGGTCGGCTTCGAGGATGGTACCATCATTGAGGTGGACTGCTCCAACCTTGGTAGAGTCCGAGCTAGAAGGTGTGGCTTTCGCAACGCCGGCCTGCAGCTTGAATTTGACACCCGCTTTCTCCAGATTGCCTTGAATGATTCGGCCGACCTCCTCACCCAAGACACGTTCCATAGGGGCCTTTTCTTGACCGACAATGGTGACATCGTTCTCTTTGGCGAGTGTGTTGCCCACCTCCATACCAATGAAGGAGCTACCGACGACGACGATCTTCTTGTTCTTCTCGCCTACTGCCTTGAGGATGGACTGTACATCGGTGACAAAGCGCAAGAGGAAGATGTTGCCTAGCTCATTAAAGCCTTCCACAGGGAGAGTGCGCGGCACGCCTCCAGTAGCAAGTACCAGCTTGGTGTATGGGTATGTCTTGCCCGACTTAGTAGCCACAGTCCTCTTGTTGAAGTCCACCGACGTCACTTCATCAGTGACGGTCTCAACGGAGACGCTCTCGTACCACTCACGAGGGCGCCACTCGATCTTCGAAGGATCTGAGATCAGAGCCTTGGATAACTTAGTTCTGTCAATAGGCAGATTGGGCTCTCGAGAAATGATGGTGATGTCACCCTTGTATTTCAACTCGCGAATGGCCTCGACGACTCCAAAAGTACCGCTTCCACTGCCTGGAGTTAGATCCACTGCCACCAGGAATGATGCATGCATTAAGAGATCTTACCCTCCTACAATGACCAACTTCTCCGAAGCGGAAGCACTGCACGGGGCAACTGGATCTCTTTGACCGGACTTAATGGTCGACTTTTCTCCCTTGATATAGACCGCACCATTCTTCTCAAAGACTTCAAACTTATGCAAAGCTTTGGGAGCGGGCGCATCCTCTACATCTCCGGTACTGATATTAAAGCATGCTACGGATGATAATCAGTCTATAACGTCCTTCAGCTAGAGCAGAACGTAGCAGACTTACCTCCATGCCACGGGCAAGTAATCCGCCCCTCCGGAGCAACAACACCAAGTTTCAACGGAGCTCCGTAGTGGGTACACTTAGGACTCATGGCATGAAATTGACCTTCAAAGTTCACCACCAGGACCTTACCGTCCTCTATGCCCTCCACTTCGGACTCCACCTTGTCCATTTCCCTGATGTCCGCCAGGGACGAGATGTCTTTGAGTTTATATTCTTGTGCCATTTTTGCTGATGTGTGAAAGAGTCTACAGGAATGTGCTGAAGAGAATGATCGACTATGAACGGAAGCTTTCCCGGCAGGTAGTGTGAGGCGGCTAGATGACAGCGGGGTAGATTGAGAGCAAGGAGAAAAAGACAACAATAACCCAGAGGATGTGAAACGGCGTGAGCGGGCTAAGTGGAGTGAAGTTGGGTGAGTACAGCACAAGCAAGAATAGAAGGTAGAATTGCGACAACCACAACGGCAACGGGGGGTGGTGGTAGAATAAGTAGAGGAAAGGGGGATATGACGAGGAGAGGACGAGTAGAAAACAGGTGATGAGAAGCTGTTGCGTGCCCCGCGAGAGAGGGGTACGTGCATTAGGATTGGGTGAGTTCAATGGATCTGAAGAGTACCTCCTCAGCTGCTAGTAGGAATGATCTAGATGTTTGATAATGTCGTATGGGAATTGGAGGTTGCCAAAGTTTATACAGAGAGAAAGAGAGAGAGAGGGAGAAAGGATGTGCAGAATGCCTTCATCTGTGGATTATTTGTTCTCTTGCCTGTGGTCATGATTATTTCATAGGATTGATTTCATGAATTAATAGATTAACCAATTAATTAATTCATTGATACTAGCAGTAGTTAAACTATTTCTGGATGGAGCACTGCCATGACGTAAACGGACAGCCAATCAGCGACCAGGTTTTGTCAGACGTCATCAACGTCATCCTTCATCCTTTTTGGCAGTTTATTGACTTATTGAACTATACACAGGATATCTCTTAATATGCATCATGCTATAAACACATAGGTACTCATACATGCCTTTATGGTCCAAAACCATCATCGCGAGATGGCGCAAGAGTACAGCAACCAACAAGAAAAGATCAAGGAGCCATTCGCTTATGATTCCGACCTCCGCTTTCTTCCCCGCCGGGATGATGGGCTAAGGCTGACCTCTTTCAGGACCTGTACTCTTGGCCCCACGGACGACAACCTGGGTTGTTTGCGGGTACTGAGGTTATTCTTCTGCACCCTTCTTGGGCCTCGGGGAAGCCGACGGGCCCGAGCAAACTTCTGGTCATTGCCGCCGGGAGACCCTGCAGGGCTGGATTGAGTCAAGTCGATTATCTCGCGGGATGCGGAGGAATCCTGAGTGCCCGGTGAGATGCTCCCTATGGCAGCGCTGACTAATGATTCATCTTGCGACGGGTATGACTTTCTCTTTTTCACCCTCGCTGATCGGCGCGGAGAAGGCGAAGAAGGAAATTCCACTGCGGACACGTAATCCATTGTTGTGTCTCCTTCTTTAATGCTGTATCTCTGCTTTTGAAAACTACGTCGACGCCGGGTTTCGCGGGCATTATCGCTTTTGTAGAACGGATTGGGAACGACGGAATCAGGCGATGACTGAGAGACCGACCTTTCTGGGGGTCGATTCACTTCCCTTTTGACCGGAGGGGAGTTATTTGTCCCTTGTTTGCTTTCGAAGAGCTGGTCCATCAGGCGGCCGAAAGAAACTCCACTCCCTGGGGTGCTAAGCATCTGCAGATCGTCATCTGATGGCGGTAACGATGAGAAATTATCAGGGAAAATGGGAGGCGGAGAAGAGTGAGACATAGACTGAACATCTTTGCCCGGAAGGGAATGAGGATCGGAGCGAGTGCTGTCAAAATCACTTATTTTCTGATCCGTAGCGGATGACTTCGGCGCTTGCCCTGATGTCGGGCTAAAAGAATGGAACCCATCAAATATCGGTGACCTGATCTCAGGACTGACATCTCCTGCAGAAGCACATGTGTCATCGGTCGTACTGCTTGTAGGTACCTCAGGATCCGGTCTGTTAAGCAGCTTGCTGGATTCCTTGGATGTCTGTTCACAATTTGCTAACTCGCCGGACGTCTCAGGCTGATTCGTAGCCGGACTGGGACTTCGCGGACATACCTCTGGGGAACTTGGTCGGGTGAGCGCATGATTGCGAGGCAACTCGAAAGTAAAAGGAGATTATTGTACTGACTTGCTGGTCTGCTTAGTCTTTTCAAGTTCTGCAGGCCGAAGAAGCTTCGGCTCAATAAGATCGGCAAAGGACATCTCTCTGAAACCGTCATCTTCACCATCGTCTTCATAGCCCGGCATTTCAAATCCAGTGTACTGAGGTTCATCTTCCTCAAGCTCTATTTCTTTGACCTGTCTGCGATCTCGCTTCGCAAGCCGGAGATTGAAAATCCTATCATCATACAAGTCATATATCTCCGCAACACGAAAATCTGTCACGGTGGGTTGCCAGTTTGTGGCCTTAGACACATCCAACTGTTTAAAGGCAAGTACGCATCCACGTTTCAAGTCATCTTCAACAAGATCACGAAGAGAGCTTGGGTCACTTGGTACTGAAGGTAGATCATCTGATTTTTCCTCTGCAGTCTGCGCAGCTTCGTGATTGTTTGCCACGCTGTACAGTTGCTCCGAGTCATCGTAGTTGAGCTGCAGATCACCGTCGACAAAACTATCCTCACCACCTCCATTATCATTCTCTTCCCCATCGTAAACTTGGAGTTGCTGGCGCCTTTTCCTCTTCTTCCCTAAGCCCTTACGTTGTCTCATGAGTTCACCCGCTTCGTAATCCCAACGCTGCTCGAAAGGGAAAGGAGGCGGCGTTAACTGAATATCATCATAAACGCATTCAGTAGCTCTAATTATGAGTTTATTTTGCCAGTCATCATCCAGGCCACTCTCAAGAGCACCTGTAGGCTCATCAGACATTTTCTTCTGAGGAACGAAATTGCTCGCCTTCCCTGCGAGTTTCTTTCGAGTAGCTTCTTCGTCTTCTTTAGTCCGCGGCGTCCTAACACCAAGTGAGCCGAAGAGTAACCTTCTGGAGCTTGCGACATCTAGGGTACGTCGTTTTGGTTCTGGACCGACTTCGCTGGCCTCCTCCACAGCAGCATCACGCTTCTCTGTGATCTCTTTAGACTGCTCCTGGTTGCTTCCCTCCACCGGCTTTAGAGGGGAAAATGTACCGTCGGTGATGTCGATGCCCCCTGATTCAATATCGCGCAGCAATTTTTGCCGTCTTTCCTCGAACTCTTTCATCTCAGGGCCTTTATTGGAACCTGAGCTTTCAGGCACAAAACGGCGGCCTTCATTTTTTTCCTCCCAGTCCCGCAGAGCAGCAAAATCTGCCTCCGCGGGTAACGCGCCGAGCTCCTTCAACTTTGACAGTCTTCGTCGCAATTTGTTGCGCTGATTGCTCTTCTTCGTTTTTATGGAGCCATGGCCAGGTGGATTGGCTACTAGTGGAGCAGCTGATATCTCTTCATCTTCCGACTCTGAAGTGGAAATTCCTGAATCAGAGCTAGAATCGTCGCTTGGTTCGGAGGATGATTCATCCGAAGACTCGAGCCTTCATCAGTATCTGTGTCACTGGAGTCACTCATAGAAGAGCTGCTGGCACTATCGCTTGAATTGGAGCTTGATTCCGAAGCTGACGGTGCTTTGGTTATGGAAGATTCTTGGGGGGGAAGAAGCATCGGCGATTCCTCCTTTTGCTCACTGAACCTAACCGCTTTTGAATCCCTTCTGGAGGACCCTGCTTCTGAGGAAGCCTGAATGGCCTGTGCAACTGAACCTTGGGTTGGTACTGCGTGCGAGATACTCAGCCTTGAGCGCAATGCGTAGCCTCTGCGTTCAGCTTCATGTTGTTCGTCATCTGTCGGCTCGGTTTCTGGCATGGCCGAGATATCTAAATCTTCTTTTAGGTCCTTTATCTCATCTTCCAAGTCTCTAGCATCGATATCAGATGCGTCTGTGTCACTTTCTGATGCTTCGACATTTTCAGTGCTACCGACGTGATGGCGAATAACGGTCCCATTGCCAGCATCCTCGTGACTCTCATGGTAGTCCTCATATTCATCCTCATCCTCATCGTCATTATACTCCACATTGCCATCCATAATACCACTTTCAGGCTCATCAACGCCTCTGAGAGCAGAAAGCTCTTGGAAAGAGCGAATTCGCGGAAGAGCCCACTCCGTATCCTCCTCGTGATGTCCTCCTAAATTATCTTGCGTCGCAAATGTCGTACGCCTTCTCTTACGTGGAGGGATCGTAATTGCAGGTCTTGAAGAGACAGGTCTTTTCAGAAAAGGTTTCCCAAAAGGTACACCGTCTATGAGGTGCTTGCCATCGGTCGAGATTTGATGCCGCCCGGTCAACCGCCTAGCCCGCAAGTCGGATATTTGTAGTGCACGAATCCTTAATTGGTCGGATGTAAGTAAACGTTACTGTAATGCATGCCTTGTCGGTGCATGGAGTCTGAATACTCACAAAATTTCATCGCCATCTCTTAAAAGACCTTCCACCTCCATGAAATGTAGACACTCGGAGCCCCCAACTTCAACTACATAGTCTTCAAGTCCCCATTGCCCACTGAATTCACTGTCAAACAGTGCCGGCTCCGTCTCAAGAGGCACAACCTCATTTACATCTTCCAGGAGCTGAGCAATAGTATAGCCGCCATTCGCATAGAGCGCATTAGGCGCGCGCGAAGAGGTAATGGCTGAAGCGAATGCAGGGAGCGCAGATGATGTATTCTGACCGTAAAGAGACGGCGATGCTGTCGTCCACAGAATGCGCGTTACGGGTAGACCGTGGCGTTGAATCATGAGGTGGAGACGCATGATGGGGAATGTGTGGCTAATGTCTCTTTCTTTCTTCGGGATTATTGAAATTTAATCATTGATAAATAGCGCTAGTGAGGCAATGTAATATGCAATTGTAATAAGTGCTTTTTGTGTGATAGAGGCTCTCTAGATTGATCGCGTCGGATACTCTCACACTTATGTAGTGAAAAAAACAGCTCGGACCTTCCGGCAATGGGAAGAATATGTAGAGCCGATGATTCAGTTAGCTAGAAAGAATTGAATTTGTATGCAGCCAGCGAATCAATCAGGAAGAACATATCGTGGTAAGAGAAATTTCATGGGCGCGTGAAGTGTCACAAGAGAAGCTTGAACAAAGAGAGCTTACTTTTCCGAAATATCGCCCTAGACCTGATTCGTCCCACTAGTGCCTAAGGCCAACATTATATATGCTCCTGCGGGATCACTCACCGCAACTTAGGATTGATTAGTAGGAGTACTCCATAGTACAAAGTAAATATGGACTGGAAAACAAACAATGAGGTTATCAGCCTAACTTTATTCTAGCCCCTTGTGGTTTAGTGAGAAAGGCGCTACTGAGTCGCTTATAATACCTATGCCATCCGGCACATGGATGGTGGTTGAGGATATAATCCAGAGAAGTACGTATGTAGAATGGCATTACGATTACTATGTATATCATGTACGAGTAGAGATAGGGGGAACACAAGTATCCTATCCATAGAGAAGATATGACATCGAACGCACTCACAAAGAAAAGACAGAAAAAGAAAAGTGCCCCTAAAAACTCCAGTTGATGCACGTCTGAGCCGCGTATCAGTTAAAACAACAATGGTGCCAATGTGTCATTTTGCTGTTATTTTTGAGCAAGTGCTATCCGTGTTAAATTCCTCAGACCGTTTACTTGGTGTTATCGCTTGTAAGCTTTCCCTAAACAAGGTCCGTAAGGTCGTTGAATATTGAGTTGGATGATGGAAGTACACGTTCAGGCGCAAAAGGAAGTCTATTAGTTGCGTGATCCCAGAAAATTAAGCACCTCCAGAGTTTGGACTCCGTGGGACAGGCTTTCTATTGGGAACACCTAGTTTTAGAGCCCGAGCATCTGGCCTGGATGAATTTGGCTGTGCTTGGCTTCCGGGTGGCTGCAGTTGATGGTCTGCTACAGGCTGATATTGGGGTGGACTGTCTTCCTGAAGAGCCGCGAGTTTGTGAATCTTGAGCACACTTTGTTGCCGTGCGACGGGGGATGTAGGGGGAGACCCGGTCTGTGGTTCGGGAGGAGTGGACGGAAGCATATCGAAAGACTCAGACGACGAATTCGCTTCGCGGTTGCTGTAGGGCGTCCGGGGCTCAGGATCCTTTCCCGGTTGAACTGGCGTGCTTGGATCAGTTCCAAATTCAACAGATCTTCCGGTGGAGGAGGCAGCTGGTGGGTTATACTCGCGACGGGGGCCATCCACAGGACTCAGAGTTTCCGCCATTGCGTCCTCGTAACTCGGGGGCGCGTCGTCGTAACCATCCTCCGGATTCAAAGGTGCGGGAGGTCTAGTAGGCCTCGGAGGCATCGGAGGCGGTGCACTGGCTTCCTGGGAAAGTCGGCTTGGCTTGGTAGGAGAAACTGTTGGATGAATGCGCCCGCTTTGAGCCATGGCGTCCAGAAGCGCTTGGGGCGGGGAGATTCCAGAGTAGACCTTAACAGGCATTCGTAACGGCAGTACAATGAGTTGGGGCTTGTATAATTAGTGGATGCGTATTAATGAGGTGAGTGGACTGAACGTACTTTCATATTGCCAACAGTGCCATGACTCAAACCAACCCGCACTTCCAACTCATATGTCCTCGAGATATTGCAGGTTTCAAAGGTTGGTGCTACGGAGCTCGGGAGAGGTATGTGACTCCACATACTAGCATCGATAGTCCATTCAGTGCCGACTGGATCGCCCCCTCTCCCAAGTGGAATAGCCATATTACTGCGGCTGAAGATGACCGAAGTGTTGATTTCATTCCGTTTTAGATCATGGGCAAGAATATTGGTATATCCGATTAACTCGATTTGCAGTGTCTGCAAGAATATCGTTTCATATGACTCCGACGTCTTGCTGACAATGATACGTAGCGGGATGGGTTCGTTACATGTGAGTATCGAGGGATTCGGTAATCTAATGTCTGCAGATACGCGAGGCGAATCACCGGAAGAATCTCGGAGAGAAGAACTGGAGCCTTTTTGAAACAAACTCTTCATCTTTGATGTACTGGGGGCTTGGGCAAACTGATGTTGACGTCGTGCATATGTTTCTTCGCCCGGATTGCCGGTTCTCGGCGGTTCGATGGGAAGGAAGTTTATGTTGGTAATCTACAATCAAGTCAGCTTTTTAAGCAGATATACCACAGGCCGTTTCGTAATGGTGTCCATTCAAGGTTCAAAACTTGATTTGCATACATACCGTCCTTATGTTTTCTTTATAGAACTGCGGCCTAACCACTGTCGCTTTGACGTAATATTTGATGTCTGCCATTTGAGGTAAGCCACTCAATGATGGAGGTAATGTTTTCTTCACATGCCGATGTGTATCGCGAGCTACCTCAACTTTGAGACCACTAATGTTGAGGTTGGTGAGCATGCTATTCTGAAAGCTACATGCATTGTTGAAGGGAAACTAAGCCAAAATCAGCATATCTCACCATAATAGGACGTTAATTTTCTCTAGCCTACCTTGAATTGAAAGGGATACTCGTAAGTCCCTGCAGCAAAAGTCCAAGCGGTATTCGGAGTGTTCTCATTGAAGACAGCCGGCGTTGGGAAGAGATTGAGGACCTTGTATAGGATCTATCCGGTCATGAGTAAAAGTAAAAGCGCAAAGGGAAGAATAAAAAAAAGAAAAGAAAAGCAAAGCAAAGCAGGGGAGCGCCGTACCTTGTGAACCTCAATCTCCGTGCGCTTTTTATCAGATTGCTCATGGTGTGGATGTCGCGGTCCTGAAAGGCGGGTTCGACTTTCTCCTTCCAATTTAACTTGAATCCCACTTATTTGAGTCTCCGAAGTCAGTTTTACTAGAACCTTGCCCGTGAGGAAATCGAGGTTGGTAAAGTGCGTGTGTGGACTGTCGATATAAAGAGTTGCGGACATTGCGGAACAACCTCGACTGCACGAGCCACCACCCTAGCAATGGGCCGTCTCAGTCGTTGCAATATTGAGTTGAAGGAAGAAATATAAGCTCAGAATCCTCAGTTGGTAGCTGAAGACTCTTATCAAGCCCGACCAAGTATTGTGTGGGTCAAAAGAAACAAAAGAAGTTGGGGCGGAAGTCCGGCAAGCCCTACGAGATATACGAGGGGGAATGACGTTAAAAGTCAGGGACAAGAACAGCGGGCGTGGGCAGCGGTTCACCAAAGTCTCGGCGCGTAATAAATACTGTTGTATAAGAGAGAAAAGAGGTAACAAACAGAAAAGTGTAGACCAGACCGGTCCCTTTTTAATCTAGCTCGTCTTAGATCATAGAGTACAATTCGACAGTATTTAATAAGGTCCCGATTCATTTCAATGCTTTGTGAATGGGAGGATCGTCCAAGGGTCTGGTTACATTTTAATGGGTCTGGCCCGTCCATTTAATGTCATTGCCGACGGCTAAGCCACTCTCACACGCCGTGTAAGTGTTGCACCGCCACCTTCCATGAGCGCTTTACTGTGGACTCTTGACAGCAAACATGGACCAGCGATAGATTATGTCATGATCCCCCATGAGTGATTCTGATTGGATATGAACACATTCCAGAATGAACTACTAGTAGTAGTCTAGATCCGAGCCCACCGTGGGTTATACGAAGTATACTCTAGGCACCAAGATTCTTCAGTAGCTTCTTAACGCACAACCACATTATAGGCCCTCCTTAGCAAGCATGTCTTAGAAAATACATTGTACCGGAACGTCAGCCACACATACTCAAGACATGTCTGAATGGTTGCTACATACCTGCAATGGCAAGGTAGAACGCGAGTGCATTGAACCTAGGATCGAGCACTGATGTCAGCTACAATAAAACGGACCTTGGGAATGGAAGACTATTAGACGGACCTTCGCCTGTTCCCCGTGATCTCACCAGCTAGCCACTTCAATCTGTTAGTCCAATTTATCAGGTCCAAGTGGTTCACCCCCATGAGGGTGCCCTTATAGCCGTCTTCCCCTCCCCACCTGCTACTGGCAACGCTCACTAGCCCGTCATTATGGCCTTCGACCTGCTCAAGGTACCTATGGGATAGGCGGAATACAGACCAAAAGCTTGGCTGCATGGATGCCCCATAAGAGAAGTATCTGCACCGACTCAGCCTTACACTAACTGACCCACGGTAATAAGGAACACATACCGGACGTCTTCAACATCAGGAGTGGTAGGATTGAACGTCTTTTCCATGTAATTTCGTGTCAGCTGAGAGAAAGCACCTGTCTCAAACTTTATTTGTTCGAGAGCGTAATATACCTGAGCAAGACGCTCATCTATAAATCAACATCATGAGCTTCGGCATATGATGATCGGGGTGCCAAACAAACTAACCACCGATTTGCTTTAGAAGGTAGTCTGCAACTGCCGAGCCTACGGTTTGATTGGTTTGATTAGTTAGCAGTAGCTGTTTAATACTCATGCTGCGACTGACCTCTGTGAGGGGTTGCAATGGTCGTCAGAGATAGAACTTTAAAATCTTTCGGTCGCAGATGACTGATCATATACCGGGAATCAAGCCCACTAAAACATGGATCAATTTAACGGACTATTCCGTTTGACATGGAGGCCTCACCCCTAATGAGATGTGTGAATGAGCATGTCCGTTTTAAGCATTAGTTGGATATTTTCTTTTACCATGCTATGGCTGTGCTGGGTTAGCTAAATGAGCTGAAGGTTTCCCCAAACTCGATACCGACAAAGAAAAGGTGGTAATATAACATACGCAATAATATTAACAGCCTTCCCTTGAGCACCAGCAGCGATGTCCTTCGCTAGTTCCTCAGCACGTGCTTCGATGGATCCTGAAGGAGGTACTGTAGCAGTGATGACCTCAATTCCTTTCACTGAAAGCGCCTCTTTAATACCGCGCCAGTATTGCACACCAGGAAAGTAAGGACCAGCAAGGCGTAATTCATCGAACCCAAGAAGCCCATGCGCCAGGACAATGGCGTGCTTGGGGGTGTCTAAGTCAGTGTATTAGTGCTGATGAACAGTTTCTTTGCATATATAGAACCACAACTCTAAGGGATTGAAATAAGTGGCAGCAACTGACCATAATCTGCCCGAATCACCGCATATTCATCCTCAATGACTTTCCCCAGCCCTTCCAGCCGTGGGTCAGACCCCGTGGCCTCATGGAAATGATTTCTATAAGTTAACGAATGGAACCCGCGCGGAATTCGATAATTGAGCCGAGGGTACTGACAGACGCTCTTCAGGCTGACAAACTTATTGTTTGCGCGCAGAGTAGCGATGGCGCATCTCATCTTCTATATTCCTACTGTGTGGTTTGGAGTATGATGTTAGTTATTGGGGGCATTGCGGGATGATGTAATGACCGGAACCTAAAAAAGTGTGCCTCAGGCCAAAAGGCATGAGAAATAGAAGACGTGTGTCAGGACATCAGCTTAGAGTGAAACATGGAGTTCAGCATTAACCTGCGTATGCGCTTTGTACTAGGCTACTGGCGAGCAAAAGGCTGTCAAAGGCCGAGACTACTATTGAAGTGCCTGTATATCTATGAGTATGGGCTCCAGGGAACAATGTCAACATCGGACTGCTGTAGCCTTCGAGCTAGGCAGATGTCTAGAACCCCGGTTTAAACGTTTTTCATAGTAAATATCGTCCTATCAGAGCCACCCGAGCTCAATGGTATTTGAAGAAATAACCCATCTATATAGAGCTACGAGTCAGATCTTGCCTAAGCTGAAGTAGGCGTTGTTCAGCGTTGGCAACATCTGCTGGGGTCGGCTTCGATGAGATTAGACGTGGTTAGAACCAAAGCAACGAAACAAACGCTATATTCACAGCATTTAAAATAGTAAACCCCAAATAAACATATCCCCTCAGTGTTGCCAGAGAAGCCTCATGGCCGCACGCCTATGCCTGGCTCAAGATCTTTTCGGAAGCCTCAGGTTTCACATCAGTCAGCGCATTGATAAGGTCTTCGACAACCTTAGCGCCCTTGCTGTTTCCAGCTTCCTTGATTTCCTGCAGCTTCACTTCTGCCTCCTTGTTTGCATCTTCTTCGGCTTTCTTGTATCCGCTCGAGTGCTAATGTTGAGGGACATGTGTAGTTAGCCATTTGGGGCCTATAAATCTACAAATCGAAGAGGATATCCTTAACACTCATTGAGCGGGGTCATGCTCACCTCGGCCTCGAATTTCTTGAACTCTTGCTCCTTCTGGGTTCTGTATTCCTCGATTTCCTTCTGTGCCTCCGACTTCGCGTCCCTTATGCGTTTCGTACGGTCTAAAAATTACATATTAGGTCTGCGCATCTTATGTCGAGAGGACTGGAGGGAAATCATACATTCTCTAGCTGAACAAGCGCGATGCGTCAGTACATGTATTTGATGTTTCCAAGTTTGTATCTAACAAACATACCTTGTTGAACAATCTTCTGGGCCTCTCTCTCGGCCTAGTACTTGCGTTAAATCGTGCAACCTTTGCGATATACCATGCCAACATGACCTACATCGAGGAGGGTCTGAATGCCTGCGGAGTTCTGAGCGGACTATAACATATTATTAGCATTGCCAGCTTTCACAACCACGCATAGCCATGCGCGCACCATCTTTAGTAGTATATATTATTGGCTGACAACGAAAATCGAAAAAAACAGAGAGGGAGGGAGTAAGGATACAGTACAGATAACGCGGAGGCGTGGAGATGCGCCGAGGATCTCCACGAGTGGTCAGCTGTAGGCGGTCTGTATTCTGCCATTTATCACCGCCATGGTGATAGTGGCCGATAATCCGCTGCAGGTTCTGGATCATGCCAGAGTTCTTTGGATCTGTGGTGTCTGCCAATTGTTTTTCCTAATCCAATATTCACAATTGAAATCATATAAAATGTCCCGAGCATCTAAGCTGACATTGGCTGCTACCGGCTTGGGTACAGCGGGAATTATCTACTTCGTTCACTGGGCACAAGAACAAGAGAAAGCTGTATGTACCTTGCTCTGAAACGTTGACCAATGCTAACTCTTGGTCATTTCTGAAGTCCATGCATAAGGGTGTTGAGCGAGATATGGAGAAGCAGCGCATTCGACAAGAACGGCAGGCCGAGTTCGAGATTCAACGAAGACTTGAAGAAGAATACAGGCAACTTCAAACTGTCTCCCCAAGTATAGAAGATCAGAGTGGAGGCGAAGTGAAACAGGGGAGAGGGACATAATATTCAAAAGTGTTATAACAGTGCTAGATTGAGTTGGATGTTATGCTCTACGCTATAGGCTATAATCTGGTGAGTCCAACGCCCTTGGGGAACCACTACTTTGAGGAGTGACCCTCAAAACACAACTAAACTTAATATAGTGATAGATGACGGGCACTTGTATAATATACCCGAATGTACAGTACATGATATAGAATCCCTGCTCCGACACATGCAGTCATATTTACACTGTCATAAGGACGACTTTTGATCCTTTGGGTGCACCTGTATGACCTTATGTGGTTGCAATATAGCGCCACAACTATCGATAGCGGAGTGTAGATGGAAGGCCATGTCATTGATTATCATCGGGAATCTCTAGAAGCTTCTTAAAACACACACCATAGTCTGTTTTCCTATCCTCTAATTCTTTCCCCCAATCGTCTAGCATGCTCACAGTTTGCTCTAAAAAAAATCTCTGTAGGAAATTGACCAGGGTATACATAGAATGAATCGTGAATAACAGTATCGCACATAAAAGATGGCCGGCTATTATCGGAGGCCGGCCCAATTCCGGCCTCATGCAACTAGGAAAGACTATTTTGCGCTTGATCCGGATTTCCTGACGAATCAAAGAAGTTAATGTGGGGTAATATGTCTTGGCAGAGGGCGAAATATAGAGCGGACATGTCCCTGTACACTACATTCATGATAATTACACAGTGAGTATGCTTTGATTTGGAGCACTTCAGGCCTCAAATGGCGAGGTGGGTCTATACTATACCAATAGAGTCATCTGGATTAGCATACAGGCTGCTAGAGCAAGAAAAGGTGTCATTATAGCATAGTCAAGCCACTGCTATATTTGGCTTAGCGTGTCCCCGTGATCCTAGCTTGCCCTCGATGCCAAGGATCTATATAGATCTCTTGTATATGCCTTTGAGAATGAAGATAGAGATAGAGGGGACGGTGTTCTCATCAGCTATTGCGAAGGGACCTCAATATTTTACATCAAGATGCTTATCAGCCGTGATATCACAGTGATACCGGCCGGAATCAAGTCTCCACGGGGTTTTCTCATCCTTTTGGTAATAGTGCCATCGAGGCCGGAATTGATACCGGCCTCTGGATGTTATAAGAATCGCCTCCTTTCCCGTCCAAATCCCTTCTCTCAAGTCAATATTCTCGAGCTATAAGAGATCGCAATTCTCATCTAAAAATCTCCCGTTTCCTTTTGTCATTCTCACTTCATCTTTGGGTGGTCCTTCTGCCTCCATACCGTCTTCCTTTCTTCTCTTTGATACCATATTGTCTCCCATATAATTACTCTCAGATAAACACTGTCTTCCCCCCTTCTGTCACTTCCAAAATGACACAGACCAAAACTTCCCCAACCTCTTCTACTACCGTGAAGCGTTTCCCTCATATCCATGATGACCCGGCAACCTTGCCGAAGTCCTTGGACCCCTTCACTATCACCACGTCCACGGGCTTCTTGCCCTTCATAATGTCCCCTACCCAACTGCCTGATGCCTTCCAACCTTTGGCGTCCTTGCTTGAGCGGCTTCCTGTGGAGAAGCTTGATGGTACCCCTGGTCTTCTGGCTACTTATGAACTGGGTCCTGCCGTCCAGGAGCTTCCTGATCTCACCGCCGAAGTTGACAAGCTGGTCACTGCTGATGGCTCCCCAGATCTCTATGCTGTCACTGCTGTCTTCCGTGATTACTCCTTCCTGGCATCTTCTTACCTTCTTGAGCCATGCTGGGAGAATTGGTCCAAGAATCCTGACAAGGGGTATGGCTTGGGACGTGACGTACTTCCTAGGGCTGTAGCTTGTCCTATGTATCGTTGTGCTCAACTGTATGTTACAACGCCAAGCAATCATGTCTTTCCTTCTATATTGAGGTATCACACGAAGTTATACTAACTAATCATCATTAGCTTGGATATCCCACCCTTCATGTCCTATGCTGCCGCATACTCTCTCTTCAACTACACCCTTGCTGATCCAAAGAAGGGTCTAGTATATGACAACCTCCGTCTTGTCCGGGCCTTTGAACATGGTCTGAACCCGAAGTCCTCCGAGGCTGGGTTCATCCTGACTCATATCGACATGGTCAAGGAGTCCAATGGTCTGATTAGCGGAGCCCTGAAGGTCGTCGACACCATTGAACAAGGCGGTTCCCGCACCGAAGTCAACGACGGCTTTAGAGAGATTCTATCGTCCATGGAGAAGATCGAAGCTGCATGGAAGGTAAGCAACCCTCCTGATACCCCAGCTACCCCCAACCCCAACACAAAACTAATTCATCCTAGATATGTGGGCCAACTCCAAGCCCAGCGAGTACCTCTCCTTCCGGGTCTTCATTTTCGGAATCACCAACCAGTCCATGTTCCCGAACGGCGTGATCTACGACGGCGTCCTCGAGAACAAGCCACTCAACTTCCGTGGCGAAAGCGGCGCCAACGACAGCATTGTATGCGCTCCACCACCCTCCTATCCAACCCAAGAAGCTAACCCACCCAGATCCCCCTCCTCGATCACCTCTGCCAGATCCCCATGCCGTCCACCCCACTCACGAAGATTCTACACGAGTTCCGCGCCTATCGCCCCCTCCCCCACCGCGAGTTCCTCGCCTACATGAACTCCAAGGCCGCGGAGGTCGGCGTCCGCGACTTCGTAGTTAAGGATACTGAGACCGCCATCCTCTTCTTGAAGACTCTGAACCATGTGCGGAGCTTCCGCTGGCGTCATTGGCTCTTTGCCCGCGAGTATATCATTCGTCGTACCCCTCATCCCACTGCTACCGGTGGTAGCCCTATTGTTACGGTATGTGTCCCTCCTGGGGTGTTATTATTGGAGATGAATCTGTGGCTAATAGGTGGTTACAGTGGCTTCCTAACCAGCTCTCGGCTGTTATGGATATGATGATCTCGATCTATGATACCTATCTTGCTCCGCAGAAGGAGCCGGAGTATTCGGCCAATGGCCTGACTGGGTATGATGCCTCTTTCCAGAAACAGGTTGAGCCGATGATGGAGATGGTGCGTGATCAGAAGGATAAGCTAGCCAAGGAGGTTGAGAAGTGGTGCCAGGAGAGGGGGAATGGCTTCTGAGGACCGTGAGTGCCTATGAAAATGAATGCTGTTGTGTATTTGTTGCTTCTGTATATTCTTGGACATACCACTAGCGAGACCTGGAATAATTCAAGTACAAGACGATTTCGATTTCTTATATTGCAAACAAGAATACCCAACTCCATTTCTATCAATAATTTGGATTCAATTTCGCTAAAGTCCACTTCAGTAAGACGCGTCGTATTTTGTATTGCGTGTGTATAAGGATGTATCCGGTTGAATTTCTCGGAACACTTAGTCAATCCGCTGAATATACTCGGTTGCATGGCAAAAGCACCGCTCGTTTAGGCAAAGCTGGCGCCAGGACGCCATTATCGTTCAGGCAATGATTTTCATCTTGGTGTATCATCGGGTCAGGTGATTATCTCAATGCCGTGTGCCCGACCATATGAAATTGCGTCTGGTGAGACATGCTCACACCCTTTTACATGTAACCGTTCGATCTTCATGACATCACCTTCAGAGGCTCGTGCATCAGCGAATGTCTTGATGGAGATGCCGGTGATCTCGGTATAGCACATGTAAATGACTTTCAATTTATGCATCTTCCCAACAATCAGTTTCGAGAAGTCATCATTGATCCCGATAACATGGGAGACATTGAGTTCTTTTAAATCGTTGGCATACTGGCATAGACTGTGCCAGAATGCAGTCCCGCGCAATCGGAAGCAGCTGTCTACATGAAGTATCTCAAGTGGGGCCTTGGCTTCCACGAGAAAGATAAGCATGGTGTTATTCGAGACCCAAGGCACATCCCTGAACATAAGGGTCTTGAGTTGGTGAAACTCAACAGGACGTTGGTTAGAAAATGGGAATTCCTCAGTCGCAGCACCACCACAGATGCGTAGGTATTCCAGGGTAGATGGTAGTATAAAGTCGTCACTGACATATATGCCGCTGAGGTCCAGTCGCCGTAATCGCGAAAAGTCTATTGGATTGAAAGAAGGAGGATAAGGGAAAAAGACGTCCGGATCTGAGTTGAGGCACAGCTCTTCGAGATTGGCAATAGAATAAGGAAGAGAAGGCTGAAGCAGTCAGTTAGCTGAGCCTTGGAGGGGGAGGTATAGCGGGGTTGACAGTACTTGTTTGCGAGGTATATGCAGGGCAGACGTATGCCCGTTTATCCATGATCCCTCTGTGGTGCGAAGGATTATGCTCCGTAGGTGTGGGAGCTCTGGGGGCCAATGCACCTTTGATGAAGGTGAAGTTCTGGCTTTGTGTATTTTGATATTCTCAAGGAGAGGCAAGCTTCCCAGAAACTTCGTAATATACTCCTGCGGCACCGGCATATCTCCTGATAATATCAGCGTTTTTAAACGTCGGGAGCCTTTGAACATCTCATAAAAGTTCTGACAGCTAAACGGCGTCCAGACTTCCAAGTATTCTAATCTTGGACACCTGCTGAAGAATTGAAGGACCTTTTCTGCGGAACTAGAGGATATATTCTTCACAATAGCATGGGTTACCATGGACTTCGACCGTCGAATGTAACTCCGGACGGAACACCAATGGATTTTGCTGCGGGCACCGGACAGATCAATCCGCATCCATAAGTCTCGCATTGAGGATAGAAAGCCGTCCCATTGTTTTGATACACGAAGAATGGCCCTTGAGGATAACAATTAGAACGGAGCGTGGGACGGTAATTTGAGCCACGTACACGATCTGCTTGAAGTCCAGATGCTCTAACACCATAGCTGCTATTTCCAGAGGCAGCACACTGAATGGGTCGCGGCATTTAGACGTTAATTTACCTCGAAGCTTCTTGTGTAGTTGTTCTACGAGCTACGTAGGTCAGCAAAGTCCTGACAACGAGGGTCAATATTCATTGGACAGTAAAACTGACCTCACGGCGAGGATTGTTACTAGGCAAAGTCTTTAGTGCATATGCGTAAAGCTCTAAAGCCTTCTCGGGCTTTCCGTCCAAGAGAAGGCATTTTGCACAGCGAAGATATCCCTGGTTCAAATTAGCAAAGGTGCATGAAGGCTCTGAACACTTGGCGATAGGGCTATACGCGTTCATCCTGCTTGTCCTTTTTAATCATCTGCCTCGCATCCTTGAGCGCCCGATCATATTGACCGAGCTTAGTGTATGTAGCGGCACGATTATCAAGTATACCAAGAAAATCAGCATCTTTACTATTTAATGCCTGAGACAGCCCATATCGTTGTTAGAGTTAACAGGCTGAATGAAGTACGATGAAACATTGACTCGCCGTACCTCTGTGAAAGCATCTATGGCAGCCTTGAAGCTGCCCATCTGGTATAGTTGTTGACCATGCCGCTGCAAGGCAGCTGCTTCGCCACGGGCTAGAACTATGGCTCGTTAGTCTCACGCTAATAATCATCACCAGAGCATCGGACATTTCAACAGAAATGTTTTAGAGTTTGAGGGTCTTAGCACGTACGTTGAGAGCCCATCATACCAACACTTCGATTAGACTCAGTCAGAGCTCCATGCTGCGAGGAGATAAACCAACGCGACTGGATGTGCTTGTCTTTTAATTAGGCTTTGCTAAAGAGACCAAAGTCCGCCCACTAGTCTTAATTTGGAAAAGCGTCTCCATCGAACACGGGACTCCACTCTCGAGACCAGGAATCTATCACTAAGATCTTCCGTTCATGGATGTCCTTGTTACTTACCAATGTATTCTTGCGACTTTCTCACTGAACTGGATATTAGGCTAAAAGGGGTTGTTCCCGTGAGTATTGCCCTAACCAGTTCAACTGATAGTAGCCTTCTCACTACTGGTGTGATAGTATCCTCGGGCAGCCTTGCATATGCACAGTACTTCGTTTGCGATTGACTTGTCAGCTTCGACAATTGACTCAATGCAAAGAACTCTACTTCTGTCGGGATTACATACGGAGTACCCGTGTATCCCATGAGGCCCTGAACTATATATGTCTGACAGGACGTAAGGTCACACCTAGATAAGTCGGCACAGAGCCATCGTGATGCTCATATTAAACAAACCGATCGGCCAATTTTACCTATCGCACATCAGCATAATACGTACCATCGACGGTGCGAGTAGTCGTAATCTCATATATTCGGCATCTGGTATTCGTTGGAAGCACTATCACTGGGATTGGAACCTGTCCTTGGAATTTTCTGACAGGTAATAGTTTATGCAGTCAAGAGTCGATCTTCCTTGGAAAAAAAGAAATTTCAACCCCAAAACAAATAGGAGATAAACAAAAAAGATAAATACGAGATGCATAATGTCGCATTACCTTGCTAGGTCAAAACCTGAGAGTCTCAATTATGAAAGCGATAGACGGTAGATATGTGGCCGGAGAAAAGGCCCAGCACCGTGCATTTATTTAGTAAACTCCGAATTGCGTAGATGTTATTCTTGAGCAAGCAACGGACCGAGATCGGATGTTCTGGCACTAATTGCAAGCATCGTGAGTTTGACACAAATCGGAAAGGAAAGATTGTGATTAGTCTGCTGTACAACAGCAACCAGGGTTATCTGAATCAGAGTGTGCCGGTATGCAAGAAGATGCGACTGAAGCTGGAGTAAAAGGCCCAAGTTTATGTGGAGTAGCACTAAAGCGGTTTAGTTCTAAGTCCGCCTGGCAACGGAGGCGACGATCATGCGACTGCGCATTTGGTATATTCGGCCTACCGCGGAAAAGGCGGTGTTTACATTCTTCCCCATTCGGAATCCCTGCAAGTGAAAATAACGGCCCGGGGCCCTTGCGAACCGTTTTGAATTCTCACGACTTAAGTCGCCCGATCCCCGCCAGTTCATCCAATATTTGGCCGACAGCTTGCAGGCAAGCATGGAGCCGCATAATTTGCAGGCGGCATCTACCTATATAAATAATGTGCTTCTCGCCCGGGGGCTGCTGAAAAGTGGCAGACCAATTGATTTCGCCCAGCCGGAGAATGAGGAGGGAGGCACTGGGGCTGCTATGGCGAGAGTCATCAACCTAGTGAATGATTTAGTTTTAAGAAGAGATGTATGTGAATATCCCGCGTCATCTTTTACATGATCTGACCAGATTGGAATAGCGCGAAGCAGAACACCGAGAGAATCTAGCGACTACGATTCGAACATTGCGGGCGGAGGATGCTCAAAAGACACTCGAAATTGTATGTTCTAGTGACACTGGAGAAGCTTTACAGGAAGCTAAGACTGCGCACAGGAGAAACTCAAGGCAAAGACATCCGAATTGGCCCGATCGGTCGCTTTGGCGGAAGCGCAAGAACGTGCCCAGAAAGCCAATGCAGCGAGTGCCGATGCTACAGTAAGACAACTGAAAGACCAAGTGCAACGGATGAAGACTACGATTCAACAAGTCCGGGCTCAATGTGCCAACGACATCCGCAAGCGTGACCTGGAGATGCAGAGATTGAAATCCCACTTGGCTGAACGTCAGAGAGGAAAACGGGAGGGGCTAGGCGTGACAACCATCAACATAAACCCTGCAGTTGATCGATCCTCCAAGGCTAAGCTTTTGTCGGGTGGTGATAATGTCAATGACCCAGGCTACAGTCTGAAACAGGAAACGAACGATTTCCTGACAGAGTTATGCCAGAACTTGAGCGACGAGAATGATAGTCTAATTATGCTTGCGCGGAACACTGTCCAGACCCTGAAGGACTTGCAAGGTTTACCCCAAGGCGAGGAGAATGAAGAGTATACGAATGGCGCAAGCGTGGGAACTCAAAAATTATCACAAGGACCAGTTACTTCACTTCCGGCGTCTTGCGAAGAGCTGTCCAACCAAATGGATAGGGTGCTTGAACACCTGAGAACACTCCTCACTAATCCCTCTTTTGTACCGCTCGAAGAAGTCGAGGTGCGTGATGAGGAAATTGGGAGGCTACGGGAAGGTTGGGAAAAGATGGAGAGCAGGTGGAAACAGGCTGTTACCATGATGGATGGATGGCATAGACGAATCGCCGATGGCGGCGGCTCAGTGCAAGCGGAGGAATTGCGAATGGGTATGAGGCTCGACCTTAGCGTAGACTCGGCTCAAGATCTTGCACCAGTCGACGACGAGGAGACACAGATACAGTCGCCAATTTACGAGGATCAGCAGGCTGAAGAGGAAGAAGAGTCCGCAGCTAAGGCTTCGCAAGAGAGCGTTGAGCTAACTACGGCCTCTGTTGAGACTCAGCTACCTGTACGTGAGGAAAGGTCTCAGAAGAGCTCTGATCGTGCGCTGAAGGAGCGGAGCGAGAATGTCCGCCCCGCGCGCTTGCCACGAAAGGTTTCTTTCACACCTGGACTCCATGGTTCACCTTGTGAACCTAGCGGCGGCGATGATACTTTGCCTATCAAAGCGCATCAGTCCGAGACAGTTACGCGCAGACCGTCCAGGAGAAAACCAGAGTCCAAGACGGTACGTCAGGTACCCAGTCAGGCTAGCAGACTGCATGAACCGAAAAAGCCAGGTCCGACTAAGGAGCCGGGCCCCAGTTCACAAACCCGGATGAGTGTTTCGCAGAAGCTAGCCGCCGCTGAGAGTGAAGCCCGCGCCGCGGAACAAGCCCGCAAAGAGGGCGAGAGCCGTAAGAGAGGCCGCCCAGTGAAGGGTTCTAAAGGGAGCCAAGATCGGCGAAGAAGCACTCTCACAAATGACGAGCTGGGCGAGCTGATGGGGATGACATCCCGGTGAACAAGCTATTGTAGGCCAGCATGTTTAGGATATGATTTGTTTGATACCCTCCAGTGTAAATACTTCTCTGCCTGCTACCAGTTAGCTGCATACGATTGTCATGATTTGACCTGATCTGGCGCATGGGAACTCTTCTGTCTTTAGTTGAAAACATGTACTCGTTAATCATAATGCATCTAATGGATTGGATATGGGATCCGATATGCTCTGACTAATGCATATACCTACTGTTGATATTCATGAGGATATCCCGCAACCTCGGCAATTCCTGATTCGGTCCACATTTTGGTTCAATCTCCACCATTTACTCTGGAGTAGTAGCCGACTTCTCCTCTAAGTGATGTACATATATCCCCTCTAAATCTCTGAGAGATCTGCGTGCCCAATAGTTCACTTTAACTGTGGAGCAGATCTTGAATAACTGCGTATTATTCCCAGCGAAACAATCAACCTCGCCACTGTGCCACCAACGACACCCAGACAAATAATCATATCAGGTCGAAGCCATCACCATAATTACGCCCCATAATCCAAAACGGCCCAAACTCCAAATATCTCAATAGTCACCCGACAATGTCCCCAGCATCCCCAGACACATTCAAGGCTGGGTAGCCCACAACGCCACCAGCCCCCTAACATTCACGACCTTCAACCCCAAACCATTCACAGAAATCGACATTGAAATTGCAGTCTCCCACTGCGGTATATGCGGAACAGACATCCACACCCTCCGCTCAGGCTGGGGCCCCGCAGATTACCCCTGCGTAGTCGGCCACGAGATCATCGGCACCGTGACCCGCATCGGCTCGGGCGTCCCGACGCTGGCATCATCACCAGCCTCCCGGGAGATCCGCATTGGAGACCGGGTCGGGATCGGCGCGCAGAGCATGTCCTGCCTGAGAGCGGACTGTTCCGACTGTGCAGACGGACAGGAGAACTACTGTCCCCGGATAACGGGGACATACAACTCGCGGTACGCCGACAAGAGCAAAGCATACGGGGGCTTCGCGATACGCTGGCGCGGGCCGGCGCATTTCGTGTTCAAGATACCCGATTCGCTGCCCTCGGCTGAGGCGGCGCCGTTGCTATGTGGTGGGGTTACGGTGTTTGCACCGTTGAGGAAGTACGGCGCCGGGCCGGGGAAGTCAATTGGGATTGTGGGCATTGGGGGGCTGGGGCATTTGGGGATTTTGTTTGCAAGGGCGCTGGGGTGTGATCGGGTGGTCGGGATTTCTCGGACGTCGAGTAAACGGAAAGATGCAATTGAGGGGCTTGGGGCCGATGCGTTCATTGCTACTGATGAGGAGAAGAAGTGGGGGAGGACGCATTCGCGTTCCCTGGATCTGATTATCTGTACTGTTGATGCGCCAGATATGCCTTTGAGTCAGTATCTCCGGCTGCTGAAGGTGGATGGCACGTTTGTGCAGGTCGGGGCGCCGGAGAAGCCGCTTCCACAGTTGACGGCTTTCTCTTTGATCCAGAAGGGGGTGAAGGTTACCGGGTCGAATATTGGATCGCCGGAGGATATTCGGCTCATGCTGCGGTTGGCGGCGGAGAAAAGTGTGTTGCCGTGGATTCAGAAGAGGCCGATGGAGGATGTGAATGCTGCGTTGGCTGATATGGATGCTGGCAAGGCGCGGTATCGATATGTGTTGGTTAATGAGACGGAGAAGCAAGCGAAGTTGTAGGGCGTGCCATGTGGGCATTCTATTTCTGCTGGAGTAGAGTAGGTCTGGTGTACTGATTGCTGGGCAAGATAGAGTAGCGCATGTAGAGTTCAAGGTAGAGCGCAGAATCGGTACAAGTACTGCTTTAAAACGCAATTACAGATCAAGCCTGAAGGTTGAATTAACTTGATGTATCGACTAGGTATTGCTTGCCCCAGTATCGCTCCGTCCCGGTGATGGGCTCCCTAAGTGTAGCACTCGCCATCGGGAGAGCTATGACCGAAGCAAGAGACCGAACCCCATGAGGTGCTAGAAATTACTTCTCTTCCTCATGACTGAAAATCTTAAGCTCAACTATTGGGTCGTCAGTAGTGGCAGTCGCGAGAGCCAATAGGTCGCTATAGAAGGTCCATATAGCCTTTACCCGATTCAGAGAAAGGTACGAGATATACGAAAGGATCTGTGGATCTTTGCTGTGCCTCCACCTCTGCTATAGTGCGTGAGAGTGCGACGAGGAGGGGATCTGCAGCTCGAGGTTTTGGTTTAAACACAGATTGCAAGACCTGTTTTCCCCCCATGTCTTTCACTCGCCTTGCTGAGTTATAACGCTTCAAGCCTGCCCCGTATAGCTTCCCGGAATGGCAGACTCAGAACATACAGGCTGGACTGCCTATCACTACTACCCTTCTAAAGCTGCAGGTATATTGTTTGTTGTTTTATTCCTCATTCTTTCCGTCATCCATACATACCGTCTACTTGGAACCCGAACATGGTTCTTCATCCCATTTGTGACAGGCACTTGGTGTGAGTTTCCCTGCGTTGTATGCAGAACGGCTCAATAGATGACCTAAATAGTCGAGTCTGTAGGATACATCGGACGTGTTCTGTCGGCCAACGAATCTCCACATTGGACAATTGGTCCGTACGTGATGCAGAGTACCCTACTGCTCGTTGCACCCGCGCTTTATGCCGCTAGCATATACATGGAGTTGGGCCGAATCATCCATCTAGTCAGGGCGGCAAGATTGGCAATAATCCGGGTGGCATGGATGACCAAGATTTTTGTTGCAGGAGATCTACTCAGCTTCCTGATGCAGGCCTCAGGTGAATCTCATCATAAGCTGGAGACACATCAATTACTAACGAAACAGGTGCGGGTATTATGGTCTCCAATTCTAAAAGCGCTGGCGAAGATATCATTCTGGGTGGCCTATTCGTCCAGATTATTTTCTTCGGGTTCTTCCTCATCACCGCTCTCGTTTTCCAGAGGAGATTAGCCAGACGTCCCACTTCAGAGTCCGCTGATGATAACACTCCCTGGCAAAAGCATATGTTTGCATTGCACTTTTCGAGTCTTCTCATTCTGATCCGGTCAGGTTTTCGAGTCGCGGAGTATATTCAAGGCTCGGATGGCTTCCTACTCCGAAACGAAGTCTTTATTTACGTGTATGACGGATTGCTAATGCTTTTTGTAACCGTTGTCTTTCTGGTTATTCACCCAGGTGAGGTTAGTTTCTTGGGCTGAGGGTGACCTATGGCTTTTTAGGGTCAGTCTGAGAGTCCGCCTCAATTGCCTGTTTGATATATTAGATAGAGTATCAATTCTAAACAAGTACCCTTCCCGAAAATAAGTCCATAATAGAGAAGAATTTGCGATCAGAGTGCCCCATGTGCTAGACATGGGCAGATGCATATCCTAATACGACGTAGTAAGTACTGCGAGAGGTCAAGCTAGATTAATCTGCTTCAATTTCGTCGAGGAAATCCTGTCCAAAGATTTCTACCATGGGCCACTGGGCATACGACTTCCAACGGTCGTCCAGGATATGCCATATTGCCCTTGGTAACCTAGAAACCCACTGGTCGATGCACCAGTCATACTTCAGGCGACAAAGAACCGCACAAATATGCGCCAGAATGATGAGAGCTAGAGGGCTACGTTCCCGAATCTGGTTCACAAACTTGGGTTTCAATCTGATTGCCCATCTCGCGGCAACAGTGATTGAAGTCAAGCCACCGTAGGCTGCAGCTGTTATATCCGTCAGGTTGTCAATAGTTCTATTGTAGGTGTCGGTATCATGCGTCGGGTCTTGTGCACCACAATAAACATTTAGCTCACGTAGTCGTTCGAGGGGGTCAAGAGCGTCTCTTGGAAGAGAGGTATTATATTCGTCCAAGCGTAGGAGGATTTCCCAGTCGCTACTTCGGATAGACGGCGTAGCCTGTCTCAGCACTTGCTCCACACCCCGTGCTAATACCAAAACTTGAATGAAATCGTCAATACACGCCCATGGGTCTTTTGACTCGGGAGAATGAGGGAAACCGAAGGCATATACAACTATAACGCTTGATAGTGCAAACATGGCTTTTGCGTTTGAGTCATTGATATCATCAAGAAGTTTTCGGAAAGATTTTAATGCTTGGTTTTGGTGGGATACGGCGGTACTGATATATTCCGGACGACGGTGGTCATCCCTCGTCCGGGCTATATGAAGGGCAGAAAGAGCCAAAATTCCGTGCATAAGGAAAGGATGTGACAAGGCTTCTTCAGGAACACGAAGACGCCAGACGGGATCGGTCATTTCATTGCGGGTTAGGACCTGGTACGTCGAGTTACACCATTGCATCATTAACTCCAAGTCGCCCAGGTTGAGGCTGGGACGGAAATGAGCTGTCTCATCGTCATCGGCGGATAAGTCAAATGGATTGGCAGTTCCATGCGGCGGCTCTGGTAATGGAGGCCCTTCATTTCCAGAGTTAACCGACTTTGCATGGCGTGGTTCCTCATTCGCCCATAGGAGGGAACTGCTCGAGTCAAATTCGCATTCCGCGTGGCGCTTGGAGCAATTCGAGCACACTGGTCGGTTTTCATCGCACTAAAAAGCTAGTTTAGTTATGTAAATACATAGAGTCATGTCAAGTGAGGGTATACCTTGACTCGTCTTCGCTTGCATTCTAGACAGCCATGGCGAGACTTTCGATGGGGTCTTCGTAGTGCCATCAGATGCTATAAAATAATTTGCAGAGCGCTTCGCGCTCCGCAAATCAGATACTGTCGCACAACGATCAGCTATGCTGGCATACTCTAGAAAAGCAAAGCTCGCTAGGACAGAATGAGAAGTGCTAGAGTTATAATGTTATCTATGAGAGAGGAGAAAGGGTTTTCTAGGCAACTGCATATCTATGGGGTCATTGGAGGTTGAGTTCTATAAAGCGGATTATGTCATCACACTACATGCCAAGAATTATATTGATACAAGAAACAGTGGATATCATATCGTAGACATATATAACATGTTAACTTAAGAAGCAGACTTGGTATCTCAGAATATTAGGGGGTTGAAGAAGAAGTAAAAAATAGAGGGAGAGATCCCTTAACCTCCACCACCGCCCCCGCCACCACCTCCACCATGGCTATTGTCGCGCCGCCTTTGTTTCTCATACAAAGAAAGCCCAGTAATGAGGACCATCAGGTCAAACTCCTTGCCATAGTTCGCCGAGTCGATTTGGAGTTTGCCACTTTTCTTGACACTTTTAAATGCAGTGCTCGTAAATATTGCAACAATCTGATCGGTTTGCTCATCGACCAGCTTGAAGTTGCGGCTACTCCATTTGGTAGCGGAGGAGCCCTCAACCGCAACAGAGTGTGTTCTCTTCCACATAAAAGACCGTCGTTCTGCTCCGGAGGCACCTCGGACGGTCATTTGCCAGCGGTATTTGTTGCATCTGATGTTTTGAGAGACAAGGTCCTCCCACTCAACGTGATTGATACTCTGCGGGTCACCGAGCCCTACTTTGATATGTCTTGAAAAATGTAGGAATTTGGAGACACCCACAATAGGGGCTTTCTTATCAGTGCCCGCATGGAATGTGAGGTCAGGCTTCTTTGGGGTGAAACACGAATTATCCACGAAGAAAAGGGGTTCCTTGCCGTCCGAAGTCACGGTGTAATCATTGTGCAATAGAGTATGGTATACATGAAAGAGACGAGAGTTGCTGCTTGTGTTCAAAAGACTCCCATCAAATGACTCCTGGTCAGAAGTGTATTTGGAAGAATCCATCATGCCAGTGTTGAGGTATTGTTAGGTACACATGAGTGATGAGTGAGAGGCAGATAGGACACAAAGGAGCACTTTTGGGGGAGGGGGTCTTCTACACATCTTATATATCTACTTGGTATTCTGAGATGAGAACCGTGAAATCATTTTGAAGATCCTTGATACGAGAACAAGGCTTAGCGTTGATCATCATCCTGGGCGTTCCAAAGGATAACTTAAAAAAGAACAATCTAAAGGAAGACCATCCAATGATGAGCAGGAAAGGCCCCAAGGGCTGTGTTCTTGGCTTTGGAATACCGGCCAGATTTAGCCTTGGGCAACCCAAGGGGCTACGCGAATACGACTTGCCCGAACTGGAGTACCATCATCACGTGGTATCTGGAAGAATAATCAGGTGACTTTCAAGTCACATGGTATCACATGACACCGCAGTTGGTGCCAAGACCCGAGCGCGTTGATGGGCGGACTGGCGATGCTAAAGAAAGAGGAACTTACATGACACTTTGGGGTTGACAATTCCCTATCTGTAACTCGATTACTCCATAATCTAGCGGTGGGTCATTGGCCGATTGTGCGCGCCTGACATCAGGTGTCTTTTCCCCTGCACGAGTTGTCTGCCCCCGACTGGGGTGGTAACTTTTCATTCCGCAGATCTAAGTCGACCAAGAATTATCGCTTTGTTTATACTCTCCTCATTACACCAGCCACCACCAGATCAACATGAGTTTTAAGGTTCCTTTCGATTCGAGTCCCCCTCGACCCCTGGAAAATCTCGCAGCTTATTCAGTTTATCTGAAACCCCTGCGGGTGCTCCGCCGTCTGCATCCAATTCCTTTACTCCACAAGGCGCTCCTCCGTCCACCGTATTTGGCAGCTCCCAGATGAGCTCTAGATCGCAGTTCGACTCCCCCGGTTCTCTTTTTACAAAATCTGGAAACATCAATCCCAATGACAGCATCTTCGGGTCCTCGATCGCATCCTTCGATTATCCAGCACCACGGGGAAGGAAAGCAGCGCCAGCCAAGTCCTTTGCGCCCTCTCAATCTCTGTTCAGTGTGACAAATGATAGTCGGTTCGGCGAATCGACCAATTTTGAGCCGTCAAATAGTTTCACCTCGTCGCAAATGGAAGAAGATGTCGAGGGTGAGGAGGCCGTTCTAGAGGAACAAGAAGTGGATGGCGATATGGATGTAGGCGATACAACTGGAGATGGCAACCGCTTGAGCTTCTTAGACTCCCAGTTTGGAAAGCCCGCTTTTCCACAGGCCTCCTCGCAAGGTCAACGAAAACCGATATATACAAATCCAAGCAATGCGAAGCGGCCTAAGCTCGATGAAAAATGGGCAACTCAGTCACCTCTACGCAAAACGAAACTATCCCCTAAGAAGGACTCTCCAATGCCATCAATTATGCGAAACTTCACGTCAAGATCACGTATCGCACCGGTTGAAGAGCCGAGCCAAGTCATTATCAATACGGAGGATGAAATATGTCGCTTGTACGACGAAGTGCGGAAGGCTGAATACCAAGACGTGGATTTCCAGGTCACGTTGTCAGAGGTCTGTAGCCAACTCACGGAAGATTGGGAATTATATGCAGAGTATGAGGGCGTGTCCCGGGTCTCTAGTACACAAGTGGGCCCCGGGGACCATGCTCCTGGCGTGATAAAAGCAAGCTTCCTGGGTTCTTTGTTGCTACAGCTTCACCACCCCCCTCTTTCAAGTGAGAGGTCAGGAGGTTTCCCAAACCCCTTAGGCTTTGCGGCACCGCAAAGTCTTGTGCTTGCCGGCTCGAGAACTAGTGCGCCTATCCCTATACCGAAGCTGCTCCTTGATTGGCTTAATAAAAATTATCCTCAGACGGCCGAATTGCGATCATTGAAAGATGTGGAGCCAAATCCTACTGCGTCTTCAAACTTTTGGGAGATTCTCAAGGCCGCTGTATTGCGCGGTCATATTCCTGAAGCTGCAGACATCTTGCGAGTTGCAGATTTTAATTACGCTAGGTCTGCACTGGAGGACGGCTTGCCACAAACGGGTTATCGTGGGGCACAGTTACAGAATATTCAGAAGTGCGTCAATAGAGCCCTACAGATCCTAGACTCGTGCCCTGGCACTCAGCACGGCGATTGGGACGTTAGGGGAACCGAGTGGGGCATGTACAGGAGACGTGTGCTTGCTGCGGTGACAGACCTTGAGGAATTTGCTGAAGGTGGTGAGCAACAAGAGTCTGAGCCCCCTGTTGTGGGCAATCGTTTCCAGGCAATAAATTTCGGATTGAAACCCAGCGCTGCGGCGGGTGAATTTTCCTTTGCGCAGTCCGCACGCATGGCAGAAAGCCGCGTCCCGTGGACGATTTACCAAAACCTGAGATCCCTCTACCGCATTATCCTCGGCGATACGAGTGCTATCATGAATCTTGCACAGGACTGGGTTGAGGCGACTGTCAGCTTGACCGTTTGGTGGGACGGGGAAGATGATGAGAGTTCAGCGCAAAGCAACGGACTTGGTGCCAGCACTAGCATTCACTTTCTCCGTCCTCGAGTATCGAAACCGCAGCATTCCAGCAGCAATTCTGAGGATGCTTATCTGCGTCGCCTTGATCTGGCCTTTAATAGTGCGACAAATGCAGAATCAGATGAAGGCGGTTTCCGGGTTAACTCTCTCAGCAGCATCGAAGTTGGACTGGCCTCCGTCTTTGAAGGGAACGTTGATGGTGTGTTAGAATTGCTTCAGACGTGGTCACTTTGCGTTGCGTCTGCTGTAGCTGAAGTTGCGTCTGCCGGTGGCTGGCTAGAGACGGCAACCGGGGCAAAGCCGCTAACAGGCCTGAGCGAGAATGACTTGATAGTTCTCTCCTATGGTCAAGATAGGAAATCGCAGAAGGGCAGTATTAGCAAGGACAGCATTCTAAGCAGCTATGCATCTGGGTTATTTGAGCGCGGAAGCATTGAAAATGGTGTCCGACAGGGCTGGGAATTGGCACTCGAGGTTCTAAGCCGCTTAAATGACCATGAGAAGATGCAGAAGAGCGTGTCAGAGCTATTAGATAAGTTGCCGCTTGACACCGCGGAGCAGATGGACAGGGCCGTGTTGCTATGCTCTGAACTCGGTCTAGAGAAGGAAGGGAAACGAGTCTCTGAGGTTAGTCACCTACTTATGTCAACAGAAAATTACGTACTAATTTGTTGCAGCGTTTTGGCGATCTTACGGTATCCAAGACCGAAGAATATGGACTTGCTTTAATCTGCTATGCTCGGGCCCACAACCGACGAAAGGTCAAGTCCGTGGTTGATCTCCTTATCTCTTACAGTCTCGTCCAATCACGCGCGTATCCTGCACATGCAAACCTTGATGAACAGCTCTACTCTTTGATCAGAGAACCTAAGGCATGCCTCTCGGCCGTTGCTGGGGTTGATGAGGAAGCTGCCGGTATTCTTCAATTTTACTTCAGTGGTTATGCGACTCTACGACGATACTATGAGACTCGTGATGAGACTGTTGGTCTCGAAGAGGGGCAAAAGCCACGGTTCAAACCTTTAGCCAGACGGCGAGCGGCAGCCCAAGCTTTGGTTGCGGTCATCAGCAGTGCTGCAGATAGTATTTACGGTGGCCTTTACGACCCTGATCGAGATTCTGCAGTGCAAGTCGATGGCTTATTAGCGCTTCTAGGAGAGGCGCTGCCGTTTGTCGAACGTAAGTCTTGTTGCTCCACGTGGGATGAGCTCTGCCGCTAACCAATATTAGAATCTACACCCACTCTTTCCGTATCTCAACAATCCGCTATTCTGTCCGCCATTGAGGATCTTGAGACAGTTACACCCCGCGTCTATGCTCAGTGTGAGGAGTGTTTCCGCTCTACACTCATCGAATACCACTCCTCCAAGCGCCCAGGCGCTGATTCGGCATCTAATGACTCTTCTGTTCTCCCACCATCTCCTCGCGCACTTCTGAAAAAGTCCGTCTCTTCGCTGACAGCTTCGAGCACCTTCTCGTTCATCGGTAGTGATATGATCGAGTCCGCACGGAACCGGTCCGGATCCGGATCTGCTGGCAGCTCTGGCGTGTTGGTGCCTCGTTCCGGTGGTGATGCTCCCTCGGCGTATCATGAGCGAGGCTGGGACTGGCGTGCTGGTCTGCCGGAGGACGCCAAGGGAGAGGATATTCTCCGGATGTTGCGGTTGGGGCTTGCAAGGGGGCTGAGTTTTGGAGCTCTTGGGTCGGTCTAACCTGGGGTTGATAGAAAAAAGTTCTAGCATTAGCATGTACGCTTGTTTCCCAAGGGGTCGGTGCTTGTCACTTCTTGAATGTATTATGTATTATGGGTAATAGCGTTCAGTAACAGATACAAAGACAAAGTAATAAAAGTCCGACGCGCTTGGACGCAACATATCACAGTTCCTGTACCATTGGTTGCAGTGCCTCCTCATGCATGCTGTACTGAGAATGACCCATGGCAAAGAGCTATAGCAGATGCTGGGAAGCATCTAGTAGATATAATACTAATCTCGCGATGCCTGTGCATGTAGAATACCATGCCATCCAATGTAGGCAAACACGTGATCCTCGCGCAATAATAAATAGCCCTTTGTATGGTAGTGGTACCTTTTTCAGTCAAGAATTCCACCTTTTATTGAGGTACTTAGTTTCTTCACCTCTCCGCAGGTTATGAGCCTGGTCTGCTTTCGTTCTTCCGATGACTATTCCACTAGTAATGAACGATATCTTACCGGAATCGGTGGGAACAACCTTGAGAAAGAGGTAATCTATACCGTCGCTCGCGATGCCGTACATTGGAACATTCTTGTGCACAGTGTCCTGTCGACGATGCCACGCCATAAACGTATAGAATATCGCTTGCGGATGCGCTTTTAGGGTCTTCGACGGGGCCTTCAGCTCGACACAGCAATGCAACCGATTAGAGACACTATCCTGCTCAAGGTCCGCTTGACTATGGAGTACAATATCGGGGCGTCCACTGAGAGATAGATGACAACAACCTTCTTCGCTTTTCAGATCCCTGAGCAGTGAGATATCTATCTCATTGGCCCACACCAATGTGCCGCGTGGTGCTTCCAATGGAAATTTCACGTTGCGTCTAGGTATCGCATCCGCGTGCTCGGTAGTGCGCGCGATATAACACATCACGCTTGTTAGCATGGTCATCACAATAACTCGTGATGTCGGCTCACTGTCGGTGTCAAAGTCACTGGTCGCAAGTGCGGAATAAGCGTTCTCTAGTAACAAGGATTATCAGGTATTGTTCAGCCAGTAGCTCGCAGGCGAGCACAGATCCTCATTTACTTACCAACAAGATCTGTGTTTGCTGAAGAAGGCTGGAATATCATGATTATTGAGGGGGGGTAGGGACCTAGAGGGTTAGCCTAAGGCAACCGCATGATCCTCGCACAATAATAAACAGCCCTATGTACGGTAGTTTTACCTTTTCCAGTCAAGAATTCAACCTTTTATTGAGGTACTTAGTTTCTTCACCTCTCCACATCCAATATACTTTCGTATTATGGAATGTTCAGCATGCGATAGATAGATATACGTTGAGGCTGTTGTATATATAGCAAAGGCATTTAAGGATGGGGACCGGGGACAGTTAGCATTCTTAAGAGGGTGTGAAAGCAGATGTAGTATGCACAGTATAGTAATAAGGACTTGGAAACTACACATTCACACTCCTATTTCAACGGCAGAGACTGAAAACTCATTCCCCAACCTTCAATTTGGTGCATTACTTACCAATGAAGTGCTTGCATGAAAACAGTGAATGGGAACAAACCGAAGCAGCCCCTGGTGAACTGATACGCTCAATTCACTTCTCTCACCGCGAATAGATGTGTAGTCTCTGCCTATGTCATTACAGTATATAGCAGTGTAAAAGACGTATCCAATCTTAATATCATCATCTAAAGACATATCACATCATCATGTCCTAGGTTCATTTCTCGTCCCTGTAGGTTTATTATCACCCAGCCACCTACCTAACTGCTACTCTGGTATGAGAGACACCACCGAGGAGAGCATGATTCCATCCACGTGGCAGTATTTAGTTGCCTATGTACATAACTTTTGTGATTACTATGTGCTCATGCATTCCGGCTTACAGGAATCGACCAACTGGCTGCATAGCACAACAATCCTACCGGTACCAGGTAAACGTACAGAATATTGACGAAACCATTGAATTCTACTTCCAGCACCATGCAGGATATGGGTTGTCACCAATCGCAGACCGGCTTATTACCATCAAGACTTATTGAGCAGTCATTAGGGAAGAGCCCTGGAATGGATACCAGACCAGGGGTGTCTGCTTGGTATTATATGCCAGGAAGGATATGTTCGTGGATGGCGTTTATGAAATGCCGACGACAAACCTCAAGGGGGCTGCTATCTTGATCTTCAAGAACTACCAGAGCGAATCCTACCATGGGACTCTTATTCTTATGGGCCTGCGTGCCAGTCACTCTCGCCGTTAATGCGATCGGTAGTAATTTGTAAACTACTGCCGTGTCCAGAGGACCTGGTTTTTGTCTTGCACATTACCCAGTGTGCGTCCACAGCATTGGAACATCAGAAAGTGCCTGATTGATAGATTGCCATTGCATCAAGTCTTATGCATGGTGACTAACCGTAATCGACAATTTTCTATTGTTCCTCAATAAACAACACTAGAACCGCCATATATAGCAGTTAAAGCCGGGCTGTTTCTACATGTGTTGTTTTACCGGGATTATTTGGGGCCCATTACAGGTCTTAGATTGCTTTATGCCAGTGTTCAAGTCATCATAGGGAGTCACTCGTCGTTCTTTGTATACTAGAGTTGCTCGGTTCGATTGTGAATATAATTAAAGGCATGTTTGTAGCCGGTATTTCCCACACTTGCTTGGACATTCCGAATATTTCATAGCTGAAGTCATGCACGGGGGCATGTTCTCCAAAATTGAACTTTATCAAGATGAGTGAGAGTGTTTGTATTACCAACTAGGCCTGGGACAGACCTTTCAGATACTCTAATACATGACAAGAGTTGGCCTCGTCCACTCCGGTGGCCCCTAAACTGGCCGAGATGCCCATAGGCGCAGTAAAAATGTACGTGGTTATGCAATACTTGTTTCCCAGTAAAATGTCGATGATAAAGTCGCTCTCGTGGCAGATATTCTCTGTCAATTTTAGGAATTAAAGGAGAAAGCTTTGATTTGGATGAAAGAAAATACCAGTGAGAGCTACTATGCCCTAATAGCCAAGGGTTTGATATTCACCACCCTGATTCTCATGCAGATGACACTAGAGACGTAAGTCTCTTTCTATACACTATTTCATGTGCCTTCATGCCCAGCTTCTCTTGATCTCCTTGTTTTGCTTCATTAGTGTCACCCATCTACTTATCAAGTTGGAAGTGTCCTCATCCTGACACACAAACTGTATCATCTGAAAGAGATGTTCCACCAGGGTGAATGGAATGTTCCTTATCCATTGTGACCTACAAACCCCCAAGACCATCTCAATACCAGGTCTCAAACTGTCTGTAACATCATGAATCTATTAGAGGTGTAAGGATCGTCTCTTTCTATATGCTTGGTGGCCTCCCTGAAAGATATGAACACTGCATTTATGGACATCCATTGGTTTGGGAGGACGGTTTTATGCATCATCTGCCACATAATAAGGAAGATACAAGGGAACCAATTGTATACAGAGAAAGGCCCCAGAATCTGTACAATAAAACTGTCTCGAATGACCGATAATTATATAAGTAGAGCCGGAGTGGCCGCCTCCGAACTTGTATCTCCGGATTAAACGTTAATCGTTGTTAGTAATTCTGAACGGCCGTGCGTCCCTATCTCAGTATCTTGGTCTTACCGCTACTAGCGTTACCTGCTAGCGGCGGCGATGTGGATGACAAGATTGATCATCCGGAAAAGTGGTGGTCGCCTGGCTGCACTAAATTTGGCGTTGGTGAGGAAACACGGTCCTTCTTCATTGCAACGTGCGATGACGGAGCTGGAAACAGCGTTACCACTAAGTTGGACCTCAAGCCATGTTGCGCCATCAAAACGGGAGATAAAGACGAGTATATATTGAATTCCAACTGTGATGGGCTTGACTAAACTACCAAAGTAAAGCCCACATTGAAAAATGCATATTGCATGACGGGAAGAATAACGGATTGAAGGAACTAGGTCATTTTGTCTACACAGACAACCCCGATAAGTTCACATGGACAACACTGAGTAGGTGTTTCCTTCATATATATATAAATCAGTCGCTTTCTACTAGGTACTAGCTAACTACAAATAGCATTTTGGGGAAAACACCACGTGACTGTTAAAGGTGGCGTCCTTCCTTGCTTTGACCACACAGGGGAATATGTCTGAAGTGTTTGTATTCATTGTGTGGTGTTGATCATCCCCCGTGCACCTGGAATCTGGTATGACACATAATGAATTAACATATATTGCCTTCGGGGTCGGTCATTCAGCGATGCTTTGCTGTGGTACAGGGAACAGAGATTGTAATAGAGGGATATATTGCTATCGATTAGCTTTCTCATTGACCTTCTGCAATGGTGATAACGTTCTTTTAGCTCCCTTACGTTGTCATGCATGGGTGGATTCTCCAAGAAACAGAATGAAAGACCAAGCTCTACTAGTATGTTGTATGGTACTAATTGAACATAAGATGCTTTCGAGCCGTCATAACAATTTGACCCAAGGAAAAGTGGGAATGAAGGCTGAAACAGACTCGTGGTCGGCTTAATGCAAGTTAAAAAGATCTTGGCTTTCGAATGACAAGCACTCCTGATCAATAGTTCGGGTACATCGGCAACGGTAATTATGAAACCGAGTCTAATGTCTCAAAAATCGGTGCAAGAGGCTTAAAGGCAAGAGATAAGAGCCTCAGCTGAAGAGGTTACTAACTGACTAGTGTCTACCAACTCCGTTGAGTCACCGCATAAACCTGGTACAACAACCTAACTTAAAGATAGAACAGACCAGTGGTACCATGGTTAGGGCTCGTAGGGCATGCTGCAAAGGTCCTTGAGGGGGATCAGGCCAGAAATGGTTGCCTGGCGACGGGGCACGGTGATTGGCCAATGAGGGGCCATGACTCAGGCCATCCTTGGGTCCAGTGACCCCGCCAGCGAAACGTGATACGGTGATAGGCTTGATGGGCAAACCGTCCAGCTGCGTTCTCTCCACTAACCAGTCAGCCTTGT